CATCTACTGCTGGTAAGATACTGACCACACAACCCCACAGCATCCGATTTAAGTGAATGGAGGTTTTCTGACCTGGAACTCCACAGCCGCCATGTGGAGGGAGGCGGAGCCGGGCAGGATGGCGGCGTCGGATCGCAGGAGGCCGGCCAAGGCTGTGCGACAGTACCAGAAGAACAGAGAGTGCCACGGCAGGAGGCTGGTGCTGAAGAACGGCTCACCCATCAGGACTGAAATCTAATAAAGACGGTCTATTATTTTGTGTTAAATTATCAACACAAATCATCTTTGAGTTATTAGCAGCAGGCAATTCTCTACAAAAAGGTCATTTCCAAAGACCAACAAGCTGAAAAGCCTTTATACAGTTGATGATTTCACCTGCTATAAGCAGATCTCTGGGCTTTCGTCCCCCTGCGCTACAACACTCGTCTTTTTCTGCACAGTGTTATGCCAGTCTACCAGAAAAAGCAGCTAAAGTCAGACAAAACCTCAGAAAGCCACTGCTTTAAGAGCAATTCGGGGAAATCTGTCTCGTTGGAAGCAAATATAAAAAATAAGAAACTGGATCACGTAGCGTTGGGTACAGAATTCGGTACTTTTTAAGGTACCGACCGAATTCCATAGTACCGACTGAGCACCGATTCACGTCATTTGAAACGGTGCCTCGTTTCGGTACCCGTCCTTCACAACGAGAACTTGCCTAGACAGCTGCGCATGCGCAAGAGCGTTATGTTGTCGGTCGCTGCGAGCCAGTTGTAAACAGAGCAGCACGGTAGAAAGAACGCACGCTAACGCTTGGGTCCACTTCACTAAATGTGATGGGTAACTGGGTGATGATGAAACCAGCGACAACGATCTAAGTGAGACATCCTCATCTTAATCTGCTCCGGTAGGTAAATAAAATGTTTAAGATAACGTTAGCTTGATATGTTAGCTTCCGTTGCGCTAATGGTGCGTTCACTTTCTCCTCGGAACTCCGAATTTCCGACTAGAAGAACATGAACACGCTCTAAAGTTTGGCTTCACTTTACTAAATGCGACGGGTGATTGGGTGAAGATGAAACCAGCGACAACGTTCTAAGTGTGAGGCATCATCGTTTTAATCTGCTCCAGCAGCTAAATAAACTGTTTAAGATAACATTAGCTTGATATGTTAGCTTCCATTGCCACCGTTGTTATCAGCTAATGGTGCGTTCGCTTTCTCCTCGGAAATTCTAACTTCCCAGTAGGAAAAATCAAATGAAAAAGGACGGCAAAAGGAATGAAGACACACAGTAAATTTAGTTCACAGTAAAGCTGTTTGCTTCAGTTTAATTATCAGCTTATAAAACTACAAGGACGATGTTAAAATACAAACAGTTGTATGTTATTTATCGTGATATTTATCAAATATGGTTATATATTGAGAAAAATATATATTTAATTATAAAAGAGAATTAAAATAATAAACACTCAAAAGTATCGAAAATTGGTACCGTTAAGTACCGGTATCGATTCCTAGGTACCGGGAATTAGTACCGAATCGATTCAAATGTCAAAGGTACCCATCCCTAGGATCACGTGTTCTCCGCCTCCTCGTGACCAATAGAAACTAAACTAATTACCTGTTCTCCTCTGAGGTCATTGCTGGTCAGCTGATCGGGTCTGACCTCCAGCAGCTCAACTCCTCCTCGCACTGAGTTTGCTTCCAACACCTGCAGGAAAGGTGCAGTGAATCAGTCTTCTTCACCCACCAGACAACAGCCACCAAGCCTGAAAAACAGCTGCTGAACTGAGACGTTACCTGCTCAATAACCTGTTTAAACATTCTGCGGTTTTCCAGACTGAACACCTGATGGAGACAGAAGCACAAAAACACACATCTGAGCTGCTTTTGGCTTTTACGTCTTTAGTGTTTAACTGAGTTGGAATAGCCGAGGACCTTCTTGGCTCCCAGCATGTGAGCGAACACAGGAAGCAGACTTCCATCGCTGATGGAGAGACACACACCATCGTCGCGCAGAACCTGCAGGTTAGAACCGTGATCAAACACGCCAACACGCTCGTACCAGCTCAGAATTGCTGCCGGTCCTCTTACGCTGCGTAGAGCCGCGGCGTAGCTCTCCGTACGCTGCCTGTCGTTGAGTTCACCAAAACGGGGCCGAGTCCAAACCAGGTGAGCCTGGCAGGTGCAACACGGGCGGGAGGGAGGAGACTCTGACGGTACTTCCTGCTGCCTGAAACATCACCATTAGACCGGTTCAGCCAAACTGATGTGGAAAAGCTCATTCTGAGATTATAAATGGAAAGAATAAAAATATACGCCGAGTACCTGTGAGACTGCAGGCTGTACCAGAGGCTGTAGTCATCGTGGCAGACTGTCAGCCTGAGATCGTCTCCCGCGGTAACCAAGCTTTCTGCAGGCAGGAAGTACACGCTCTGCATCCAGTGATCCCGCCACTGAAACACCAAACAGCAGGGCAGGGGCTCAGCTTCAACAGGAAACACTCATCTTAAAGGTCTAAGCACAAACCAGCCTCGGACCAGTGACTCACTGGGGCCATCTCTGGCTGTGGGTACGTCCAACTGGGAGCCATGGAGCACACGATGGTTCCACTGGGATCCATGTGGAGGTCCCACCAGGACAGGACAACCTGAGCTCGGCCACCAGACTGAGCGGAGAACCTGGAGGAGTGGAACTGGGGGGCACTGCTTACCGGTTTACTGAAGTCTAGCCTGAAGAGGATTCAGGCAGACATGAAAACGACTGCAGGTGCAAAAATGAGATCTTTAAAATGACGTTTTACCTGAACATGGTGCAGACAGGACTCAGAGGGGTGAAACTGGTGGGGGGGACCTGGCTTAGCTGGATGTCGCACACAGAATGAGCCCCGGCACAGCAGCCTGCAGCGGGCGGTGGGACCAGACGAGCCCCCTCCACCTCCACTGGCTTCAGCTGCGCCCAACTCCACAGAAGATCCGACTCAACCAGCTGGGCGTAGACGGTGGCCCGGTGAGGGACCGCTTCACAGTCCGCCTGCAAGGGGAGAGTCAAGTTAACCAAAAAGTGAATCTGATGCTCTGGAAAAAACAGACGAGTCCAGAGAGACAAGCAGCAAAGCTTCAGCTTTAGACCCTGTCCACATGTAGCCGGGGATCTGCCAAAACATAGATATTTTTCTACGTTTTGGCCTGTCATCCACACGAAAACGGAGTTTTTTCACACAAAAACGGATCTTTTTAAAAACTCCGGCCAAAGTGAAGATCTGCGTTTTCTCCGTTTTGGGTGTCTGCGTGTGGACGGACAAAACCGGAGTTTTAAGGTCCGCAACGTCACTTTCCGGGACAAAAAATGCTGACATCACGTGTGCGACCTGTGTTTACACTAGCCGACAGCATGGATGCCCTCAGAGCTGCGCTCGCTTTATCAATTGTCCAAGCGCTTTTTGCTTGTTTGTTTTTGCAAGCGGAATTACTGCTCCTTGCGGAAGACCACAGACGAAGGACGAGGTTAAGAACGGGGGAAGTACTGCCGCCTACAGGTCTGGCATGTCCTTAACAACGTATTTATCCGGGTACGTGTGGACAGAGTTTTTTTCTAAACGAGGTGGTGTGGATGCAAGTTTTTGGAGGGGCGGATATTCGTTTTTAAAAAACCCGGCTACGTGTGGACTAGGCCTGAGTGTGATAATCAGGAACTTACAGAAACTGACGTTTACAAAAACACAAACCTGGACCAGGTTCTGGTGAGCATGCTCATAACTGGGCAGAGCTCCCTCACCGATCAGCTCGGTGTCAAACAGCTCTGTGATCAGTAAATTCGCCTTTTCCTGCATATCTCCTCCTGTTCAGAAGAACCACAAATACAAATGTTACACGATGATGGTGAAGTCACGTTTAAAGGCTGAGAAGTTAGAAAACCACTTAGATTTTAGAAAATGTTGAGAGGTTTTCATCAATTTAATGACAAAATTTGGAATTACTGAACATTTTTCACAGCATAAAGTGTGTGTGTTAATCTTAAAGTGTGTGTGTTCTCACTGACCCGGTCCTACGGTCACATCTGTCGAGTGCTTGTTGATAATCTTGATCTTGTCAGAAAAGCCGTTTTTCTCCACGATGCACTGAGCTGCTTCAGCCATGGGCTTAAAGACCTGCAGGAACAACAAAATCACACGGTAAAGAATATTTATGAGGAACAAAGTTTAGAAGCTCAAACAGATGAGAAATGAGCAAATATTCAGCACCTTCAGCTGCTTAAATGTCAGAATTTGCCTTTATTTCTTGAACTATTTTCCACAATAAACTCACAAAATGTTAGCGACTGGCCAAATGCCATTACACGGGGAGAAATCCACAACAGGCATCTGAGAATAATGATGTCATGCAATGATTTAGGAGGAAAAGCTAATATCAATAGCACAGATGTGAATAAACCTCCACAGCGTAGCAGAAGTCCGCTCCAGCAGTGAGGGCCATCATGGACAGCAGGCCTGTCCCCGTCCCGATGTCCAGGACAACCACCTTCTCACCACGAGCCTTTACTCGGGCTACAGCCGCCCGGATGCCCTGGTAATACTTCTCATTCTGGAAGGAAAAACACAAATGTTCAAATATGGTTAAAAAAAAATCTGAACACGAGTTTTTTACTTGCTTTTTATGAAAAAAATCACATAATCTACAGGAAAAATCAAACTATCAACAAACCAAACAATGAATAGCAAAGAATCGTGGATCCTTCCAACTAATTTGAACGCATATTTTTGTTTATTATTATTAATGACTTCAAATAGAGATTAAAATGATGCTGAACGAGATCTCACCCTGTCGTGATCATGCAGCATATCAGCATAACACGACCTGAAACACAGAAACAAACATGAATATCTGCGTAAAAGTGAAGAAGTGATGGTTTAAAAAATGACAGCACATGGAGATAAAAACATTTTCTACTTAAACCTGATGTCAGTCAGCCGTAAAATATAAAGACAATTAAATAGTCCAAACTAGACAACAGTTTACTTTGTGCCTCATAATGTAAACTAAGAATTTTAGTTTACTTCATTCATTTATTTTGAGAGGAGAGGATAATATTTATCACGAATGAAATACACAATAGTTTCAGGTCTGTTTTGCTCATTTTCCTGTTAACTACAAATAATCTGCTGCTGTTTAGATTTTTGATTATTTTACTTGCAGTTTGGTCCCTGAAGCGCCTAAAGGTGACAATAACGGAGTTAAAGCTTTATAAGATTATTTTTAGTGTATACATTTAGTTTGGTTTTATCCAGGAGGAATTAAACCTTTATTATTAATCTTTTGATAAAGAGGTTAATAAATAAATAAAATAAAAGCATCCAGTTATTGGAAGCCCTTTCAGCTCGTGTCAGAGAGCCACTCAGCGGGCCACTGCTTCAGCCTTCCCCGGGGAGAGTCGCTCTCGGCCCCGCTGCGCCATCCGCAGCTACCTGGCTATCTCCTGGTGGTAGTCGTACTCCTCGCCCTCCTCGACCCAGTCCAGCGCTCCGGTGGTCGGGTTCACTCTTCCGCAGAGGGTCTTCATCTTCGGTGAAAAGTCCCCACCCCAGAAAATTAAAAAAATAAGTAAAACAAAAAGTGGCTTTTCAGAATTATTTACCAATAAAGTAAAAAATGAACCAGATTACTGACACGACGTTGATCCAACGAAGGCCGCCATATTGCATTTTGACGTCACGAATTATTTTGGTCACGTGACCAGGAAATTTTCTTAATCTGAAAATAAAACCTTTTTTTTTTTCCTTTTTGTTTTGAACATATATTGTTTGGCTTCACTGAACAGTGTTTTTATATAATACTCTGTTATTTGAATTGGAAAAGGGTAGAACGCCTTCTCCGGGTCAGGGATGAGGTCCTGCCCCAAGTGGAGGAGTTTAAGTATCTCAGGGTTTGTTCACGAGTGAGGGAAAGCTGGAGCGTGAGATCGAAAGGCGGATTGGTGCTGCATCTGCAGTGATGCGGGCGTTGTACCGGTCTGTCGTGGTGAAGAGAGAGCTGAGTCAGAAGGCGAAGCTCTCGATTTACCGGTCGATCTACGTTCCTACCCTCACCTATGGTCATGAGCTTTGGGTAATGACCGAAAGAACGAGATCACGGATACAAGCGGCCAAAATGAGTTTTCTCCGTAGAGTGGCCGGGCTCTCCCTTAGAGATAGGGTGAGAATCTCGGTCATCCGGGAGGGGCTCGGAGTAGACCCGCTGCTCCTCCACATCGAGAGGAGCCAGTTGAGGTGGCTCGGGCATCTGGTCGGGATGCCTCCTTGACGCCTCCCTGGTGAGATTTTCCAGGCACTTCCAACCGGAAGGAGGCCTAAAGGGAGACCCAGGACACGGTGGAGGGACTATGTCTCTCACCTGGCCAGGGAAGTCTGGGCCTCCCTGCTTAGCCCGCTGCCCCCGCGAGCCGACCCTGGATAAGTGGATGAAAATCGATTTATGGATGGATTTTGTTATTTTATGAAGCCAAATGGCATAAATGTTGATATTCTAATCAAAAACATTGTTTTCTATATTTGAAAATGAGATCAAACAATATATTAAAACTATTAAACATTCCAATAAAGTTAAAGCTATTAAAATCTTAACTTTGCTCTCTAAAAAAAAAGTTAAATGTTACTTGTGATATCTCATTTGAGTATTTACAGTATTGGCCCCTGGCGGTTATTATTGTTGCGTTGTTTTGTATTGGTTACAAAATTTCTGAAAATAAACTGAAAAAGTAAAAAAAAAAAAACAGTTTAACCTAAATATCTAATAATAAATAAGAATAAACATAAATGAAAACTTAGAATAATTTGTTGAACATTAACCTAAAACATCTTCCACAGATGTTGATTGTGATCTTCATTTGTTGATCTTTTATTTTAATGTGATTTTTTCTGATAGATGCTATGTGAATAAGCTTTACTTACACACACAAACCTTTAAAATCATTTTGATGGAAAACCACAGAGGTTTTTCTTCAGATGGTTGACATTTAACTTAAATAATATAAAAATATAGTTATATAAGTGTGCATATTTTACATATTTGGGTGTTTGCCTTTAAAGAGCAAGTCACCCCCAAATCAACTATTTTTTTTCTGATAAACTATACAAATGCGTGTCTAATAGTGCTGCAGACACGAGTAGTCAAGTTTTGCACTTTAGTGCATTTTAGTTAAAATTTTAATTTTCTGCCTAAAACTTTCAGTGTTGTGCCGTTGTCAGGTAAAAACTCTGCACTGCATTTGAATTTAAATCTGCCACTGCTATTGGCTAAGAGGTAACCTAGAATGTTAGCTGGTACCATATGATGTCACAATGTTGTTGTGAGCCTGTATGTGTGTGTGTGTGTGTATTTGTTGGCAGCTCCGCCCTCTCGGTCTGCTAGACAACAGCATTTGTTGCATTTTTCAAACAATAAGTGGGAGTGGAGTTTGACTCTGGTAGGGGGTGACTTGCTCTTTAAGTTTCAGAACTGTTTAAAACATGCTGAGATTTTCAAAACTAAATAATGCCACTTATATCTAAATTAGTCAATTATTACATAATATGCAACAAGTAAAATGCTCCTTTGAAATACATTTCTATTATTTGTTCATGGATTGTGTGTTATGTATTTAACATGCTGGATTTCTAAATAAAAAGCCTTTGTGAAGAATTTATTAATCTTTCTGTTTATAAAGATTTATTCAGACAGTAAAAAAGCAGAAAACCCACATAAATATAATAAATACTTACTAAAAATCAGAATAAAAACCTTCAGTCTAAAAAGGATAGACCTGGAGAGGATTTTAAAGCAAAACAATAAAAGGTGATTATTAAAAGAAATCAAAACATTTAAAGATTTCGCAGCCAAAATGATGTACTCCGTTCTGGATTCTCTGTACTGGTTCCCACTAGCTTCTACCAGACTGGACTGGTTATTCACACAGATTTTTTACACGAGTAGGAAATGTTTTCCACCTGTAATTCCTGAGAAACAGAGCAGGAGAGGAATGGTCAGAACAAAGATGGAAGTTTGCAGCTGGTCGAGTCAGATGTGTTTGGGCGAATTAGACGGTACAACTTTGAACAAAAGTTAGACCTGAACCAGCAAGTCACCAACTCAATCCCTGAAAAATCAACAACAATAGATCCATCATGATCCCGACTACTCAATAATATTAAGAAGCCTAAGAAAAGAGAACCTGGGACAAGAGAAGACAGCTTTATTTCTGAGTCATGCTTCCTGGGCTTGAATCCATCAGAGTCCCTTCAGTCACGCACACTTGGCTGTCGGCAGACAGAAAGCCAAGGTGGAGGGAGGCACCAGGATTTCAGTGAAGATGGGTCGGTATCCGGCTGGAAGAGGAGGTGCGCTCTGCTCCAGCAAGTCCATCACGGCGCCTCGGATGTCCCTGGAGACGTCGCCTCGGATGTCCAGCAGCACAGAAACATGCTCGTCGCTGACAGAACGGAGACGACAGCATTGTCATGATAAAAGAAACACAACACGTAGAGAAAATGGGCCCTGTCAGCATCGATCCGACCTGGAGGGGATTTGGTGAAACAGCTACTGAAAGGTTTGGAATGTGAAAAAACGCACACGCGTTTAATTATGAGCATCGCTGCGTAACTACACACACGATGGGATGAAGAGCAGGAAAGGATCACCTGATGTCCGGGTATTTAGCTGCAAGTCCAGAAACCTCCAGCGTGAGCATGCCGGGGTCTTTGAGACGGACGAAGTCAGCCAGAGCGGAAAGTAAAGTCAAAGGATTCACCTCAGAGTCTGACCCCGACCCTTCCTGTTCAGACAAACAGATGAGAGGTCAAAGCTGCTTTCTAACACCGATTAAATCTACTTTTCAAACGGAATAAAAATTTCTAGGGCAGTTTCTGCAGCACTGACGCCGTGCAGACTCGTGCGGCCTTGCAGGGCATTCAGACGTTTGTAATGATCTCACCAAAATGTGGAAGACTTCTCTGAACAGCTGGTTGTCCTGAAGCATCTGCTGAGCAAGCTGCATCCTCTCCTCACCGCTGCGACACACCAGCTTCTTCTGCATCACCGCCCTGACGTATTCCACCACCATCAGCCACTGGGCCTCCTCCTGCAGGCGCTGCAGACACAAACCTGATGAGCAGTATTACCTCACACCTGCAGAGCAAACGTCATACGGTCCTAAAGAAATCTTTCTCACTACAGTGGAGAAATGTACATACATCTGGATGGTTTCTGCTAAATTCAACAAACAGAAGTAAATTGTTGAGTGGATCTGTTACCCGCCGGCAGGGCGGTCTAACCCGACCGTAAAGCTCCAGGTGACGCTCCAGGATGCTGCAGAGTTTGGGCGTGGGATCTCCCTGGGCCAGCCAGGGTCGGGTCAGCAGGCCAGGCAGGAAGAGCTGAAGCTCTAGCAGCAACTGATCCATCACCAGGCGACACGCCCGCCGCACCGCTCGGTCCAGAGCGGCCAGAGGGTTAGGAGGAGTCCGAGAGAACTGACCAGCAGACCGGGAGGCCTGTTGCTGCTGCAGGACCTCTGCAGACTTTCTGCATCGAACACAGACAACACAGAACCGTGTTTAAATCCATCTTCAGAAAACAGAGTAAATGGTAGAATGAAGAAAAACACACGAGCAGATTCCTGCTGAGTCATCATTAGCGCACTCTGAAGCAGTAAATGAACCAGAGGAGGTTTTGAAACCAGAACCCACTTGAGGATGATGCAGTTGCTGATAGAAGCCAACAGGTAGTGGAGGCAGAACTTGTTTTTGGTGTTTCGTGGATCCCTGCAATGCTCCTTCCCAAATTCAATCAGAGCTTCACGAAACCTGGAGATTAAAGTGACATTTAGATTTATTTACAATGCTGTACACACAATGAACCTCCGAGGGTGCAGATCTAATCTGGCCTTTAATCTGATGACATACCTGTTCAGGAGGTTCTCCATCTCATACAGCCCCATCTGGATGGTCTGATCCCTCAGCGATTCTCCGATCATCAGAGCCACCCGAGCATTCTCCTCCAGCATCTAACACGTTTACACAAAATACACATCACCACCGCACAGAGCTCACCAGGCCTGGAGCTGTGGTGCTGAAGCAGGGTATCTGCAGGTTTAAAGGAGCCACATTTAAGCCTTTTTAAGACCTTTTTTAAAGCCACTTTGACCAAATTTAAGCTATTTTTAAATTAATTTTAAGCTATAATTTCCAGCAATTGCCTGGAACCGATGCCAACCACGTCGTGAACAGTGCTGGGAGTAACGCGGTACAAAAGTAATTAATTACTGTAATGCATTGCTTTTAACTGTAATGTGGTAATGTAAGGCATTACAGGGAAAGAAAATGGTAATATTTACTCGGTACAGTTGTCAGTAACGCGGTAATTACAATGCATTTTAAACCCAGAATCAAGATGTGTTCCTTAAAAATTCAAATTGCGGGAAACCCGAAAAAAGTTCCAGTATCTGCATATATGACGTCATTTATGGACTCAGCTTTGCGGGCAGAGAGGACGCAGCGGTAACGGCTCAAATACTCCAGCTGCATCCTGCACCGCTGTAACATTCACAAAATCGCTCCACCAAAACAAATAATTCACCTGCGATCGTTCATATCAGCACATGTTCTCTGGTATTCTGTACTTTTCTGACGTGCTTTGCCTCCGCTGAGTTAATCTGGGCTCCGGTGATTTCAACTCATTGCTGCTGGAGCGCCGCGCATGTGAAGATCCCTTTGGCTGATCGTTAGAAAGTAGGAAGTCTAGGAAACGGGTTTTCTGGAAGACGGAGAGAACATGCAGCATGCAGGAAGGTTAGAGAGAGAAAGGGCCGGAAATTATTCAAATAAAATCAAGAAAACAAAACAAAGTGCTTGAAAAGAAAAAATGTAGGTAGATTTATCCCCGATACACATTTTTACCAGTGAAAAGCAATAATCTATAAGCATTTAATATTTATACATGTGATAGAATCAGATCACCCCAGAAGTCAGTCCCACATCCAGGGCCGTATCAAGGCGTTTGGGGACCATGGCAAATATAGGCTTGGAGCCCCCACCACCTCACTCCCTGCTCAGGTAATCTAAGATGGCAGCGTGCTGAGAGTACAGATTGTTGTTGCTTTTATTTAATAAACAATCATTTTAAAGAACTGTTTTTAACAGCAATCCTAGCTCAGACACCACATCACCTTCCACCGGATGTGTCATGAGTTCACCAGGCATCAGATTACCAAACCCATACTGAAGTTGTTTTGGTGAAAGTAACTTAGAGTAATGCAAAAGTAGTGTAATGCCTTACATTTTAAAATCAGTAATATTGTAATGTAATGAATTACTTTAAAATGAGGGTAACAAGTAATAAATAATGCAGTTTTATTACTACAATTTTGAAGTAACTTGCCCAACACTGCTCGTGAACGTGGGATTAGCCATCCAGTTACCGTTAAACTTGCACTTCCCCGTGGCGCGAGCTCCCACTAGCTTAACCAGCTAATGTGCTCATCTAAAAATAGCCCCCTTTCACAACCAACTGAACGTGTACGGTTCCGCTTACGCCAACGTCGTACACAAAAAACACTGAACACCAACTAGAAATTCACGAAAATTTTATAGAAATAAAAGAATCTTGTTTATTGAGTCTTTGGTAATTTAAGACCTTTGGAAACTATTTAAGGATTATTTGTAATTTTTAAGGCCTTAAATCTGGAAAAGCTAATTTAAGACTTTAAGGACCCGCAGATACCCTGTGAAGGATGGATGGAGCTTGAAGAATTTTAAAGAAGCAGGAAGATGGCTGAATGTGTGTGTGTGTGTGAGACACTCACCTGTGTGATAATGGTGGGCAGGCTGGTTTGGTAGAAACCCTCGTGGTCCATATCTGGCTCCTGGTCTCTCTGCCAGTCTTGCAGCTCCACCTGCAGAGCTTTGTGCATCCACTCTGAGACACTCTTCTGCAGCAGCAGCAAAACACACACACACACACACACACACACACACACACACACACGCACACACACACACACACACACACACACGCACACGCACACACACGCACACGCACACACACCTATGTTGTGTTAGAACAGTTTTCCCACGCATCTCAATTAAGGGATTAAGAAACGCTTCCATTCACCTGAACACTTTGCACATATTTGCTCTGCAGCTGCTCCAGTCCCTCTGAGGAGATGAGAGGTCCGAGCTCTGACCTCTCCATATCAGTCACCAGCTCCGGGTGTCCCATCATATCTGGGCTGCCAAGACAAGACCAGCAGGTCCGAGTTTCACGGTGAATGTTCCAGATGAGTCCGGCAGCAGTAAGTCTGGGATCAGATTTCCTGGAAGTGAGATTTCAGTTGGGCTCACCTGTTGTAGATGTGAAGCACCCAGTTGAGCACCGCAAATATTTCCCCGCTCTCCAGATCCCAGCTGCTGACCTGGACCACAAACATTACTCAGATGTGACGCTAATCTAAACGGTCCGTTTCGATATCTACGGTTCATGCAACACATCTTAGACTGTTGTAGTTTTAAACAGCACAGCTGAAAACGGCACACCTGTGCCAGGTGAGTGTGTAAACAGTGGTGGCTGGCCCTCAGGTAGGCGGCGGTCAGCTGGTAGTGCGTTGGGACGCAGTGCTCCAGTAGGTGGCGCACGGTGGCCAGGTCAGTCATGATGCCGTGCTGCAGGGCGGAGAGGTGACCGGCCAGGCCTGGACCACGCGTGTGCAGGTAGGAGACGCTACGGAACCGCGCGGACACCGCCTCCTCCAGTACCTGAGGGAAAAGGGATCCAAGACAACAGGCGTTTCTACAAACAGGTGCAGATTTGTCTCAAGTTGGGCTTTTATTAGTCTCCACCTGGAAGAAGGTTGCCCTCCAGCACCGAGGCCGTCCAGGAGGGAGGGGCCGGCTGCTGCCACCGGACCCCCCCCTCTCTGCCAGCAGAGCTCGATCCAGAGCCTCCTCCCTCTCCACGATCCTCACAGCAGACACAAACGGTGTGGGGTTCTGACGGGCCAGAGCCAGGGAGCTGCTCACCACTGCCCACAGCTCTTTAGCTGCAGGAGGACGAAGCCCTCAAGTTTAAACTTCTGCTTTTTTATAGCTTTTAAATTTGTTCTGTTGATCCTTTTGACACAAAATAAATGTCACTTCATTCTGCATGTTCTGATTCTAACGTAACATTTCCATCACTCCCGAGTAAACCTCGTCTCCTCACCCAGGGCGTCCACCAGCTGCCCGACTCCAGAGAAATACTTCACCACTAGCTCCTGGTCCTCAGAGCTGAGTGCGCTTCCTGGCGTTCCAGCTGCCCCGTGGAGCTGCCAGAGGATGTCATCCTGCCACCATTCCAGATCCATCAGGCGGGCGTGGGCCTCCAGCAGCCGCCGGGACTCCACCAGACGCTCCGTCTCCAACACCATGCTCTGAACTAGAAATTTCACATAAAGGGAGACGACTCCTGCAGGTTTAATATCTGTGCACGAAACCGTTTCAGCACGTGGTCACGTATTGGATCAGCAGGAGGTTAATGTGTTTAGGAAATCACATTTAATGCTTTTAAATCATTCAGAGCTTTAAAAATCGTTATACTTTTTCCTCTCCAGAGGGAATTCTTCATTTTTCCGTGTCAGCACAGATTTCTAAACACTGATCTGTATCTAGATTTCAAAGAAATGCAATATTACATTAAATTGTTATTGTATAGCTTTAAAAAAATACAACTTTCTTAAAATGATTAAACAGAATCTTTGGGAAATGGAAAGAAAACTAAACATTTTATGATTTGATGAATAAATTTGACTATTTAACACATTTTCTGACATTTAATGAGGATTTGCAGAAACTTTAGTGGCTAAATTTTTAGTTTCATTCAACAAAAATAAATGTTGAAATGTGTGAAGCGACTCCCTTCAGCCTCAGGCAGTTTTCCTTCTGCATGATCCAATATAAACAAGTCTGATGTGGTTTCAGAGCATCTCACCAGAGTAAAGTCGAGGCAGGTTGCTGACGGCGGCGAGGAGCTGGCGGTGGTTGATGGAGACCTCCCTCAGCCTATCGAGAGATTTAACACAGTCCATGTTTCCATCCGACTCCAGCCCTGCTGCTTTCAGAGTGTGCGAGACCTCCTTCAGCTCGGTTCTGGCCTCCCGGAGCTGCTCCAAACCCCAGCCCACGCCCTCCAGGTAGGATTGCACCATAGACTGGAAACAAACCACACGATGACGCTTTGGTGTGCAGCAGAGATGCAGCTGTTGAGTAAAGCTTCTTTTTTTTTGCTCGTCACCTTTAGTCTGGCGTGAACGGAGGCGGTCCTCTGACTCTCCCGCTTCCTGTATTGGCTCAGTCGCTCCAGATGTTCAGGCTGACAGAAAACCCCCGACGCCCACTTCAGGGCAGCACCCCGGGCCAAGCGCTCCGCCCGCTCCACCTCTGGCCACACAGCAGCCTCTGGCATTGAGAAAAACACACAAGTCCTTAAAGCATTTTTCCTTTTTGCAAAAAAGCTTCAAACTGATGCTTCGCACGTTTCCATCACTACAAATGTGTCTTCAGATGAACTATCCTCGTTCTGGAGGTTTTTGAAGCGGGGCACGACCTTCCCTACGACAAAAGAAAAGAAAAAAAATACGTGCAAACCAGCAAACATTTGATCCTGTGAAGCTTCATCATCATCACTGTTGGAGAGAGGAAACTCGGCATGCTCCGAGGTTTGGTCCCAGCTGGGCCGCTGACGCTCTGCTGTAATTTAATCTGTTTTTAATCCATTTCTCATTTAGCAGCAGAAGAAACATCTTCACTAAAGCTGCAGAGCTTATTGTGGAGGTTTCTACTAATCAACGCTGCATTCAGTCAAGAAAAGACAAATGTCGTCATTACAGGGTGGTACTGGGACAGGAAGTCTTAATGCTTTTTATGTGGCTTCCTCCCAAAACAAGTTTAAGTCTTCTGACCTAAGTGGTCTAAAGAGTAAGAAACACGAGAAAAGGATGCGATCAGATGACGGAAACAAAACAAACAGGAAGATTTCTGCTCTTTATGTTCGTGCATTTTTTTTCCCGGGACTGCGCTGCTCTGGGTGGCTGCATGTTGGAGTAGCTCTGTTGACTAAATGTAAGTTTTGCCTTTTTTTAGACATTTTTTCTTCTAGTTTCTCAAGAAAAACTGTATTTTTTGTACACTTTACTTTTCTGTTTCTGGTGCTGTGAAGCTTGGAGGATTTTTACTGCTATTTTTTTTATTTTTTTAGCTTTTTTCACTTTTTGAGCATTTGTTATGATGCGTAACCATGGCAACAAGCTGGTTTACAATCAGAGCAGCTGATTAACATTGGAAAGGCTGAAATAATACCTCAACTGAAGCCACAAATCCCAAATGAGCTAAAACGTAAAAAGCGTGGGTGCAGAGCGGGAGCAAAACGGAGACAGAGAAAGAGGAAATTCAAACCATCTCTTCCATCGATCATAACGGGCAATGTGAGATCACTGGCCAACAAGACGGAGGAACTCCAAGCCCTTTGAAGGACTCAGCCAGAGTTTCGGCAGTTTCGGAACCGCTGGAGGAGATAATGCAAAGAAGGATTCTCCAGAGAATCGAGAACATGATGGACAACCCTGAGCGTTCTCTTCACAAGACTGTCCGACAACAGAAGAGAGTCTTCAGTCAGAGGCTTCTTCAGTTTCACTGCAACACTGACCGCTACTGGAGATCCTTCCTGCCAACAGCCGTTGTAATATACAACAACTCTTTGATGACCTGATTAATATTATTATTATTCTGAGCTACTACAGCAATCAGTTTCCCTCTGGGATTAATAAAGTATTTTTGAATTGAATTGAATTCTTAGAGATAATGAAAACTAAAGTAAAAGCTGCTTTAGAAAGATCTTGATGATGAGCATGCTCAGCAGGAGGATGTTGTGGATGTGCTCCATCCAGTCAGGTGACACTGCAGGCATCAGAGTCACGTGAAGGGGCTTCACTCAGAAATGGGGCGTGATGTTCGGTCAGCGGGTCAGAAACAGGCTGAGCGTTAGGTAGCCATCGCCCCGAACACAATGTCACAAGTCTCTTCCTTCAGGTATTTAGATGCCTCAGTTACACAAACAGGCCCGTCTCTGTCTCAGACCGGGTCATGGGGCATCGGTGACAACACCATCAGCAACTCCTCAGAACAATAAACCACTGAGCACCACACGCAGGAGAGTGATGAGTGAGATGTGATCTACCTCTGCAACAACATCCAGCCCAAACAGAACCCGCCTCTGATCAATGCGCTGTAATCCTGCTGCAAGCTGGTTGGTATGGAAACCAGGAGAGCCGGAACATTACAGCTGGCTCCATGGCGACCAAGTGGGCAGAGCTAATAAGATTTGCAGCGCTGCTAAAAATTCATTAAAAAGGATGAAATCGGAGGCGTCAAACTCAAGTTTCACATCCAGAGCTCCATAAATGTGTTTTGTGTGTCTGCAGAAAATGTCTCAATTCTTGCAGAGTTGTTTGTTCAGAGTCCAAACCTGAGTTTATTTTTGCGATTCTGCAGCAAAAACTTCACATGAAAGAGTCAATTCAGGGTCAGCTGGTTTCAAATTAAGCTGAAATGACATCAAATCCCTGCAAGATGACGTGGCCTATTCCGATGGCCCGAGTTGAGCGTTCATGTTTTAAAATGTGTCACATCCAGGGACCTGATTCGGCTACTTGAACTCATTTCAATGCTTTTCGAGACTTTTAAGCAGTCATGTTTCACCCAAATCGACCATCTCGTCTTTTGGTCATCTGAAGAATCAAAACGCATCTTTTAGAGAATTTAACTCAAGTAGAGAATAAGTCAGGAGTTCTCAGCCTCTAAAGACACACAAAAGACTAAACTAAGCACTGTCCCTTTAAATGTTTGCATAAAAACAACAACTTGATCTATATGTGAACTTCTGTGGGAAAATGTCCCCAAAGTTCCCTTCTTATCTCAGAGGATCGTCCAATAACATCTTAGCAGAAAGGTTTTTGAATCCTAGCTGACAGAGTTGGTTTTCTGAAAACGCTGAAGCTGTTCAGATGGAGGAAGGTGCTGATGGCAGACCGCGGATCAACACGGCCCCTAACCTGATTCTCCAGTGATGACGCTGCAGACGACATCCACCGTGCTTGCAGAGACTTTAGAAGAAGAAGTGGGCGTTGGCCTGAACAGTAAAGCTGCCTCAGAACAAACAGGGAGACTCTCTTTACCTCTGGGTTTGTCACCTCCATTTTCCTCGTCGCCAGCTGACATTGAAGTTCAGTTCTCAGCCGCCTGTCCACCTGACGAGTCCTTTCCCCCAGAGGGCCAACGCTGAGGGTGCCCAGGGCACGAGGCAGGCGGAGGAGGGTGAAGGAAGCCAGAGAGGAGACAGGAGAGGAGAAGAAATGGTGAAGGAGAAAGGGCACATGTCCATTCTACTAACAGCTTTCCCATTTTCCCCTCCCTCCGACACATCCTCTGCTGAGAGGCCGGCAGGAAACAGAGGGAGGAGAGAATGCTGGATGGAGAGGGGGAGACAGAGAGGGAGAGGGAAGGAAGGAGACGTGCTGCATTCAGGAGCCTTGGCAGAAGGTAGTATTTATTATTAAAACAACAACTTTGCATCCAGAATTACCCAAATTATGCAAAAATGCAAATAAAACAGAAGCAAACACACCGATCAGTTCAGAGATCACACACAATCTGCTAAAACCTTCAAGTTATTTGCAACATACACACTTTACCTTGAAAATGTTATAGCAGAGGTGAAAAAAATGAAAAAGAAAATAATGACTAAATTATATTTTAATGCAAAGCTGTAAATGAAGCACTGATTTATTCACGTGCAGGATGAAATGTGAAACTTGTTTTCTGATAATGGTCCATGAGGAAGACGTGTCCTCATAACTGTCCTAAAAGGGGGCCGGTTTGTTCACAAACCCATCTTTAAACTAATGAAACTACATAATGAGGTTGTTAAAAGCTCTTCTGGAGTTCAGCTGATCCGGAGTGAAGCTCAGGTTGCTGGTGAAATGTTCTGGGGACGTCCCAACCGTGTCTTTAGTACGACTGAAACCATTCCTTTCCTTTTGTTAGACTTAAAAAAAAAATTCCTCAGTTCTAAAAGGGACACGAACAAACCCACAGAACACGATGAGGGGAGGGGGACCAGCTGGTGACACAAAGGGGTGAGGAGGGGACGGGGGAGTCGACTCTCTGAGAGTCTCTAAACCATTAAAGGCAAACCAGTTCCAGGAAGGAACCATGTATAATGTATAAGTCATTAGTCCGCTGGTCGTCGAACAACTAATGGAGCTGGAATCTCAAACCTTCACAGCCGACGGAGAAATCAAAGGTTTGTGATCTCCTGCGTGGACGTGTGTTCAGCTGTGTGGAGTCCTCCGACCCTGCTGCACCTTTTACGCATCCCAGCTTCCTGGACCTTCTCAAAAACACAACAAGGAGCACGCCAAGGGGCTCCAGAGCCGGAGCAAACACGTGGCTCCCGTCAGCTTTCAGAGCAACACCCAACACTTCCTCCCGCAGCTTTAAAACAAATACAGCAGAGACCTGTGGTGCAAGAGGTTCAACATTTTAAATATCTTCTTCATCATAATTTTCTAAATTAAGCCCTGCAGGAAAACTTTTACCACCACTGAGGCAAACATGCACGAGCCAAAGCAGAGCAGATTATTTTAAAAGCACACAAACTGTTATTTCCAACCAACCTGTCGGTCTACTGATTTAATCAGCAGTAAAACAGCTGCAGGAACGTTTTGTTTCTTGGTTTTACGTCTTTAATCGCAGGAGGTGGCTGAAGGCAGACCGGCGCGCAGAAGTTTAAATGCTTATTTATTCATTATTAAAAGGAGACTAGGCTGTTTTGGCTCACTTTTAACACCCCCTGGTGTGTTTGTAGAGCAGAGAGCAAAACTTATCTCCTCGCTGCACGTTCATCTTTTAAACTCCTTAATCCAACAGCTGAAATGTCTCCAGCCTTTATTAGTGTCTGCAGGAGCGCTTCTTTACTGAATTAAACAAATCAGCCGTGTTCATGATCTGAAACATGCAGGAAACGTGCTGGGACCAGACTGCAGCACCAGGTATGTCAGCTCAATGGTTTTGAGAACCGACTGGCCGGCACTCTGAAGTTGCAAGTGTACTAATCTGGCCACAGGGGGTGCTAGGGGCTGGGTGACCTTTCACTAACCCTGTAAAGGGTCATTTTAGCACATACTGGCTCAAGAAAATGATCTAAAACTGTGAAAAAGTTGCAAAGTATCCCTCTAAATCGGGGGTGCCCAATCCTGGTCCTGGGCGGCCGGTGTCGGTACAGGATCTGCTCGGGTGCTGGATCGGTTCGGGGTCCTTCGACTGCCGATGATGTCACATGACTGCAACTCTACTCGGCTTTCACACACACGTTTTGGAAAGACATCAGCAGTTTTGCTGATAAATCCTTGTTTGTTAACACCTAAATGTTTTCTTTATAATTGCAATTTGTTAATAAAACACCATATTATCTTTGTTTAGTAAAGAATGTGAAACTGCATAAAACCAACAACGGACTGACAAACAACAGAACAGTTCTTATATGTGAAGCCACATATGTTTGTATTAATGTTCGTCTGTATATTTCCTTAGTTGTTATCTAAATACATTCTTTGACTCTAAATGTTGCTTGGTGTCTTTCAATAAAGTTCTTATATTTAATTTTGCCCCATTTCATCACCATCAAGAGCTTTTGAGGGTCACCGTTTATCATTTGCTTATATTTTACATTTCCTTTAGAAATTCAAACATATTTTCTCCAAAAAGTGTTGATTTTTGGACTACAGAACTACAACCGCAAACTTGTTCTGACCAATCAAAATCATAACGTGACAACGTCACTTCCATAAGCTTCATGTTCAGCCAATCAACTACTTTGACGTCACTGGCAGTCGAAGGACCCCGAGCCGATCCTGTACCGACACCGGTATCCACCCCTGCTCTAAAAACTTAAACTACCAGGGCAGCTGACTACACTGCATGTTTATATTTATATATATATACACAAAACATGGAAATGTGTAAATAAATCTAACTTTTGGTCCCATTTGTTCAGGATAATCCACCCACATCTATCATTTAATCTATAAATCTCTTATTGTGGTCTGAACGGGCCTTCAGCGTCACCTCCTGTGTTGTTGCCACACAGGAAAACCTTCCTCCAGCTCAACGTAGAGAGCAGAACTGAGCTCGACTCACCAGGATGTTGTGCTGGACCTGTTCCTACAAGGGTGGGACGACGTCGATGGACAACAAGGCCAATGACCTGGACCTGTCACGCCAGCAGGCCGCCTCACTGCAGTTGGGTGTCTGACATTCACAGCGGTCCTGCTCGACTCCACAACAGAGAATCCAACACATCAGCAGGACACGACTGAAGGTTCTTACCATAAAACAGAAAACGTAGTCTTCAGAGTATTAATCATATATAGCTAGCTGCTTTTCAAATGCCATCAGATTACAGCTGCTGCATGTTTGCTCCCTGGAGGACAAATGTGATGTAGCCAGATTTTATTTTGAAAGGGTGGCAGCAAAATTCCTCCAAAGGTAACAGAAGTTATCAAACGGCTAAGGATTTAAAGCAACACTAAACGGATGTTCTTACCTTGAAGGTAGAGCTTTAACAGATCTCAGCGACGGTGGGGTTAGAAACTTGACCAGTTACATATCTGACTCCACTCTGCTGGCCAGATGCTCCGTGGAGCGGCTATGGGGTGCTCCGATACCTGCATTACAGCCTCTGCCGCGATACCAGGAGAAAAGCAAACTTCTTTTTCTTGACGATGAGCAAACAGTCCTAACGCATGTATTAGAGCACCGAAGGCTTGAGAGAAAGCAGCCAAAAGCTGCTGCTGTAGTGAGCTTTAGATGGAAATCATTAAAGACGACCGTTCAGCAGCACGGACGCAACGTCCTGCTGTGACATTTCGTCTGGATGTTGTTATTCAGCCAGAAACCAAGTTTGCAGATCCAGCATGGTGGGAATCCTGCAAATACTCATGTAAGCCCAGAGTCTCATGGATCTGTGTGGAAGTGATGAAGACTTGCTTTTCCAGTTTGGACATCTCGACGTCCCTTCCATCATATCTGAGGCTGTGTTTTTAATCAGAAGTGCTTCCCGACACCATGATCCGACAAGCTGCAGCTTTTAAAATAGCTGCACCTTTCTGTCCAGCAGCTGTCCTGAAAGCAGGACACACACCTCCTATTGCTGTCATCACCTTAAACCCAGCAGCTCCTCCACCCAGAGGACAAACAGGAAGTCTAATTTGAGACCACTTCCTGTATGACATTCCTGACCTGAGCAGCCTTCCTGCCAGACTCTCTCAGGCTCGGAGTGTGTCGCAGACCTGACACCCCAGCTGACACCGTTACACTTTCATCCATGAAGGATAATCTGGTGTGTGTGTGTTTAAAAACATAGAAGTAGGAAGTATTTAAACTCTCGTTTTAGTTGGGAAACAAGTTCTTTTGACATGGACGGGTTTTTGTACGAGGAGGAAACCTGAACAATCACGAGTGTTCCGAGTTGTCACGTTGATCTTTTGTGTTAAATCAGTCTTAAAAACAGCTTTTGAAGCCTTTTCAATCAGTTTTATTGTAAGTTCAGTGCAAAGAATTAAAATACATACAAGGTTTATAACAAAGGGACCGACAGAGGTGGGAAAGTAAAGATCACATTCATTTCAGCAGCAAATCATTTTAACTTCACCAAATATAATGAGTTACACGTGTCGCTATCTGGGGATACGCGTGTTCAGTATCTGAGAAGGAGAACAAACAAGATGCAAAATAATAACTTTCATTAAATGTTTCTGCAGGGAAAAGATCAATTCTGTAAAAGAAAGAAGGATTTGGAAGAAGAGGCGCGCTCATCTCGCTTCGTTAAAGAGCACGGATAAAAACACGGTGCCTTCCCTGGGATGCGTTCCCCAAACCCCCCAAAGCAGCTGGAATAACGGCTCTGGGAACGGTCACCTGCGTTAACCTTCACTCTCAATCTGTCCCAAATCAAGTTAATAAAAATTATACGCATATAGAATAAAAAATAATTAGTTCTATATATTTAGTGTGTAGTCTACTCCCATTCTTTAAGGTTTATTAGTTAGAATTTTATTTATTAGTATCCTGATGATTGTTTTATCCAAAAACGGGATCTGAATCCAAATAAGTAAACAAAAGTAAACAGGCTACGGAGATAAATGTCAACAAAATGACTGAAAGTGACCAAATGCAGCCAATAAAGGCTAAAGCAGCCGAGTGCTCCCCAAAAATTCAAAATAAAAGCAGATTTTAATAAGTTCCAATATCATTAAACTCAAATTAATCAGCTGTGTTCATAAAATAAAAACCAACAATGATCGGATTCAGATGAAAAGAAACACAAAAGGAAATGAATCAAATATCTCCCAACAAGATGAGACGTTTCATCTTTTCAGCAGAGGCTCGTCTACCTGCCAGGTGACTCCAGGACCCCTTCATGGGTCACAGAAAACGTAGGAAAAACATGTTGCAGGATTCCCTCCTTCACTGGTTTCCACTGCTGGTCGTGTTCTGCTGCTGAGGTTCTGGTCGGGCTCGGTTCCACGTGTGGAAGTCCAACAGGACTTGGTTAAGCTTCTCCATCCAGTCCAGCCTCTCCTGCTTGGTGTCAGCGGAGAACCAACACCTGAGGAATAAATCAAGTTTTAACGTTAAAGTTTTCCCCAAAACACACAAAACCAATTAAAGATCCGATTCAAACGTATTTATTTAGTTTCTGCTTAAATTGTGAATCAAAGCAGAAAAAGTTCAAAGAAGAGATTCACGATCGACAGCTTAAAACCAAAAATATGACATCATCTTACCTGGACAGTGGTTCCTGGTTTTGATCCTCCTGCAGCCTAACCTCGTTCGCCAGTTCAAAGGTGAAAGGTCGCGCGCAGGAGTCTCTGTTAACAGGCCTGACGCACTGACTGGGGAACTTGGACAGAGAGATGCTGCCCTCTGCTTCCTGAGAGGTGAAAACAGAAAATCACCCGGTGACCGCAACAGGCAGACAGATTTTATACATCTAGAAATCGGTTGTTCTATTAAACCTTTGTTTCTCTGTCATTTGGGTGGTTCCAGTAGAACAGATCACATCCCTGCAGGACAAAAAACCTGCGGTTCCACACGCCAAATCCACTGATCAGGTCAAACACGGTCTGGAAGCAGAACCACAGAATGGCTGTTGATTTCATTACATGCAACAAAAAGTGAAGAAAAAAATAACACACACACACACACACACACACACACACACACACACACACACACACACACACACACACACACACACACACACACACACACACACACACACACACACACACACACACACACACACACACACACACACACACACACACACACACACACACACACACACACACACACACACACACACACACACACACACACACACACACACACACACACACACACACACACACACACACACACACACACACACACACACACACACACACACACACACACACACACACACACACACACACACACTTTGCTTTTTGTTTTAATTTAAAGATCAACTTCACTCATATTTTTTATACGTCTGCAGGCCGTCTGGTCTCTATTCAGAATGAATGCCTTCCAAGTCGTACTCTGGGTGAAAAAAAAAAGCTCTGGTACGTCTGTTTTGAGTCAGAGGAGACGGTAGCCTCAGATGACAGGGTTCGGAGTCTTACTTCCTGATTTTTGGACATCTCGCCTCAGATTGGCTAACAGCATCGTGACTCTACCACTGACTATTTGCTCTGCAACCCTGATGCTTCATCTCCAAAAATAACTCAAGCATTGAGGAGTTATGCTGTGTGGTGAAGCTGCTAACGGTTAGCCTCTGCTAGCCAAGACGTTCTCTGCTGTTTGCTGGACACCAAGCACTTTGTGTCGCATCCTATGCATGAAAAGTGCTATATAAATAAAGTTTGATTTGAAACCAACAACAGCCTTCCCCGTTGTAAGATGGGTGAGTCCATGAATGTTAGTGACAGTGTGACGTAGATCTGTCAGGCTTTTCGAATCCTAGAGTTTCACCGTCTGTTTTCTATCAGAAGCTGATGTGGGAGATAGTCTCCTACACCTATTTTCATGTTCAGCCTGCATGAAACACTCAGTGACCCATTAGAATCAGAGATAAACACTAAAAATGGTTTTTAGTTAAGTGGACCTTCACAAGAAAAACACCTCTAACAGTTTTAATGAATTTCTATTTTGTGTGGACTTGAATTTTTAAATATTTCAGTTTTATTCCTAATTTGTGCAATGGTCTTAGATTTAAAACAGACAGTCAAGAAGCACAACAGCAGATCATTCTCCGATAAACCAGCGATGGAACCAGCGCTACTGACCAGGAAGCCTTGGTGTCGGACATCAGAGTGACCCTCGCTGTCCAGCTTCAGGTAGATGTTGCCCTCTAGAGGTGAAAGAAAAGGCACCTGCACGGTCCAGGAAGAGGAAAGAAAAACATCAACAAAGTCAAACATAAACAGAGGAAAGCGTTTACTAATTTAAATAACAGGTTAGTTTCTGCAAAGTGAGAGAAGTGCTGAGAAACGAAGGAGTGACGTGTTTAAAAAAAGAAAAGTGAAACCTTTTCCTGAAACTCATCTCCCAGCAGCTTCCTGATTTTGCCTTCAAATTTCATCTGAGTGGGAAAAGCAGGACAGAGACGGGGAGGGCGAGACATAGGACAGCAGTGAGCCCACCCGTGCTCTCGGTTTTAAAAGCACAAACAAAAAGAACCATTAATAGTAACGATGTAAACAAGAGCAAACAGAACTGTGCAGAACCCGGTGATGGTGGTGGTCGCAGTCCATTTAAAGTACTGGGGCTCTCTGAACTGCCCATACGAAAACCAAACACAGCCCCGGCCGCTGATGATCCACATTTACCTTATCCAGCGGGAATTTGTTGCTTCCTAGCGAGGCTAAGCTGATCGTGTGGGAGCCGACCAGACAAAAGTTACTGGAGCGACGACTGAGTGACGTCTGAGAAGAACCTGAAGGCCAAACAAGTCCAGACTGAGAACTCATAACAACTTTAGAGTTAAGACGGTGTGTGTGTGTGTGTGTGTTTATGGTCAGAGCCGTTCCTCGTTCCAGGTCATTAAACATCTCGGTCCCGACCAAAGCAAAGATCCTACTCACTTGTCAAGCTGTAACCGGATTTCTGTCACAAACACAACAAAAGGAGCTGTTAAAGAGGCGGATCAACTAAAACACGAACTTTAACATTCAGACATTAAACGTGATCAGATGCTCACTGTGATGGTATTCAGGAGCTTTCTGGGCGTCACCTGAAAACACCAAGTCACCATTAAGACATCGGCCTATTTTTATAATAAAAGCTGCGTTTGAGATCTAAAGACTACAAAAAAAATCTCCAACTCACTCGTGACTTAGCGCCGGGTCGATCTGCGCTGCTGTTGGTGCCTGAAGAATGAGACTGACACAGAAAAAAAAAATCACAAATGAAAATGATGTTTTCTTTTTTTAAACCAAACAAAATTTTTATGTAAAACTAGGAAGAATAAAGTTGTCTTTAGCAGAGAAAAACCACAGAGTTGAGTGGACTCTTCCTTTTAGGTACACATTTATAGGCATTAAATATATAAAATAACTACTGCATTAATATGCTTTCTTCTCATGTGGAATGCAGCCCTCATTAAACATCAGTGATAAAACTGGGTTTAATTTTCTAACGTTTTTGTCCTTCGAGCACAAAAAAATGCACTAAGCTCGTATAAAAAGTTAAATCTCAGATAAAATTTATTTATTTTTCTCACCAGGCTGTAGACTTCCACTTCAATCTCAAAACCAGGGCGGATGTCCTTCCTGAAAAAAAGAAAATGAAATTGTACATTTATTCTATAATTATATACACACACGCTCATAAGAGATTATTATTTTACAATCAGACATAAAAAAGAAAAAGCCAAATTTGATCGGAAACATAAAAGCTTTACGAGCTTTAACTAACAAAACGCAGCTCACAGCGTGACCGATGTTGGGAAGGAGATGGCGTCTCCGCTTCGGGCATCGGCTGCTGTAGCCAGCGGCGTGGCAACGATGTGGCAGGGCCCGTATCGGATTAGAACGAAGAAGTAGTGGCTTGGTCGTCCTGACGGGCAAAGAGCAAAACATTTAGCTTTTCCCTTTGCGTGCATAAGCGGCCTAAATTCGTAAACTATGAAGAGTTTAATCCAAAACCCTTTCTACCGTCCTACCTGCGCGGTTCTGCGACGAGCAGACAAACTCCACCTTGAGAGGCAGCTGGATGTTTGTGATGCTGACCGTCCCTCTGCAGGGCTGCTGCTCCTCTGTTGAAGCCCCTTCAGACTCTGAGCTCTTCTCCTCCCTCAGTCTGGTTACCTCTGCCAGCAGGGCAGAGCGTTTCTCACCTGAAGGCAGTTAAACCACAAATAATGAGGCGAATACTAGAAAATGAACGCACAGTCTGGCGGTGTACATACAGGAGACCAGCAGAAGTTTCTCAGCTTCAGCCTCCTCCAGCGAGCCGCGTCCATGGTCTTCATCAGTGCAGCAGCTCAGAGCTTGTAGGGTCTGGCTGATCACGGTCTGCAGCTTCACGGCTTCTTCATTAAGAGCCTGGAGATGCAAAATTTATAAGAAACAAAACATTTTTAACAAATCCAGTCTTCATCTAATTCTATCTTGTTTGTTTTTTCTCGTCTTTTTCGTAAAATATCTTCCCGTTTTAACTAACGGGCTAACCCTAACCCTCTTAACATGAACCTACCAGAGGACTGCAGATGGAGATTAGCCTAAGGCTACAATCTGGCATATTAGCAGCTGTTCATAAATATGCAATGTCCTCTCTTTAAATAAAGTAAGAAAAAAAGTGTTTATTACAGTTTGCAGACATTCAGTAGATTTAGATGTTTGTCAAACTTATTTAAAACCAGTCGAAGAGTTTATGAAGTCTCTGAAAAACTAAAATACATTCCTGGATGAGAAATAACAAAAACTATTAAAATTGAATAATCTAAAAATAACTGCATCACTTGATAAAATCTTTTTTTTTTTTGTTTTTACACACAGAGACCATTTTAAAGTTTCCACTTTAACTCCATTAGTTCCTCACGGCTATTCTCTCCTTGGTGTTGACCAACGGCTGGGGCTCGGACACCTCTGTGGCCCGTCTCTGAGCAGCTGGAGTCACGCCCTGAGTGGCGGGTAGCTTACTCTGTCGTTGTGTGCGGTACGCATCGACACTGTCGAACAAAAGATGTGTGTATCATGTTGTAGGAAGTCATTTTAGAGACCCACTTGTAAAATAAAAACAAAGCTTTTTACGAGCTTGTCCTCCTTTTTGTTCTGTAAAACCAAAACGAGGTACCTGTAAAGTGGAGCGAAGTCAGCCGGAGGGGTGCTGGTTTCTTCTGGAGTCAGGAGCAACGATGAAGAGCTTGACTCCTGAGCTGCTGCCAGCCGCTGTTGGAGAACATCACAGACGCGCGTTATTAAAAACACTCCCAACACGACAAAAAACAAAAAGGTTTCTTAGCCTGTGCCAAGTCTACTTCATCAGTTGGTGGAGCACAAGTGACGCTTTTACCATCGGGGTGACCGCAGCTTCTACAGACTTGCTGAGAGGAGAGAGGATGACGCTTGGAGGAAAGGTCAGCAGCTCATCTCCATAACTGTCCAGCTTGTTGCTTTCATCCTTCCCCTCTTCTGTTGCTTCTTCACTCGTCTCCTTCTGCACGTCGGTGTCCATCTTGTCTTTATCTCCAGAGCAAGCACCGATACCACTATCGCAGTCCTCTGCATCTTCATCCACTCGCTCCTTTTCTTCCACATTTCCGGCACATTCCAGCACCTCTTCAAACATCTTGTCGATTACTTCAGCGGTCCCGGTCTCATCGTGAGAGCTCAATCCATCGTCTGATGAAAGAAAAGCAAAGACGGGATGGAAAATGTTCATCATTTCTGCTTTCCGAAACAATTCAAATATCAGAGAAACCACACCGACCCCGAACACCTGTGTGTTTATCTGAGCGCAGCACTGAGAAAATGACCATCCCACCAGCAGAGAGCTTCACCCGTGTGCTCCACTGTTCTTAAAAAGAAACCCAAGTGCCCATAAATCCATCTTCAGACCAATCTCACCTGACAGACTTGTCTCAGTCCTGGACTCCATTGAGGTATCGCTCTCAGTCACGGGCGAGCTGTTAATCAGCTCGGGCTCCAGGATGAAGGTGACTCTCTTTGGGTTTTCTATCCTCTGACTTCCTGCTGCCAGCTTGTTTACATAATCCTGCCTTACACCTGATGAATCCGCCTCCATCTCACCGGAGTCTAGCTGGATCTCTGTTGACCTCTGAGCTTCACCATCGTTTCCATCAGAATGAGTTCCCGCATCATGGTCTGCGCTCCCTGACTGTGCTTCTGGTCTCGAGTCTCTTAAAGCTCGAGTTTCACGTTCCACACTGCCTGCCTGGCTCTCCTTCCACTGTTGAAATGCATCGTTGTTTCGGATCAATATTCCCACACCGCAGCTTTCACGGGACTTCAGCGTTTCTTCATCAACATCAGCCTTCTCCATCACAGAATCATCTACCATGCTCCTCATCTCAGGTGTCAGATTACCATGATTCTGCGGCTCCGGAGAGCCATCAGCCTCACTGGAAATATCTGCGTGAGGATCAGCAGGTTTGTTGTACCTCGTAAAGCCATCTTCTTTATCTTTGTCCTCGCTGAATGTTTCTAACTCCCTTCCCTCCTTGTTAGTTAAAAGCTGCCTTTCTTCCTCATCCTCAACCACCTTGCCTTGAGGATATCTCCATACCCTTAATTCCTCATCGGTTGAAGGTTCAATCCCCTCCTCACTGTATGAAGAACAATTCATTGTTTCCTCTTCATCAAAAGTAAACACCTCAGATTTGTCTTCAGTTCCTCTGAAAACCTGACTCGTTTCCTTTGTGTTGGACTCATCTAGGAGGGTTGATTGTAAGAAGCCGTCCCTCTCAGCTGTTTGCAGCTCAGACAAACTGTGCTCCTCACTGAAAGACAGCTGTAGTACAGCCAGAGCTTCTGGTTGTAGGAAACCTGGCTGCTCTTTATTCACATCTGCTGCCTTGTGTTCTTTCTCCTGACCTTCCTCATCACGATGAGCATTTTGTTTCTCTGCAGATGCAACAGCAGCAGATTCAGAGGACGTTCCTTCACCTGATGAAAAATAAGTCCTGCATCTCATCACCAGATAATCAAACTTCATATCTAATGGTCTACATGTGCAGAGGAGAGCCAAATGCCGCTAATAATCCACAGTTTAAATTATTTCACAGGAGGCAAAAGTGTCAAGTTGGCAAAGAAAAGAGTGAAATAAAGTTTACAAATATTAAAAAAGAACTACTACTGATGACTGGTCAGTGATAAATCTGGGTAAATGTAACTTCTTTCAATTAAAAATAAACTTTTCAGCTGTCTAAACTTTATGAAGAAAATGAGACATGGGAAGAGTTTGTCTATGAGAAAAGTTTAAATGTCAGATTCCTCACCAGTGGGATTTGCAGGCCCCTCTGTGGCTGATTTAAGCATTTCAATGAAACTGCCATCTTTCATCTCAGTATCATCATCATCATCATCATGAACCTGCTGGATAGAGAACAGCAGCATCAGGATGTAAATAAACAGCTTCTAAGTGAAAAGGAATGCATTAAGGGAAACTGGGCAGAAAGGAAATAAAAGACAAACACTGGATATTGTTTTTAGAAGCTACAAAGAAGGTGAAACAGTGCCGAGTAACCAGGTGAGTCCCTCTAAATTGACATTACAATGGAAATAATCTTAAAATGGACAGAAAGTGGTGCATGACTCATCCAAATACTGTTTTCATGCTTTTCGGTGAGCTTTCAACTTCCCACAAACCACACCACACTCTTACTAAGGTGCAAAATACCAAAAGTAAACCACACACCTCAAAAGGATTTTGATAAAATTATCTCTAAATGTGGAATAACTCAAGTTGGACCACTTTTAAATGAAACCTAATATAGAAGAACCACAACTGAATAGAATTGTATTTAGACCTTTAGAGGGTGAAAACTCGGTGCAGTTTGTTTTGATTCCACATCACAGACTCACATCAGACGGCTGCACGGGAGGCCAACAAACCTTCCTTTTAGATCTTGCAACTGACAAGGTAGGTGATGAAGAGCCAGCAGGGGTCCTTCGCTGCTAAAGTTTATACAAGTTAACTTGCAAAAAAAAGCTAATGAGAACAACAGCCAACAAGGTGTTACAAGGTCCCACCAGCGGGTTTTATCCACTAGAAAGTGCTGAACTGTTGCATGTTTACTATTTTAGAAACCTTTTCTGCAGCAGAAATCCAACCTTTGTTAATTATGTGATTTTAATTAAAATCACTAAGAATCAGTGAGAGCGTAAACAGCTCAGTTTGTTATAACTTATCTACTTTAGTACATCAGCCACACCTTCCTCAATATAGCTGATAAACTCGATGTTTTCTTTTTTATTGTCTAACAGATAAAGTATGACAAACTTACGCTTGTTAATGATGAATCGGAGTTGCTCCTTTTCAGCCAGGCGTTCTCACTAATTGGCTGGAAAGACAGCTGGTTCAGCTCCCGTTCTCGTTCCTGATCAAAGAAACCGAGTTGGACCGTTTACTGATTCTACAGGGACGTTTTTAAACGGGTGAATGTTAAAACAAATCTTGGAAGACATGTATTGATCTACAACAGAACCAACATTAAATGTGGGGACTATATCAGCGTTTAAAGCAAAACCAACCTGGCGTATGCTGAAAGCCTGCTTCGAGCTGGGGGTTGTTGAGCACTGGAGTTTCTGCTGAATGCCAGAGACGAAGCGGGAGCGGGCCCGTGGGCTGGGATTGGCAGGAATCTCTGCTGGGGTGGGGCTGGCCTGGAAAACAGGTGCTTTAAAACGCTCCAGTCTTTCATTAAATTCTTCTTCGCCTGCGTAAAAATACCAATGAATCAGTAATGATAAATCATTTCATGTTATTTTAAAAGACTTGCACTAAACATTCAGAAATCTAAAATAATTTATGGTGTGCTCATTGGTGTCCTCACCAAGGAGATGCCCTTTGATGTCTTTGGTATTAACTGATGAACCTTCAGCTCCGGGATCAGAAAAGCAACGCTGAACTAAAGAAGAAATGGCAAAAAAGTGTTTCAGACTTGATTTTAATCAAATACCAACAACGCTGCTTTTTTCTGATTCATAAATACAATTATATTATCTGACATGGAAAATCCAATCTCACCCGACTTCAGGTCAAGAAACAGAAATACCTCAACAACAAAACACCCAACAAAAACAAAACTATTACCATCTCTTCTCTGGGCGAGCAGCTGAACTCGTGAACGGACCGAGGGAATCATCGGCGTGTCTGGTTTTGTCTGTAGCGCAGCCAGTCTTCCAGAGGTGGACGGTTTAGGACTTTGGTTCTCCCTACCAGCTGCCTCCAAACGCCGCCGCTTCAGCCCATCTTTCATTTCTGAAACAACATACGGACAATTGTTGTAAATATGTGACAAAGTCTCATTGTAACAATTAGACCCATAGCAATTCTTTAAATATTCACACAAACATACCTGGGGCTGGGACAGCATTGCCTTCGGAGTCTGACAGAGGTTCTCTCTGCCTTTTCAAGTTAGCGTTGGCTTTGCCACCATCTTCCTCTCTGGCTTCCATGTTGAACTGAAAAAAGTCAAAGTAAAACTGACCTTTCCAGGCCACCATGCTAGGTGTTCTCATGGGAATTAAGCAGATTTTTTAGCTTATAGTGGAAAACAAGTTATATAAAAACAATAAGCTATCATGAAATGTAAACAGGTTATAAAGTGAAAATACACATTTCAAGAATTGCTATTTGCTGTAACTTTAACCATGCTAGCCAAAACAATGGGTTTGTAAACAGAAGCAGAAACCAACCAAACTGTCACGCTTCTACTTTGTTTTTCAACAATGTTTATCTTTTTTATTTTATTTTTTTGTATGACTTAGCTGTGGACATTAAACGTGGGTGGGGCGGGTAACATTTTTTGAGTTACGTGTGGTTGTATCATATCAGTTCAAATGGGAATGGCAATTTTATTTTTCTTGAAAAAATGAATTGTGGTATAAAAAAGAACAAGGGCCAATTTTTTCCATTAAACTTCTGCGTGTGTGTCTATGAAGAGGAGGAGATAAAGTCCAGTTTAGATCCAGTAACAAACACAAGTAGCATGTTTTGCTAGCTGGTCAACTACGTCTTCGACGTTTCTAAATTCAGAAAAAAACTGTTCCATGATTTATTACATTTCCTATTCTTCTTTCTAAGACAAAATTGAACAAGTCACAACTTATTTTACTGCTTTAATAAACGTTTAGCGACGACGCCATGCGTTTTACTTTCTTCGAACCTACAGTTGGGCTAGATTGTTTAGCATGAAGAGTGAACAGAAGAAACGCTTTGCTAGCTCGACTTGTTATCTCAACATGTAATGTGTTGTCGCCTTACCTGAGACGATGTCTGTATAAAACTGCAGTTTCAAAACCAATAACGACAATAAGACGGAAGAAATAACCTTCTTGTTGACACAAACGTTCAATCTCCTCCTCTAACTTTAAATTTCAGCGGGTCTTGTGACGTCAGCGGAAACTACAACTGCAAACTGATCTGGAATCAGTCTTCTTAAAGTGTTACCGTAATACAATGAACGCTGGACTGGGAAAAGCTCAAATCTGACCGCTGATCTAGGATCAGCCATTGTTGGTGCAACTTCTTTTTGCGTGTTAAAAACTGGTCCCAGGTCTGACAAACGGGCGTAAAAGTTTTAGTACGGCAAGTGAACGCGCTGGAGGATATGAGGCATATTTACATACAAAAATAAATAATAAAATAAATTATAACCGTTTTTTTTGTTGCTACAAAAATCCATCAATCGAGATTAATCATTTTTACTTGTCCATTTAAATAAACCGGCTTTGATTGAAATTAGACCTTGAAACGAAAGGGTGTTAATCAACACTCTTTCTGCAGCTGCATTCAACATCTCTTTGGATAACATTTAGTTGTTTTTACATATATTTCACACCTGTAGTTTCTCAGTTTCACACTGCAACGAGCTGCTTCTTTTAGGCTTCTGCAGAAAAGTAGCTCAAGTGGGTCATTGGTGCATCTCATTTGTAAGGAGTCAAGATAAGATCTTCAGAATAATTAGTTTCACATTTTAGTTTTCAAAATTATTAATTTAGAAGAACCGAATCATGGTTCACGGTTTACCCTGGAAGGAGGAAGACAACTTCTGTTTATATTTATAACCCAAAGTGACTGAAAGTGAACTCTCACGCTTTATCCTAAAATAGCATTTTTCTCTTTGTGTCACATTTGACATTTCTTAGAATTATTCACAGTTCACCTTCACAAATAGACACAAGGAACATACAAAAAAATTACAAAAATGATGCCTTTGATTTATATTTTTAAAGGGCTTCTGCACCCAAGCAATTAAAATGTGTAAGTTTCTTTCTATTGACATTATTATGTAAGCAGTTTTAAACTAACTACAAACAAACAAAAGGGTCCTGGGTAGGTGGGTAGGTCTTTTGAGATCAAAGTCACAACAGGTTTACATGCAGATACCTGAGATTTGATGAGGCACAGGGACAAAAAGAAACCCTTTCCTGTCCCAATAGCCCAAAGATGGTCCAATTAGGACTCAGGAACTGACAAAATCTTCTGAGTTGGTCAAATCTTCTAATACTCATATTTACAGATTCTCTGTGCATTTAAATTGTCTCTTAGTGTTTGTAAAAACTATGTCGTTCGCATCAAACACATTTCATTAACAACAAGAAAACGGCCCACAAATTTGTGTCAATTTAAGACAAACTATCTCAAAGCATCTAAACATGTGAGATTGCTCTTGATTTCTGCAGATAAGATTTCCAGGAAGAGGTGAAGACAGCGACGATGATTGGACTTTTGTTTTTTGTGGTACAGAAACTGATTTTATCTCTACGTCACATCTTGTGGTACCATTTCTGAAAAACCCCTCCATAGACACCAGACAGCGGTTTTAACCTTTTCTGAATGTTAGGGTTTATTTTGGGCGGAAAGTCTGACATCACTGAATTTCAGTTCCACAGTGGACAGGATTTAAACCGGTCCAGGGGGTCTGACACAAACAGAGCCAAGCGAGAAGAAGAAGCTGCAACTCATCTTTCCATCAAGGGCATCATGAAGACTTTGTGTTTGACTCTGGGGCTGCTGCTGATTGTCTTCTACAGCTGCAACGCCATGCGTGAGTGTTCCCCTTAATGCATGTTGGTGTTTATCTGTGACGGGTTCATACTGATGTGATCTGTTTCCCTCACAGTTGACGCAGTGGGGATCAGCACTTTTCCTGGAAACTGCTGCTTCCATTTCAGAGGCATGGAATTACCAGACAAACGTGTGACTTATATTACTAAGACCCACATTTCATGTCCGAAGAAGGGATTCATGTGAGTTTCATTATTCAATGTTGAAGCTAATGACAACCAACCAGCAAAACATTTTTTTAAAAGTTGGCTCATATAGCAAAAGCATGTCCGACAGCTAAAAAGGGCCCAACCCATTTAAAGATTTATACGCCAACACCAGGATCTTAAAACAAATTTTAAAAACAACTGGGATCCAGTGTAGTGAGGCCAGCACCGGAGTGACATGCTCATACCTGCTCATACCTGCGGGTGCCCGTTAGCAAACGCGCCGCAGCATTCTGGACCAACTGTAGTCTAGAAAGACAACCCTGACTCACCTCGATAAATAGATCGTTGGAATAGTCAATTCTCGTGGTGATAAAAGCATGAATGATTCTATCCAAGTTGCAGTGACATTTTATGCAAGTTTCAAGCCAATTATGATGAAAACTGATGCTTGTGTTTTATTTTGCAGCATTCATACGGTAACTGGACGACAGATCTGCTTCAATCAGAGCTCCGTGTGGGCTCAGAGGATCTATACACAGATCCACAACAGCGACGGCAGCGGCTGGTGGAAATAAAGACTCATAACTGTATTATACGTATTTATGTGAGAGCCTATGTTTGCAAACATAACGCTTCATTTGATCTGTGCATGTCACCAAAATGTTGCTGCAATATAATTCATTACTTCTTCAAAATAAACATCTGTCAGATTATGTGTTCACGGTTTTTAAATAAACAATAACAATAACAACAACAACAACAATAACACCACTATAGCTGAAGCATGAGTTTGGATTAATTATTTAAACTTTCTTTTGTACTTCACTTAAATAATCTAAATGTTGTAATTAAGGCCTCCAAGAAAGGAATAGAGCCTTTTTACTTTCAGAGCACAACAGCAAAATTAAAACGACCAAAAAAAAGAACTTTTAAGGGTTTCTGTTTATTTTGTAAAATTAAAAATCAATTTTCATTTGTGTATTTAGTCTAGAAAAATGTTATCGTAAAACCAGATTTTATATAACAAAACAACAATTTGATACAGCAAATTAAAATATTTGATTCCTCAGACACCAAGGGAATGAAAATAGTGTGTAATTGCTCTATTCTATTCTATTCTATTCTATTCTATTCTATTCTATTCTATTCTATTCTATTCTATTCTATTCTATTCTATTCCATTCCATTCTGAAACTGTAATAGAAGTCATAATAAAAGTCGTTGCTCCAGAGAAGAAAACAAACATAACATTTTGATTAGAGATGGATTAAAGTGGCAGAAAATTAGCAAAACTAGTAACGAGTACAGATGTGTAACGATGATAAGTGTGAAGAATAAAGACATACAGTAAAACAGGTTTTCTGCTGTCAGCCTGACCCCCCCCCCCCCCCCCCCCGTGTCAATTTAAACTTCATCCAGTAGGAGGCACTAAAGTTGAAATATGCCTTAAAGATGGTTGCCTGAGTGAATATAACTTCAAAAAAATGCCCAGTGTGCAAAATGTTTGAATAAAGATGTAATGATGTTGTCTTTAATATTGCTGTTGTTGTCATACTATTACTATTACTACTACTACTATTACTACTACTACTACATTATTAAACAATACAACCCCCTTCCCAAAAGCTTTATTTGCCATTAGAATAGAATATAACAGAATAGAATAGAATAGAATAGACTTTAATGATCCCACAGTGGGGAAATTCACTTGTTACAGCAGCACCAACACTTAAGAGAATAATTTGAAGAAAAATAATAAGAAAGGTACATGTTTATATACACATAGGCAGTAAGCTAGTATTGTAACCATCAACCACCAAAAACCACGAAATAATAAATGAAAATCTTGAGTTACAGAACTGTGGAGCATTAGGGACACAGACACATGTAAATCTGGTATTGCACAACCCAGAACCGAGCTAGCTTTGTGAACTCGCTTGTTCAGTCTCTTCCTGCCTCGCTCAGAGCTGCCTCACCCCAACAGACCACAGCAGTGGAGAACAGATCCAACCACAGATTGATAAAAGGACTTTAACTCTGAAGGACCTCAGCCTCCTCAGGAGGTGGTGGCGGCTTTGACCCTTCTTATACAGAGCATTTTAGTTGTTGGACCAGTTTGGTTCACTGTTCAGGTGAACACCCAGGTAGGCACAACCTCAACGTATCTCCCTGGATGTTTACTGGTGAGTGAGGGGTGTCTGGTGTTGTCCATGACTGACCTGTACACCAGCAGGTCATTCCCCTCAGACACACAGCCGACAATGGCCGAGTCATCAGAGAGATACTCATCTTACTTCAGTCCTTTTGAAAGTGATCCTTTAAAGGTGTGTTCAGGTAAAGTTCATCAGTGCTGTTGAAACTTAATCAGAGACAATAAAGAGATCAGCTTCCTTGTTCTGATAATCTGAGGTTTTTGCTGAACTCCTCGCAGATTAATAATCTGTGCCATTTTTCATAGAATAGTCTTATTTTTCACCCCAGCCCCCCCCCCCCCCCCACACACACACACACGCACGCACACACACACACACACACACACACACACACACACACACACACACACACACACACACACACACACACACAGTGATGGATGCAAACTAGAACAGGAACTAAAATAGACTTTATTTATTTTTGTTTGTTTTTCTGAAGAAAACAAGAAATTCCCAATCAGAGGAACTCAAACTGAACCTGAACTCAGTTTAGATGAAATCTGAAACAGGTGACTAAGGTCTTTGCTTTTAACGGGGTTGAATATTTCGCAACAATTAAGCCGGCGTGCAAACGTGGAGCGCTGATCTCTCATCCGGTGTCCGTCGTCCCCTCTACTCAGGCTGTGGTTACATGACACATTCTTGTGTCTTCCCCTCTGAGCCTTTCTTTGTTTCTACTTTTGAAGGTTCATATGTAAATAAAATGTGACTATTTCTATTCTCAGCTTTGGAATAACGCCTCCAGGTCACATGATGCTCATCAGAAACCACCAGGAGTCTTTCTGGGTTCTCTAAACCAGAGATAGTCAGTCCTGGAGGGCCACAGCTCTGTTTCAGCTGCTTCCCTGAAACAGGAAAACACAGAAAACATGCAGGTAGTTGCTCTTGAGGACCAGGACTTAAAAGCCCCCTCACTAAAGATTAATATTATCTGATCTTATCTCATTTTCACAAGATGACTCAAAGATCACGTAAAAGTTCAGGTCTTTTCTGTAACCTGCATTCACCCACGTGTGATTCAGATCCAGAGAAGTCTGCATGCTGCACCACAGAGGAGCGATTTCTTCTGATGCAACTGGAGCAGACTGAAGTTTATCTGATCTTTGTGCCTTTATCTGGGTCAAGGTTGGATGGAACAAGATGGCACAGATTAGTAATCTGTGAGAGGTGTATTGCAGCGAAGACCTCAGAGATTATTATCAGAACGAGGAAACAGGCTTCAGTGCTGCAGGCTCGTGCAGATTTCTGCCTGAAAAATTGCTGATCTCTTCATTGTCTCTGATGAAATTAAATATTTGGCTGAAATTTAAACTAAATATCAGCACACTTACCTTAAATTATAACCCAAATGTCTAAAAGTAGATACAAACACAATTCTGACACAGTTTTCACCCGGGAGCAGAGTTTATTCTGGTTTTCTTTTATGTTTTGTTGCTTGTGAGAGCAGAAAAATCAGACATTATAACAGCTAAAAATACTAAAACTATTTAAAGTTGCACTTATTACATCAGGGGAACGCCTGAAGCACGCAAGGCCGTGACCTTTCAGGACCTTCAGAGGACTCAGAAAGACTTGCGAGGATTTTCTAACGATTCGCTTTTGTTACCTGGTGGCGTTGTGCCAGATGTGATTCTAGAATCAGGCGTGTTTTGGTATTTTGATGAGAACCTTCACAAGTTAAGACGAAGAAAGGCTTGGGGACGGGAAGATGGAAGAATGCGTCATGTGACACATCCCGAGTGGGGAATAAGATCACCAGCGCTCTACATCTACATGCACTCTGAGTCGGTGTCACTGAGATGATGGCCTAAAGGTCGTCCGCTCTGGCATCAGATTTAATCTGGACCCAGTTCAGGTTCAGGTCTCCGATGGGGAACTGCAGTAAAAAGTAAAACACACCAAGTCACATTTGATTTCATTTTTCATCATTTAAATCCAAAACCCTCCTGAACTTTTTCAATCGGACTAATTTTGTCACTAAATGTTTGTCTTTTTTAGAAGATAATTCTTCTTCCGGCTCTTGGAGGGTGCAGACGCTTTTTTCCTCCTCTCCTCCGTATCTTATCCTCAAGGCCTTTGTCTGTCTGGGTGCTGGGTGCACGGCTGCTTCTGCATTTTCTGGAAACTGAAATTCACTAAAATGGATCTCGTCAGCTGGTCCCTCAACGCGGTTGATACAATTTTTTCAACGATGAGAATGGGAGAAGGGGCTCCCGGACGCCCCTCCGCGACAGACCCAGTTGGACACATCATGGACTCCTGGAAACAGTGGAACTTGATTAGTTTATCTCAGCTGTCGGTGGAGGGCTCTGAAGACGTGTGGATATTCGTGGTGTTTGTGTCAGGTTTACTGCTCATTGGCCATGGAGGCTACCTGGGAATTGTGAATCATCCTGTGCTCCTCTGTCCCGCGGAGTACCGCAGCGTTCCAACTTGGGTCCAGTTCTGTTTTCCCGTGCATTTGCTCCCGCTGGGACCAGATTTCCGGGCACGTCTCCCTTCACTGTTACACAGATGACTGCCAGATCTCTCTGCTGACACGTCTGAAGGATGTTAAACCTTGGAAGGCCCTGACCTGTGTTTGGACTGAGTTCTGCTGCCGATGTTCTTGCAAAATTTGAATCCATTTCACAAGCAACAGACTGCAAACCTGTGTTCTAGAACGGATCCCGAACAGCTCGGCAGAGGGACTCGGCCAGCTGTCCGAGCGAGTTTCTTTCACCTGAGGCAGCTGAAACACTTAGAAGCGTCCATCCACGCCTTTGTTCTCACTTGGCAACAACTTTGCTGCTTGTAAAGCACGACATAAATACAGCTGAGTTGCATTTTCAGACATTTTGAAGCTTGAAAACATTCCTAAGTATGACATGCACTAATGGAAATTGAGAAAACAAATCACATCACCACTAAGTCACTATCACTAGTAAGATGTAATGGCAAGATCAATTTGTTAAGCTTCCTGCCACCTGATATGAAACGAGCACACCCTGACCTTAACCACTACGTGACCTTGTTGCCAGTCCCCACATGCCAACGACAGTGGCAAGAAACGGGGTCAAAAGGTGGGCCACAGAGATAAGATTGGACCCACGCTGAAACACACTGAACTTGCTTATGTGAGTAAAATCAGCCAGAAGACAGGAGCCCAACTGCACAACAAGCATCCAAGCTAAGGGTCACAGAAGGGTCGCAGGGACAAGAGGACAGAACTGGGCAAAAGGTCAGGAGGCTGACCCAACCTCTGGCAGGAGCGGGAAAAGAAGGACTGGAACAGAGTGAAAAACAGCTCATCGGATCAAGAAGCCCTCGTCAGGAATGTTGGAGGGAAACTGAGGAATGCTGCATGTAGTGAAAATGATACCAAATGTCTTGTGTTGAGCTAAAAAGTGTGTATCTGGTAAATGACCCCATGACCTTACTGTCATGAAATAATGATATATGTGACTTTTACCTCGTCTAAGCTGACCCAGGGACGGTATAAAAGAGCAGCTCTGAGCAGAGCTGGGACACAACAGTTGGGGCATACGACAGGAAGAGACAGAGCAGAGCTTGGAGAGAAGAGGTCGGCCTCCGCTGAAAGCAGAGAGAGTTTTGGGGCAGTCGACAGAGACAGAAGGAGCCGTAACTCGAAGACAGAGTTGGTGTAAATCAACTCCTTATTTCTTAATTAATCGTTAGGACTAATTTCTCCTTGGGGGAAGTGGTTAGTTTTATATTTACTCATTTTTGTATTTTTTGATCTTGTAATAAACTTTTTGGAAAGAGATTCACACTCCTGATTCTTCCAGGTTTTCTCTAAAGCTTAAAAGTTTGGAGCCCTGACCATATAGGGCAGAGTAAGTTCCTGAGTTATCAGGACTTACTTTACGGTTTGTGACAGATTAATATAAAGAAACCTTAAGATAAAAGGAGCTTGTCTCCTTCCTCTCCCGTGAGTAACGAGGTGTCTTAAGGATGATAAAACCAAAACATTAGAGGTTAATTTTTGGCTCTGATTGCAAGTGTGAAAAAGTCTTTATCAGTGCTGGGAGGTTGGATTAATTAGATAAATTGATAAATCTATGTTAGCCTGATCAACTAACAAGAATCATTTTATAGTTACCAACCTCCCACATAAGCTGACAGGGGCGCAATTAATCCTAATAACCCAAATAATTGCCAGCGGGCTGGCCTCCCGCCGGGCTTCGTCCCTAGTATCTAAACCAATAGATAACGGGATTGATTAAAAAGAAGTGGGCTACTACAAAGGGATAAGTCTTGCATATCATTCTACCTTAAAATAGAAGACTGATTCTAAACTTAGGAAGTCCAGACCAGGGTCTAGTACGATAAAACTCACCGATATCCCCACCAAACCCTGAAAGATGCACAGTCTCATAAGTTCTAACGAAACTGGGTTTTGACGGAACCGACAAATGGGACGTGCATGCGACAACCTAAAATGCTTTTTAGTATCCTCACGGTGACCCAATATGCAAATGAGCTCTGACAGTGGGCTTTAAATTTTGGGGATGAGGATGGAAGGTTTCAAACGTACCGAGGCATCGTCACATCTGGAGTCAAGACAACATGAAGGTTCTCGGGGTCACGATGGGAATCCTGCTGCTGCTGGTCGTCGTTTCCAGCACCGCTGCCATGCGCGAGTCTGATTTCTGTCTCGCATCAACACATCACAGACTCTGATCTTTACGAATCAGATGATGGTTATTAGAATGTTTTAAATCAGGTCTAAATGGAAACGATGAGGCACCGGCCTGCAGGAACACCCTTTAATGACTTTTATATCAAATTTAGTTTGAGTTGCATCTCGACTTTTAGGATTTCATGCTGTAGTGTTTCTTGTTGTAGATCAGATTTAATTTTTTTATTGAATTGGTGTATTTTTAGATTTGATTTTATTAAGTTTATTCTCATAATTCTCTGTAACCCTTTGGTCAATCTATCAACCCACTTCCTCCAGATGGAGTATTAGGATTAGCACCTTCATCAGAAACCAGCCTTATCCAGTCCTAAACAAGTTTACTGGGCTCTGGGTGATCTAGGTGGATGGGGCCAGTTTTATATACTCATTACTGTTATTATTCTATACATAAATATAAAAATAAAATAGATTATTCTTTAGTTTTTATATTGAAATTAGTCAAATAGTAGTTAAACTTTAAAAACTCAAGTAATACATATTTAAGGATTTATACACAAAATACAAAGTTCCAATTAAATCTATTTGAATCATAATCCCAAATTTTACAATATCTTTTTATAGTCATTTTAGTTAAAATGTTAATTTTCTGCCTAAAACTGTCAGTGTTGTGCCGTTGTCAGGTAAAAACTGCACTGCATTGAATTTAAATCTGCCATCGCTATTGGCTAAGAGGTACCCTAACGTTAGCTGGTACCATATGATGTCACAATGTCGTTGTGAGCCTGTGTGTGTGTGTATTTGTTAGCGGCTCCGCCCTCTCGGTCTGCTAGGCAACAGCATTTGTTGCATTTTTCAAACAGGAAGTGGGAGCGGAGTAATACTCTGGTAGGGGGTGACTTACTCTTTAAGATCATAGCTGTCTTCAACTGTTAATAAAAACGACCTGGTTGTCCATCACAACACAGCTGGGCTAGAGCTGTTCCCAGCCTAACTTTATTATTACCTTACATCATATTATAACCCTTAATGTCCCAAATAAACTAAAAAACATTTATTTCTGGGTGTGGATGAAAACAGTGCTGACAATCGCGTGTCTGCGTGGTTCCATCAGCTGCTGATAAAAGATGGCTGTGGTGATATTTCTAGTCATCCTGGCTGACAGCAGATTCTTCATCTTCAGCTCACGGACCAAACGACTTGAGTCTCGGAACATGCTGCTTTAAATTCTTCACCCAAAGGATCCCAGAGGCTCACATCTTGGCCATCGTCAAAACTCGCAGCAACTATGTCAAAAAGGGGTTTGTGTAAGTTTGGGCTTTGTTTTATTTCATATGTAAGAAAATGTTGTCTTCTGGGTAAAAACAGTATTGGAAGTATGGAAATGATTTTGTCTGGGTACCATCTGGTGTTTCTTAATTCAAACGAAGGTTCACATCAGATTTTGTTATTACTCTGTGACTCCGGCAGGGAGGTACGACCTTGCAGGTCTGCAGGATCTGCTGCTATGACGATAACCTCCCTCGTTACGTCCAGACGGAGCGTTTCTCTGTTATACCAAGAACCTGGGAGTGTGTTTTCTGTGAAGGGAGTGGGTGTTCACCTTTTATGTGTGTGTGTGTGTGCTATGTTGCTTGTGAATAAAACCTTTTTGAGAGCTTCGGCTCGATGAGAGACCAAACAGACGTCCCATTGGTGCGTATCTTCCATTTCTCTCCGGTTTTGCAAAATCTGGTAGATTATTGTTGTTTATTGGTAAATGATATTGATCACCTAACATCTCTAACCTCCTTGCGTGTGTTGGACTTTCTTTGAGGTACGCCTGGATTGATAAATTAAAAACACCCAACAGTCATGTTGTTCAGTAATTAATCGTTTGTCTGCAGGCTCATGACTCCCAGAGGGAAGTTCTGCATGAGTCAGAATGAAAAATGGGCTGAAAAAGCTTTCAATAGCACTCCTTAAATCCTCGACATGAACATTTCTCCTGAAACACCACAAAGTGCTTCATCTGCTCTCCTCACTTCAGAAACCCGAATGATGCTGGGCTGCCTCAAAGTGAAGGTCTATGGAGCTGCAATAATAACGAAAGCATGAAACTGTCTTTTATAAGCTGCTGAAAAAAAAAACAGTAAAACTTTATCTTGAAAATGTTCGGTCTTTTATTTTTAACTCTTGCTGATCAACATGCTGCTTTTGTTGTTTGGGTTTATTATTCTCCTCTTACGTTTAAAATGTACTTCAGCCTGACTGTGGCTCCACATCTCCAGGACAAAAGGAACTCAGCCTTTCTTAGAACACTGAAAAGCATCATGTTTTTATTGGCCTGTGTAAACTGTTCCCGGTGTTGAGCGTCAGGCGCTTCCTTGACTCTTATTTAAAACTGTAAATCAGCGGTTCTCAATCCTGGTCCTGGAGGGCCGGTGTAAATCAGCAGGGGTCTCATTCATCAAGCTTGCTTACGCACAAAACGGGGCCGGAAAGCTGCGTAAGCAACTTTCCACGCAAACTTTGGGATTTATGAAAGAAAACTTAGCGGAAAAATGTGCGTAACTTTAAGTTGACTAAGGACCTGGCTTACACACATGTTGGACATGGAGAGCACCTGCAGTGCTGCTGCTGAGAAGGATACAGTTATGAAATCCTGCAGCATTATCACTTGTACTGCTTCGTTTTCACTCAGAACAAGACCCCCCACACGCACACACACACACACACACACGCACACACAGCCTGAAGCGCAGAATATGGAATGCTGAATATCAGCAGGGGGACAGATTGAGACAGCACATCATGTGTCAGTGAAAGTGTGTGTCCTGTCACTGTGACCCGACTGATGATGCGCCCTGGCTACTTGTACTTGGGTGACTGGTTAGCGCGCGCGACTTTCACCCGGGAGTCTGGGGATCGAAGCCCGATTAGACCACTCTTTATATCCGCCACAGATCTCTCTGAAGAACTCAGCATTGACGGCTTCAGCAACGCTGTGCCACTCCGTGGATTTTCTCTTATTTTGCAAAAGCACTTCCTTTCATTTCTCCACCTCACCCATCTGAGCTTTTCATTGTTTTTCCTTTTATTGCTCATTTCTTTTTTAAAAACATGTAACTAGTTTTTATTTATTCATAATTACGTCTGTTTTCCTCTGCTGTTTTTTACATCAGACTTTATTTGCTGTAAACACTCTTACACAGGCGTCGTTAAAGCATAACTTTATTATTAACCATGTACAGTTAATAGACAGAAGAAGCAAAAAACACTGTTTAATATTTATATATAAAAGAAAATGTTACAAAAAATACATCTAAACTGACCAGTTTTGGGTCAGTGGTTACAAGCTGGTTGAAAACCTTTGAACTTCAGACCAGATAAACATTTTTACCAACATTAGATGAGAACTGATGGAGCGGTCCTGAGAAGCGGTCGTGTCATTTATGCATAAATGCAAGTTTTTATGGAGTCTTTTTGAGTATCTGACATAAAAACATTAAAAAAAGAACAAATTATATATAAAAACAGAACAAGACCATAGCTGTATGTACACATGATTATAACTGGATCCGCACGGTTTAACGCTGATCTTTTGTTTATTATGAGACAACAAGCTCACGGAAAACGACTCACCTAAAGGTGGATTCATTTCAGGATTTAACTACAAATTATCATTACTATTATATGAAAATAAACATTCCCACTCGAGGAAAGACTGAACCATTTAAACGTTATTTCTGAAAAATAAACAGAGGGAAGTCTGTTTTTGAAATAAAACTGTAAAATAAAAGGAAACACTTGGGTTAAATAGGAGAAAATGCTCCACAAATCATATTTTTAAGAATTTGATGAATTTTTAACGTTTGTTTTTGGACGCCAGGGTTTAGGTTGATGACAATACTCACCACAAGTATCACGATTTAAAACAGCTGATTACGGTTGAACCGATGGTTCCTGAAACTCTGAATTAGTCCTTTAATTCCTCTGAATGGTTAAGAAATTCTTATGAGGTTAAAATAATAATAATAAAAAGCCCACAGCTTCCCCCTCCAACAGATCCCACCTAAAGACCCGGCCGGGCCCGACTCTCATGACTTCGTCTGGGCTTGTTTTGTAAAAACGAGCCGCGACACTAAAATAATAAAAAATCAGAGCAGACACCAGATATTTAAACGCGTGGTTGTTGATGAAAAAATGAAACTATAAGTTTACCATAAATTTCAACACAGATTTCAAGACTTATGATTTAAAAATATCTTTATCAAACAGATAAAATGTTAAAAATACCCCTTTTTAATGCGACAAACTCTAAATACATTTTTAAAGAGAGGAGAAATATTATGCATATTAAAATATTTGACATGGCGAGTTCGTCACAGAAAACTAAAAATTCAGATTGTTGTTTTTTTATTTTTATTTTTATTTACGGACATGATTTAAAGTTCTGTCTGCAGCTCTGCTGACCGGGTCTAGAATCCCGCAGCCGCACTCCAGGAGCCCTCCAAGTCTTTTAGTGTCTTCACACCAAATAAATCCTTAACTATAAAGAATCAGCTGATGCATCTGCAGCTCTGTGGACGGCTGCATGCGCGGAAGCTGCTCTGAAGGGTCCTGCTGGCTCAGAGGAACACAGTTTCACCTCTTTGTCAGGAAATATAGGAAAATAGAATATCACAAACACATGCATTCCCCACCGAAACAAAGAGCTCTGCATCATACCCGGCAGAGAGACGAGTCTGTTTTTGACTCCGTGTGTGTGTGTGTGTGTGTGGGTGTGTGTGAGAGCGGGTGTGTGTGAGAGTGGGTGTGTGTGAGAGTGGGTGTGTGTGAGGGTGTGTGTGTGAGAGTGGGTGTGTGTGTGAGAGTGGGTGTGTGTGAGAGCGGGTGAGCGCTCGCAGGCCCACGCAACTTCAGATGTGAAAAGGAGGTTTGTGTGGAACTGAAATAGGAAAATTTCCACTCAGTTTAAAAGATTTTCCCTTTCTTCTTGTTCTTCTCCATCGTCCTGTCAGGAAAAGCCAGACTGTTAGGATGCCATATTTGATCAAAACGTTTATTTAAGTCACTTAACCAATCAAACTTAAGATTTCTTACTTAATCCTCAGTAATCAATAACAAATTTAATATAAAAACTAGGGATGTCCCGATCCGATCACATGATCTGAAATCGGCCCCGATCACGTGGTTTCAGACTCGATCGGGACTCGGGCTTTACTTCCCGATCCAAGCCCCGATCCGGACTCGGATGCTGGGTTCAAATTACAGGAGAGCAACTTGGTTCTCCTTACAGGTTGTCGGGCTCCCCTGATGCCCTTAACTTACACACCCAGAAGGAGCACAAGAGAGATCCAGTTTCTACCTTTATTATATTATTTACATGGACTCAGCGTAGCGGGGATTCTTTAGAGCAGAGCAGCAGGCAGACCGCTGATTATTCATCAACTCCAGCTGCGTTCTGCACACGGCCACAGTCACATGTTCCAAGTTTCTAAGTGGCGTCACCAAAAAATATATAATTAACACACAGTCGTTCGTGTCGGTTCATTTTCTCTCTGGTAAGTTCTGTCTGTGTTTGAGCACGACGTGTGGACGCACTCGCGCTGCAGCGCCCGTCACTGGCACAGCCCGGCAGCGCAGCGCACACTCCACTTTTTTTGCGGTCAATAGATCAATTTGATCTGCTGGTTAAAAAGTTACTTGTGAGGTGAAAAAGAAGGAAGCAGGCAGGAGTTTTTCTGGAGGACTGGGAGATGCAGGAAGATCAGAGACAGACAGGACAGGAAGATCAGAGACAGACGGGACAGGAAGGTTAGAGACAGACGGGACAGGAAGGTCAGAGACAGACGGGACAGGAAGATCAGAGACAGACGGGACAGGAAGATCAGAGACAGACGGGACAGGAAGATCAGAGACAGACGGGACAGGAAGATCAGAGACAGACGGGACAGGAAGATCAGAGACAGACGGGACAGGAAGATCAGAGACAGACGGGACAGGAAGGTTAGAGACAGACGGGACAGGAAGATCAGAGACAGACAGGACAGGAAGATCAGAGACAGACGGGACAGGAAGATCAGAGACAGACAGGACAGGAAGATCAGAGACAGACAGGACAGGAAGATCAGAGACAGACAGGACAGGAAGGTTAGAGACAGACAGGACAGGAAGATCAGAGACAGACGGGACAGGAAGATCAGAGACAGACGGGACAGGAAGATCAGAGACAGACGGGACAGGAAGATCAGAGACAGACGGGACAGGAAGATCAGAGACAGACAGGACAGGAAGATCAGAGACAGACAGGACAGGAAGATCAGAGACAGACGGGACAGGAAGATCAGAGACAGACGGGACAGGAAGATCAGAGACAGACGGGACAGGAAGGTCAGAGACAGACAGGACAGGAAGATCAGAGACAGACGGGACAGGAAGGTTAGAGACAGACGGGACAGGAAGATCAGAGACAGACAGGACAGGAAGATCAGAGACAGACGGGACAGGAAGATCAGAGACAGACGGGACAGGAAGGTCAGAGACAGACGGGACAGGAAGATCAGAGACAGACGGGACAGGAAGATCAGAGACAGACGGGACAGGAAGGTTAGAGACAGACGGGACAGGAAGATCAGAGACAGACGGGACAGGAAGATCAGAGACAGACGGGACAGGAAGATCAGAGACAGACAGGACAGGAAGATCAGAGACAGACGGGACAGGAAGATCAGAGACAGACGGGACAGGAAGATCAGAGACAGACGGGACAGGAAGATCAGAGACAGACGGGACAGGAAGATCAGAGACAGACGGGACAGGAAGATCAGAGACAGACGGGACAGGAAGGTTAGAGACAGACGGGACAGGAAGATCAGAGACAGACAGGACAGGAAGATCAGAGACAGACGGGACAGGAAGATCAGAGACAGACAGGACAGGAAGATCAGAGACAGACAGGACAGGAAGATCAGAGACAGACAGGACAGGAAGGTTAGAGACAGACAGGACAGGAAGATCAGAGACAGACGGGACAGGAAGATCAGAGACAGACGGGACAGGAAGATCAGAGACAGACGGGACAGGAAGATCAGAGACAGACGGGACAGGAAGATCAGAGACAGACAGGACAGGAAGATCAGAGACAGACAGGACAGGAAGATCAGAGACAGACGGGACAGGAAGGTTAGAGACAGACGGGACAGGAAGATCAGAGACAGACGGGACAGGAAGATCAGAGACAGACAGGACAGGAAGATCAGAGACAGACGGGACAGGAAGATCAGAGACAGACGGGACAGGAAGGTCAGAGACAGACAGGACAGGAAGATCAGAGACAGACGGGACAGGAAGGTTAGAGACAGACGGGACAGGAAGATCAGAGACAGACAGGACAGGAAGATCAGAGACAGACGGGACAGGAAGATCAGAGACAGACGGGACAGGAAGGTCAGAGACAGACGGGACAGGAAGATCAGAGACAGACGGGACAGGAAGATCAGAGACAGACGGGACAGGAAGGTTAGAGACAGACGGGACAGGAAGATCAGAGACAGACGGGACAGGAAGATCAGAGACAGACGGGACAGGAAGATCAGAGACAGACGGGACAGGAAGGTCAGAGACAGACAGGACAGGAAGATCAGAGACAGACGGGACAGGAAGGTTAGAGACAGACGGGACAGGAAGATCAGAGACAGACAGGACAGGAAGGTTAGAGACAGACGGGACAGGAAGGTCAGAGACAGACGGGACAGGAAGATCAGAGACAGACAGGACAGGAAGGTTAGAGACAGACGGGACAGGAAGGTCAGAGACAGACAGGACAGGAAGATCAGAGACAGACGGGACAGGAAGGTCAGAGACAGACAGGACAGGAAGATCAGAGACAGACGGGACAGGAAGGTTAGAGACAGACGGGACAGGAAGATCAGAGACAGACAGGACAGGAAGGTTAGAGACAGACGGGACAGGAAGGTCAGAGACAGACGGGACAGGAAGATCAGAGACAGACAGGACAGGAAGGTTAGAGACAGACGGGACAGGAAGGTCAGAGACAGACGGGACAGGAAGATCAGAGACAGACGGGACAGGAAGGTTAGAGACAGACGGGACAGGAAGATCAGAGACAGACGGGACAGGAAGGTCAGAGACAGACGGGACAGGAAGATCAGAGACAGACAGGACAGGAAGATCAGAGACAGACGGGACAGGAAGATCAGAGACAGACAGGACAGGAAGGTCAGAGACAGACGGGACAGGAAGATCAGAGACAGACGGGACAGGAAGATCAGAGACAGACAGGACAGGAAGGTCAGAGACAGACGGGACAGGAAGGTCAGAGACAGACAGGACAGGAAGATCAGAGACAGACGGGACAGGAAGGTTAGAGACAGACGGGACAGGAAGGTCAGAGACAGACGGGACAGGAAGATCAGAGACAGACAGGACAGGAAGATCAGAGACAGACGGGACAGGAAGATCAGAGACAGACGGGACAGGAAGATCAGAGACAGACGGGACAGGAAGATCAGAGACAGACGGGACAGGAAGGTTAGAGACAGACGGGACAGGAAGATCAGAGACAGACAGGACAGGAAGATCAGAGACAGACGGGACAGGAAGATCAGAGACAGACAGGACAGGAAGATCAGAGACAGACAGGACAGGAAGATCAGAGACAGACAGGACAGGAAGGTTAGAGACAGACAGGACAGGAAGATCAGAGACAGACGGGACAGGAAGATCAGAGACAGACGGGACAGGAAGATCAGAGACAGACGGGACAGGAAGATCAGAGACAGACGGGACAGGAAGATCAGAGACAGACAGGACAGGAAGATCAGAGACAGACAGGACAGGAAGATCAGAGACAGACGGGACAGGAAGGTTAGAGACAGACGGGACAGGAAGATCAGAGACAGACGGGACAGGAAGATCAGAGACAGACAGGACAGGAAGATCAGAGACAGACGGGACAGGAAGATCAGAGACAGACGGGACAGGAAGGTCAGAGACAGACAGGACAGGAAGATCAGAGACAGACGGGACAGGAAGGTTAGAGACAGACGGGACAGGAAGATCAGAGACAGACAGGACAGGAAGATCAGAGACAGACGGGACAGGAAGATCAGAGACAGACGGGACAGGAAGGTCAGAGACAGACGGGACAGGAAGATCAGAGACAGACGGGACAGGAAGATCAGAGACAGACGGGACAGGAAGGTTAGAGACAGACGGGACAGGAAGATCAGAGACAGACGGGACAGGAAGATCAGAGACAGACGGGACAGGAAGATCAGAGACAGACGGGACAGGAAGGTCAGAGACAGACAGGACAGGAAGATCAGAGACAGACGGGACAGGAAGGTTAGAGACAGACGGGACAGGAAGATCAGAGACAGACAGGACAGGAAGGTTAGAGACAGACGGGACAGGAAGGTCAGAGACAGACGGGACAGGAAGATCAGAGACAGACAGGACAGGAAGGTTAGAGACAGACGGGACAGGAAGGTCAGAGACAGACAGGACAGGAAGATCAGAGACAGACGGGACAGGAAGGTCAGAGACAGACAGGACAGGAAGATCAGAGACAGACGGGACAGGAAGGTTAGAGACAGACGGGACAGGAAGATCAGAGACAGACAGGACAGGAAGGTTAGAGACAGACGGGACAGGAAGGTCAGAGACAGACGGGACAGGAAGATCAGAGACAGACAGGACAGGAAGGTTAGAGACAGACGGGACAGGAAGGTCAGAGACAGACGGGACAGGAAGATCAGAGACAGACGGGACAGGAAGGTTAGAGACAGACGGGACAGGAAGATCAGAGACAGACGGGACAGGAAGATCAGAGACAGACAGGACAGGAAGATCAGAGACAGACGGGACAGGAAGATCAGAGACAGACAGGACAGGAAGGTCAGAGACAGACGGGACAGGAAGATCAGAGACAGACAGGACAGGAAGATCAGAGACAGACGGGACAGGAAGATCAGAGACAGACAGGACAGGAAGGTCAGAGACAGACGGGACAGGAAGATCAGAGACAGACGGGACAGGAAGATCAGAGACAGACGGGACAGGAAGATCAGAGACAGACGGGACAGGAAGACAGGAAAATAAAAACCAAGAAAACAAAACAAAGTTCTTAACAAAATAAAATGTAGGTAGATTGATCCAACTACACGTGTGTACTTGTATGAAGCAATAACCTATCAGCATGTAGTATTTATATAGTTGATACATTTCAGATCATCTTCTAAACTCCTCCCACGCCCAGGGGCGTATCTAAGCATTTTGGGGGCTGAGGCAAAATAGACCCCTGCCAGGTATTTTAAGTTGAAGGGCTATCCGTTTTTATATTAGACTTTTTATATTTGCAATAAAGTCCAAAAGTGAAGAATTTATGTTATTTATTACTTGGTTGTTCACGCTACCTCACAGAAGTGATCTGTTGTTAAAAATTAAAATAAAACGTAATTAAATGAAAAAATAAGGAACATTCTGGAACTGTTTCTTCCTTTTTTTTATGTATCAAAAGAATCGGATCGGGACTCGGTATCGGCACATTCTCAAAATCAAATGACTCGAACTCGGAGGCAAAAAAACCTGATCGGGACATCTCTAATAAAAAGTAAACGATACAAAGCTGCAGTAGTGTGTGTGTGTGTGTGTGTGTGTGTGTGTGTGTGTGTGTGTGTGTGTGTGTGTGTGTGTGTGTGTGTGTGTGTGTGTGTGTGTGAGTGAGTGTTACGGACTTGGAGGCGTCGAGTTTCTGCTGCTCCAGGATTCTTTGCTGAGCCTCCCAGTTGACCTTCTCCTCCTCAAACACTCGTCTTTTCTCCTCCAGCTCCTTGTACTGCGCCTCCAAGTTTTTCTTCATTTGTTCGTGGCGTCTTTCAAGCTTTTGGATAAAAACAAAAACTAAATCAAAGTGAACGTTCCAAATATGCAAACAGATGAATGTCTGTGTGGATTCATGAGTTGTTTTACAGCGAGACTTTAAAAACAATAAAAATAAGAACACAAACAGAATTTTTGGATCATGAAGACAAAAAAGGCAAAGTGGAAGTTTTTTAAGTCACCCAACCTGCCTTGTGGGTAAACTCTGGTTTCACCTGCATCTGAGTTAAGATTTACCTCCGCCTCTGAATCCTTCAGCTTCTGCTTCTTCTCTTTCACCTTCATCTCAAACACCTGCTCCATCTCTGCCTCCATCTTCTTCATCTTCATCACATGCTCCCTGCGCTCCTCCTCCATCTGAGCCAGAGGACTCCTGTAGGTCACAGAAAGGAGGCGGGGCTTAGATTTTCAGCCTAAAGGAACTGATCTGGAACTCAGATGTTTTAAACTGGCTGAATAAACAGTTTTTTAAATAAAAAGCTTGATTCTGATCTCCAAGTCCTACTTTGTGAGCTGTCCCTTGGTCTTTGAGGTGTCCACTCCGTTACAGGTGACAGCTGCTAGTTTCTTACTGCGGTAATTCTCATAATGGACGTTGTTGGTGACGTCCTTAAGATCCTGCATGTGGGTTCTATTGAAGGCGACGAGAAAGAAAGTCTTACAAAAACAGAAAATTGTTCTAAAAGCTACGGAACACAGAACAATTTAGCATCAAGGCTGATAAATCCATTGAACTTTAAAGGGACTTTACGGACTTTTGAATTTTTATGCTCGTGATCGCCCCCGTCAGGCCAAAACGGCAGCTTCAATAGTAGGCTCGTGCACGAGGCGCGCATGCTGTACGTGCACACTCCTTAATGAAAATAACAGCTGAGACAGTCCCGTGTGTGTGTGTGTGTGTGTGTGTGTGTGTGTGTGTGTGTGTGTGTGGCTCGGAGGACAGAGGACAGGAGAACACGCAGCTAATTAATTAAATAATGTGGTTCTGTAGCTTTCTCTTCAGCACAGCCGACAAAGGTTTATGATGGGTCAGTCCTCCTGCATGCTCAGATCATTCCCTTCCCTTGCTTGAAAAGTTGGTCCAAAATGAAAGTTGAACCCACATCTTTTTTTATCTGTGAATTCAATGCCGTTCGGCGAGTCTCAAATAAAAATTTGGACATCTTACTGTAAAAGAATATATCATTAATGTAAAAAATAAACTCTAAATAAACTATCTTCACATCCAGAATCAAACCCAGGTCCTCTGCATGCGAGTCAGACATCTTACTAGGTGAGCTAAATCACCAGTGACGTCTTTTGTATCTGTAACATTTAGATCCTTGATGACAGCTGAAACAACGTTCAAAGAACGGTTGGGAGTGAAAATGGCTATTTTGTTGCTAATTAGCAGGAAATATCTAGAAGAAAGTTCTACAGAAAGTAGCTAAGGGTCCTCAGAAATGTAGCTAGCTTTGTCACTAGGCGTTAGGAACAGCGACAAAGTGGCACTGCCTCTCTCTCTGCTGCTAAAGCTACGGATAGCAAATGCTACGGGCGATGCCTGAGCGTGAACGCGCATGAAGCAGCCTGCTCGACCCGAGCATCTCTCTTTTTCTGTGATTTTACAGAAAAACAGGCAATCACAGTAAAAATGCCAGGGCTCATTCTACAGGACCAGGGCATTGCAGGAGAATGTATGAAGAAGACATTTATTATTTCTATACGTGTTTTGGCTGTCAAACTTCCATAATGCCCCTTTAAGGTGTTAAACACTGAATGCTAGTTTTTTTTACCGGATCAACATGTTGCGCAGCACCGTGAAGTCGCAGTGTTCCCCGTTTTCCACTGAAACACAGGAAAAGGAAGAAAAAGAGCCAATGAGAAGCAAACATTAAAAACGATCTTTACTTTGAGGCAGAAATCACTGCAGTAATGTCAGCAGGGTGAGAGCAACACTCATGTTATTTACGGACTGTGGCTTGAGTTAACTACACGAAAAACATCAACACTACTCGTGTGTTTAAACATGTAACATTCATTCATTCATCAACAATACAGGGAGGGGCTCACTTCAGGTGTTTCATAAGCAAAAGAACAGGTGAGGTTTGAGATCAGCTGCTGTGTCAGAAAACAGAAGGAAGAGATTTCAGGTCGTGATCAGACAAACCGGCGTCACTCTGACATTTTCTTTGTGATTCTGAGCTTCAGACTTTTGCTGCTTTTCTGGTGAATTGGACTAAAAGTCTCACAATCTGACTTTAAAGGTGTATTAGAATGCATTTTATATGGAAGTCAGTTTAAAGTGACAGTGTGTATTTTTCCTGCCAATAGGGGGCAGTATATACCTAAATTGTAGCAAGCAAGCTGCAGGGGCAGCAGTAGCTCAACAGGTTGAGTGGGTTGTCCAGTAATCGGAAGGTTGCAGGTTCGATCCCGGCTCTGGACAGAGAACTCCACTGTTGTGTCCTTGGGCAAGACACTTAATCCACCTTGCCTGCTGTGAATGTGTGTGTGTGTGTGTGTGAATGGATGAATGATACACTGTAAAGCGCTTTGGAGTCCTTACTCTGCTTTACAAGTGCGGGTCATTTAACATTTATATTTGTGTTGGAGCAAGACCTTACCAACGGATGCCCATTAGGGTCAAAAAGCCCTGGGAAGTGCAAACTTCAGCAAAAATAACAACAACATAAAACTCCCTTTCGTCAGTGGCAATGAGTGCACGTGTAAAACAATGTTTATGGGTGGTGAAAGTTCTGTAATCATTGTTACAGATTAGTAAATGCATTTTGTCCTGAAGGGCTCCCGTAGAAGGAAACATGACGCCTAACATGGCGTTGCCCAGAGACTTCACTGTCGCTACATGCTTGCTTAGTATGAGAATTGCTATAAAGACACTAGTCAGTGACTCGATGCAACCTGCAGGGTTCCTTATACAGGAAACTTTTTACTGACTGGCTTAAGCCGGGCGGACACTGTGCCACTTTTTCACTCGTAGCACTCAGCTTCAGCTCAAACTGTACGACTTCCTCGCAGGGCAGATCTCACGAGCCAGGCGCTCACACTGTACGTCTGGTAGCAACACGTCGGCCCTAAAAATATGCTAAAAATAGCAGTTTTTACTCAACACGTGATTTGCCTGTTGTCCTTCGGGAGTGCTGCAGGAGGACACACAGGGATTTGTGGGGGTTGGATGAGGAAAATGAAATAAAGAAAGTAAATCTGAGTTTTGTGATCAGTTTAATTTGACATGAACACGACAAACACGCTTTCTTGAAAATCTTTAAACGTGTAGAAATTAAAACGAACAGCGTGTGTTAATTAGGGAAATAGCGGGGAGCGGCGTTGATGCAGGACTGCGCATGCGCCGTGAGCGGTTCTGATACATTTTGGGTCGCAGCTGCTCGCAGCGCCGCTTCAACAGTGCGATACCCTCACGAGGGACGAGCGAAATATTAAACACGCCAGAAGTCCGTGCGAGCTCACGATTGCTGATCGGTAGCTGGTCACGTGGTGTTAATCGCCTCTCGTAACCCCCTGAACACTACACGACCGCTCGGCGCAAAACTCGCCCCGATGTCGTGGATTCTCGCACGACTGGAAAATCGTCTCAAAAAGGTGAAAAAGTCGCACAGTGTACGCCCGGCTTTATTGAACTGACCTGTACTGAAATGTTTACTGTGTGAAGGTCCTTGAGACGACTCTTGTTGTGATTTGGCGATATATAAATACACTTGAACTTAACTGAACTTAGACCCGCTCCCATGTATTTTTGGCCAGATTTCTGCGGTCATATGTTAAGAAGCCGCCAATGTTTTTCAACAGCTGGGCATCATTTCATTCATTGTCAACAACATTTTGATGGATATTTCCAGGAATTAACGATCAAAACTACACACAGTTACTTTAAATGAGTAGAATCGGACTCACGAGAACCACGAGTTTTGTGTTTCTGAACCCCCCTGTCTGATCACAGCCCATCACTACTGGACCCACAGATGCTACACAGAACAAACAGCATTCTGGGTCAAACATCAAACTGCTCTGGAGGTTGGGTTAAATGGTTGTGAGTTCTCACTGGGACAACGAGGACAGGGTTAAGAGGTCAGATGGGATTCTGGAAAACGAATCTGCTCAGGTTGTCTGTGGTGGATCTCCAAGCCTCCTGTTGCTGCTCACTGATCAGCTCCCAACCGCCTTCAGCCGGCCGTCTCCACCAGTGCAGTGGATGAGGACTCCTTACCATTGATGAAACTTAAGCGATCCCGGCCCCTGGCCTCCAAAACCAGCCACTGACCTCCTGTCTCTTCTAGAGGAGGGAGCTCTGACGGAGGGGAGGGGTACGGGATTTGAGTTACAGTCTGTGTCCAGCGGGTAGGGGGGGGGGGGGGGGCTAAATCTGGGTCTGGAGCAGCTGGGTTTGTTACGGCTCAGACTCGGCCCAGATTTGGCCCGGATCAACACCATAACCTGCACGTGTGAAAGCTCATGTTAGGTCGGGGGGGTTGGATGGGAGCGATAAAAGGAGGATCTGTGCATGAGCGTCAGGGCGAGCAAGCTTCAGTAAGGCCAGACGAGCTATGGGGGGTCAAGGGTCACAGGAAAAAAAAACAACAACTAAGATACATGTTGTAACTGAGAAGTTTAACTATTAAAGGACAGAAAACACCTGATTCCCACTAACAGACCCCCAAGCTTGTTTACAATACAGTTAAGAGTCAGGAACTCGTTGCAGGAAATCAGGTGTTTTGAGTGGTTTTACTTCCCGATGGTTAATTTAGGCTGTGATGATGTTTAGTGAAGAAAAGTGCACTCAGCTGTTTATATGAACCATGCAGAACTGTTTGTGCTGGATGTTTTTTAAACGTTTAACATTAAAATCTGAAGGAATGAGTGGATATTTATGACCCAAGCTGCATGGTACCTTAAAGGTCTCGTTCACAGGGGAACCGTGTGGTGCTTGTTCCTTCTGAAATACGACTGATCACTGAGTTCTACACGCACGCTGAACATGAACACTTTCTTCTATTCACCTTCACCTTCTATACATTAACATCACAGGGAATCTCGTCTTCTACCGCCTATTCGGGTCGGGTCGCAGGGGGCAGCACCCCAACTAGGGAGTTACAGACCGTCCTCTCCTCGGCCACCTCCACCAGCTCCTCCTGCAGGACCCCAAGGCGTTCCTAGGTCGACCAGGGGGCCTCCAGCCGGCAGGACATGCCTGAAACACTTCCCTGGGGAGGCGTCCAGGAGGCATCCTAACAAGATGCCCAAACCACCTCAACTGACTCTCTTGATATGGAGGAGCTGCGGCTCTATTCCGAGTTTTTCCCGAATGTCTGAGCTCCTCGCCCTATCCCTAAGGCTGAGCCCGGCCACCCCACGAAGAAAACTCATTTTGGTCGCTTTTATCCGCGATCTCGTTCTTTCTGTCATTACCCAAAGCTCATGACCGTAGGTGGGGACTGAGCGGCAGATCGACAGGTAAATCGAGAGCCTTGCTTTCTGGCTCAGCTCCTTCTTCACCACGACAGGGAATATTAGCATTAATGACCACACCCACCTCGGCTTGGGACCGCCCAAGAACAGGAGAGAGCAGAGCGGGTCTCGGCTAGTAGAGCTAACCATTAGCAACCCCACAACATGGTGGAACCCGTCTGAGCTTGTGTTACTTGAGGAGATAAAACATCAACATTGCATTTACTACCCAAGGAGGAGGAGTGAATGGAGGCAGCAGAAGAGTTGTGTTTCTGTTAGCCAATCAGAGATGAGATGTTTGCATATCATGAATATTAAGAAGTAAGATTTTTTGTTCCTGCCGTTTTCTGCCTCTCACTCCTCGGACTAACTTCAACTTCCTGAAACCGGAGCATCAGAGCCTTTTCTTCACAGAAAACGACATTGTTCATTTCAAGCCTAGAATCTAAGCCGTCATTTGCTGACGCAAAATAATCTTCTTTTCATGCTGATCTAGCAATGCTCCATTAGAACCTCCGCAACCCCGGACCATACTGTGGCTGGCCAATCACGTTTATTTTCGTCTTCTTCCAGAATAGTATGGCAGACCGCCCCATTGACTGACATCCGCAGTGGTCCAGTCTCAGCGCTCTACTGGTTTGGTGGGCAAATCACCGTGCTCCATCAGTCAGGTGGGCTGGATGTTAGTGCGACTGAATGAAATTAAGATGCGACAGATCTGTAGCGGTCTGATCACACTGCTCTATTGGTTTGTTGGGCCAATCACAGCACTCCGTTAGTGGGCAGGACGTCACCTAAAAGACAAAGATGGCGACGGCTTGTTTGAAAGACAACCGTAGATCCCGCCCCACGACTGAGAGCCGTCAATGGTCGTGGCCAGACTATAAATTCACATATATAAGATGGCTTGCCAGGGAAACTAGAGACCACAGCAAATGTGTTTAAAAACGAGTGAACGAGACCTTTAAATAAGCCGTTCCATGCTTCATCTGAAAAACACTAATTTACCAGTAACTATACATGAACCTAAAGCAAAGCATTAGCATGTCAGACTCCAGTCTTTGATCCGGTCATACAACAAGGCGCCACCTTCACACCCCCCCCCCCCACCCCCCCCCCCCCAGGGCTGCAACAACGAATCGATAAATTTGATGAAAATCGATTACTAAAAGCGTTGGCAACGAATTGCGGCATCGATTCGTTGTGTTGCGCAACTCTTCCAACTCTTGCTCTTTAAGCTGTTTAACTTGGACCAAGCATTTTAGGTCACAGATGGGTGTAGCTTAGGGTCTCTGTCTATACACCTTATAAGACAATTTAGGTGATGGCATGTTGTTTTTCTGCTATTGAACTGTTTTCTAATAATGTTGTGTTAAATAAAGTGAAGGAAGGAGAGAAAAAAACGTTTCCCTAGTAGTTTAAAAAAATGTCCCCATGTAATCCAATTAATCGATTAATCGTGTCGAGACCCCATCCGATTCATCGATTATCCAAATAATTGTTTGTTGCAGCCCCCCCCCCCCCCAACAACACTCAGCTCCACTCACATTGTAAGAATCTGAGCTGCGAGGTGAAGAGCCGTAATGCTGTGATGGTGGGTTTGATGCCCCCGGAACAAAGAAGGGAACCGCAGAGTTAGAGTGATGGTTCTGATGCAGGTGCAGCTTCAGCACCAAACAGCCTTTACGTTCTCTCCATGACCGTCAACAGCATCAGACCTGGGACAACGTCTCCAATCAAAAACCACTGCATTTCACTCAGAGTGATCTAATTTAGACTGACTCTTGTCAGGTGACCTGAAAAAGCTGGGAAGATTCCCAGGGAGATCTGGGAACGTGATTAGTGGTCCTGAAACTTTTAAGAGTTTAGGAGACTTTCAGTCTAAAGCCCAAGCCTGATAAGAGCATTGGTTTGACCATCAGCCTAATGATGAAACAGCAAAGCAACAGAAAAGTGGAAGAGGAGGAGGAGAGAGGTTAAGATCCTGACAGGAGGAGCGGGAGGTGGGTTTTTATTCCAGGCGAGAGGTGTGAGGGTAAAACGATGAGAAATCAGGCAAAAGATGATTTCGTTTACCAAAAATGCCCTCTGTCAGTCATGGAACAGAACAGACGAAGAAACAAGGGGGAAAAGAAAAGAGACAAGAAAGAATGAAACAATGAAAGACTGATAAACGGTCAACCACAAGGCAACAAACTGTACCTCCCGTTATTTCTTTAAGGACGAGTCCAGTTTTCTACCTTCCAAACAAATTAAACATGAAAGGAACAAGAAGAAGAGTTTATTGTTGCTGACGGTGAAAATGTGACAGTCTGATCATCACCGGACTCCAAGTCCTCCTTTTCCAGAATCCCCATCAGGATCGAGACCAACTTCACAAAGGGTGTGTGTGTGTGTGTGTGTGTGTGTGTGTGTGTGTGTGTGTGTGAGCAAAGGGAAGCAGGGTGGGAAACAACAGAGACCAGATAACCTTTTACTTGTCAAAATTCAACATGGACCTGTCAGTCAGCTGGTGTTTTGTGATGATTCGTAACCACTAACAGGGTATCTGCAGGTTTAAGGGAGTCAAATTTAAGACTTTTTAAGACCTTTTTAAGGCCACTTTGACCAAATTTAAGCAATTTTTAAAATTAAATTTAAGCTATAATTTCCAGCTATTGGCTGGAACCGGTGCTAACCACTTCATAATCGTGGGATTAGCCATCCAGTTACCATTAAACTTGCACTTCCCCATGGCGCAAACTCCCACTAGCTTAACCAGCTAATGTGCTCATCTAAAAATAGCCCCCCTTCACAACCAACTGAAGGTGTACGGCTCCGCTTACGGCAACATCGTACACAAAAAATGCTGAACACCAACTAGAAATTCACGACAATTTTATAGAAATAAAAGAATCTTGTTTATTGGGTCTTTGGTAATTTAAGGCCTTTGGAAACTGTATTTGAGGATTATTTGTCATTTTAAAGGATTTTTAAGGCCTTACATTTGGAAAAGCTAATTTAGGACTTTTTAAGGACCCGCGGATACCCTGCACTAAGAAGATCGGAGAGCCGTTTTGGTTTAATGTCAGCACAGGAAGTGATTCCAGAGGTCTGCAACCTGCGGCTCTGGAACCACAAGTGGGTCTTGAGACCTTTCACTACAGACCCTAAAACAACAACTACTAATGCATGCTGTTGCACACTGAGTTAATAAAAACATGCATGTTTTTATGGAATAAATGCTTTGAACTTCCACCACCGACGGACGCTACACCTGTAATCTTTTGACAAACTTTTACATAATTTTCCCCAATTGTCAACATCCCTTAAAACACATCATACACAAGCTGGCCCTACTCCTCATCCGTGGATGTTCACTTGAAACGGTTCCATAACAGCAGCTCTAAACGGGTTTTATTCCAGTGAACGGTGGAGAAAACAGCTCTTTGGATTAGAAATGTTACTGACCACCTGTTCTAGCTAAACCTGGAAGCACCCAGAGGCGGAAAGAGTGCTAAAATTTCCCACTTAAGTACGAGTACCAATACTTTGATAATTTTTTACTCAAGTACAAGTAAAAGTACTTGAGTAAATTTTTACTCAAGTAAAAGTAAAAAGTATCGTAAATAAAATGTACTCAAAGTAAAAGTTACTTAGTTACATTTTTGTCAACGTAAGGATGGCTACATCTAAGTAGTGCAAAATCACAACGCCAGATCACAATTCGCTCATGTGTGTGCGCACACACACAAACACGCACATACACGCACGCACACACACACACACACACACACACACTGCAGCATGTTAGAATCATGTGAATGACTAATTGAACTACACTGAACTGCTTTAGTAATAATTTAATCTCTTATTCTGGAGTAAAATAAAGAAACAAGCTAAATCATCACATATGTGTGGCATCAAGGAGCATCTTATGAGTTCAAACAGGGATGGAGCACAATGTTTACACCTGAACAGCATCAGGATGTTTTAACTCACAGAGGCCTGCAGGTCTTCTGTTTTATGAGCAGAGCACTGAGAATCCGCTTGTTATGAGCACTAAACGTTATTTTGCCGCTTCCGTGTGGAGCGGTAGAGAAACACGGAACCGAGTCTGGTTACCGAACCGAGCAGAATTCTGATGACGTCACACCGGTGCGCGAAGCTGCGGGTTCCAACCCACAGGAGAGGAGGGAGAGAGGAGGTAAACAGCGAGTGGATCACAGGGACTGGACTGATGTTTTTGAGCAAAACTGCAGTAAAAATGGCCGTTTGTCCTCTTTATCTAAAATGTCCCCCCCCCCCGGTTTAGACGCGGCGCTCATGCAGGTGTCTCTTCCTGTTCGAACGCTGCTACACGCAGTATTTTTAATTTACTATGCCTATAATGTACTTTTATTCAGTAACAGAAATTACCATCAGGTCGACGGTACAGGTCACATAAAACCAGGTCAAACAGATTCAGGGATAGCTTTTTTCCCAGGGCGATCTCTATAGTGAATAAGTATAAAAACAATTAAAACTGCTTAGCGACTGTCAAGGTCACCGTCAACTATTATGCTGCTATTCTAATGCCATTTTTTTCACATGATATGGTAGCTGCTATTCTGTATATAGTGTGCTATTCGGCATATATTACTTACTAGTGTTTTGTTTTAGGGGACCTTTATATTTAGAAGTATTATTGTATTGTGCACCAAGGGAGTGGCACTCCAATTTCGTTGTATCCTGTACAATGACAATAAAGGCTATTATTATTATTATTATTATTATTATTATAAATGATTTAAAATGTAGCGAATTACAATTCTTTTTTTAAAAACGTACTCAAGTAAAAGTACAGATTTTAAAAATGACTTAAAAAGTATAAATATACAAAAAAGCTACTCAATTACAGTAACGTGAGTAAATGTAATTTGTTACTTTCCACCTCTGGAAGCACCCTTAAGTGCTTTTTCCTGTTACTTACATGTAATGCTGGATTTTCCTTTCTGCTGCAGAAACACCTTTTAAAAATTGGATTTATAAATTTGTATTTACTTGAAATGCAGGCGTTAACATTTTGACAAGTCATTGCATTACCCAGTGAGAAACACACTGCACGAACACGGGGGTCGCGGTGGAAACATGCACCCTTCCCCGTCCTTTAGGGACCAGCATGCTTCACTCATCCAAAGCAAAACAGCTGAAAATATTCACGGCTGCACCTCAAACCTTCTCCTCTCTCCTCGTTCATGGTGGATCAGAGTGAACCTACCTTCTGCCACGCCCCAAGGGTACTGACGACCTCTGACCTTCTTGCCATTCACCTCAACAACCACGTTGCTGCCAACCACAGCAAGAGGCATCTTTTCCTTAGGAAAGTAGCATTTTTAGTATTAGTATTTTTGAGCAGCTAAAACATTTTCTCAAACATCAACGCCGTAAAAACCCACAAAAACATATTTACCACCGATCCCTCACCTTAACCTTTCGGATGAGCTTGTTGTCCTCATCATCCTCGGTGTCAGGGAACTCATAAATTTTTATTTTGTGTTCTTGTATCTCTTTCATTATCTAGAAGAGTGAAAACAATCAGCATAATTGCACACAAACTAAAGACCTGCAGCTTAACGTTCGGCCCCACCTTGAAGACCGTTTTATGAGTTTTAAGTCCGAGTAAAGAAAAGTCCGATCTGAATGAAATGAACCCGTTTGTTGGACCACTTCAGATGATCTTTGTGGTTCACATTAACCATCTTACATTTGACAAAATAGCAAAAGCTTGACACCAGGAGTTTAACCCAAACAGACCAACATCGCCATCTAGCTGTGGATGCAACTAACCGCAGACCAAAAGTCTCATTAACAGATTTTCTCTCGATGCAAAAACTCACAGAACAAATCGAGTATCCTGCCTAATATGCAGAGCAACTATAAGAAAATCTAAACTGCATTAGGAGCAAAACAGAGATCCTGTACTGTTACTTAAAGAGCAAGTCACCCCCAAATCTACCTTTTTTCTGATAAACTATATAAATGCGTGTCTAATCGTGCTGCAGACACGTGAAGTCAATAGTTTTGCACTTTAGTGCATTTTAGTTCAAATTTAAATCTTCTGCCTAAAACTGTCAGTGTTGTGCCGTTGTCAGGTAAAAACTGCACTGCATCTGAATTTAAATGTGCCATCGCTATTGGCTAAGAGGTAACCTAGAACGTTAGCTGGTACCATATGATGTCACAATGCCGTTGTGAGCCTGTGGGTGTTTCTCAATGTCAAGGTGCCTTGCTTACGAGGACACTGTCCTTCCTTGGTCAAAGAAAACGGTTAAATGGAACAGACTTGCATCACGTGACCGCGGCTTCCACGGCAGTCATGTAACGTCATGTGACACGGGAGATAACGTTATATTTTATACGTATTAGTTTTAATATAAATATATAATTGTGTGTATGTCTATTAAATTAAAAATATAAGCGAGTTACTACCCGCTAGCCACCGAAGCTGCAACTACTAAGCTACTAACCAATCATAGATAACTTCTTTGGATCTAAAAAAAACACATTTTAAATTAGCTGACTTACTTTTAAACTTGAAAATTGTCCCTGAAGTAGCTGCCGGCTTCTGATCCGCCATCCTTTTGAAAATACCGCGGTGTATTCTGGGTAATTTTTGACCAAGGCTAGGCTACAAGACACCTGCAGTGTGTCCTTGCTCAGCTAGCTAAACGGCTAACAAACGGAGAACACACGCCTCGGTAGAACATGAACATTGGAACACGTCTTGGCGGTTCCCGATGACGTATCTCCTAGGCAACCGGGGCGGGGCCAAGACATCAAGGCAAGGTTCCTTGACATTGAGAAACATCCTGTGTGTGTGTGTGTATTTGTTAGCAGCTCCGCCCTCTCGGTCTGCTAGGCAACAGCATTTGTTGCATTTTTCAAACAGGAAGTGTGAGTGGAGTAATACTCTGGTAGGGGGTGACTTGCTCTTTAACGGACTGAATGCAAATGTGCTGTTTAACAGTTTATTTTGTGTAGAGCTAATGCTGCACGGGAAATATCGTCTTCTGAAAACAACTACAGCTACTGAGGTCGGCGATTGGTTCTGCAGCAGAGATGGGCTGTAAACGTATTAAACCACAAACACTTAGAAACTGCTGCAACGGCACCAATACCACATTTACTCTCATCCTTCATCATCAGTGGTTTTCAAATAATTCTACATTTCTGAGGGACTTTTAGGCTTTGTCAGATTTTAAATGTAATTTAATTAAACTTTTGATAAAATCAATGCATTTAGGTTTATTAAGAGTCAAAAGACAATTTATGCAATCCATTATGGTCGAGTAAATGGATCTGGAGTTATGCAAATCTGCAGCTGCATGCATGCACACACCTGTTTTTTAAACAGCTGGCACTCCTCAGGGGTCAGAGTGTCGGCCTTTGCAATGAGAGGGATGACGTTGACCTTGTCGTGGAGTCTCTTCATGAACTCGATATCCAGCGGCTTTAGGCTGAAAGACAAACAGGCGATGAATTCATTATAAGACAGAAATGAAACCAAAATCAACAGAAATGATTCATCTAACAACCAGGAGAAGAAAACACAACATCTAATGTTTGTCTGTGAAAAGGTTGAGTTATCCATCACCCCAAAACAAGATAAAACAAATAAGCTTAAATTAGTAGAAGCATAAAATAAAGAGAAATAGATTTATCCTACATTGTATTTGTCCACAAATGACTAATTCCTTAAAGGGACTTTACGGACTTTTGAATTTTTATGCTCGCGATTGCCCCCTCAGGCCAAAAGCGTAACGGCAGCTTCAATAGTAGGCCGTGCACGAGGCGCACATGCTGTACGTGCACACTCCTTAATGAAAATAACAGCTGAGACAGTCCCGTGTGTGTGTGTGGCCCGGCGGACAGAGGACAGGAGAACATGCAGCTAATTAATTAAATAATTTGGTTCTGTATCTTTCTCTTCAGCACAGCCGACAAAGGTTTATGATGGGTCAGTCCTCCTGCATGCTCAGATCATTCCCTTCCCTTGCTTGAAAAATTGTTCCAAAATAAAAGTTGAACCCACATCTTTTTTATCTGTGAATTCAATGCCGTTCGGCGAGTCTCAAATAAAAATTTGGGCATCTTACTGTATTATCTGTAACATTTATATCCTTGATGACAGCTGAAACAACGTCAAACCAAAGAACGGTTCGGAGTGAAAATGGCTATTTTGTTGCTAATTAGCAGGAAATATCTAGAAGAAAGTTCTACAGAAAGTAGCTAAGGGTCCTCAGAAATGTAGCTAGCTTTGTCACTAGGCGTTAGGAACAGCGACAAAGTGGCACTGCCTCTCTCTCTGCTGCTAAAGCTACGGATAGCAAATGCTACGGGCGATGCCTGAGCGTGAACGCGCATGAAGCAGCCTGCTCGACCCGAGCATCTCTCTTTTTCTGTCATTTTACAGAAAAACAGGCAATCCCAGTAAAAATGCCAGGGCTCATTCTACAGGACCAGGGCATTGCAGGAGAATGTATGAAGAAGACATTTATTATTTCTATACATGTTTTGGCTGTCAAACTTCCATAATGTCCCTTTAAGTTCCTTAGTAAGAATCTGCCTGCGTGGTAGGTTCAGCATCTCATGTCAAACATCCAGGGTCAAACAGAAGCCAAGCCACACATGTGGCCATCAGCATCTGTCAACTCTGGCGACAGGCACAGTGACTCGTAATGGGGAGGAACCCACAAGAAAAGAATCCCACCGAGCTCGTTTGGAGCTCATTTTGCCACAAAGCTGCAGTTCAGCGGGCCGCCAGCAGAGGGCCACGGGTCCACGTTTGATCACAACACAGAACACAAACTGAACAGGTCATCAGGGGTCGCCAACTCTGAAAGTCAAATTCTGTTCTGCTGCGGCGAAGCGTTGAACTTTGAGGGCTGAGTGTAGGAAGGCAAGTATGAGCCACATTGAAGAGGCAGTTATGTAAAAAATAACACACAGAACACAGCTGAGACCATATTTATGCCGTTGTTTTATTCGTGTGAACATTGAACGTTGTGTGCGAGGCTGTGGAAGTGGGTTAGTTGTCACGGGAAGGCGGAAACTCATAAATAGGCCGATGAAATAACTGTTCAGATGTTCTGTGCAGCACTGGAAAAAAAAAGCCCAGACAGTTAGCCCGTTGCTGCTAGAGAGACGGAGTCAGACGAGCTCCGGATAAATCTGTTGGATGGAAGAGACGACAGAAAAGTGACCGTTTAAGAATTTCTGATTTCAAGCTCATAAATTAGCGTTTACACACAAACAGCGATTAAAGAAACCTCAATTAAATTGCTCCAACCAGAGAAAACTGGGCTCACTGCTGGAATTTTTTAGGAATTCTTGGGAACAAACATCACACAAAGTGAAAGCTGGGAAACATGAGCGTGCAGGTTTCTTCTAACACTAAATTTATAGGTGTTTAACTTTTACTGCCACATGTAGGGGACTTCTGCAGGCAGCAGCTTCAAAACACCAACTAGCAGCTAAAAGGGGAGGCATCTGCTTGGAAACAGCGACTATGGAGACGTCCTGTGGAGTGACAGTAAAAACCAAATATATACCAGAAGAGACGGGTTATTTATTGTCCTGTCAGCACCTCTGAACGTCTGACTGGGACAGAAGAACAGCAGGGCACGGTGGGGACGTTTCTGAGGGTTTCTAAAGCAGCAGCGTTTATTGTGCTGTGCTAACGTTGACGCCGTGTTGGGATCGCTAAAAAATAGGGATGTAAGAAAATATCAATATGGCAATATATTGTGATATTTTTCCTGCGATTATTAGATCGATTTTCAAAAGCCGTGTATCTAATTCCTGAAATAATTTACATGCAAACTTTTGTGTATTTTCTTTTCATTTTGTGCAATTCAATCGCCACCCGCTAGTTGGCAGCAGTGTGCAGCGGGCTTTGTTTCCACCACTGAAATGTAAATCCCTCCATCATGGTTCAGATACCTCATGTTAAACATGTCACGTATCAGTTTGGACTGTTTATTGAACATTCTTACAATAAATTCAGTAAAAAAATTGCTTGTAACGTCTGACTGAATGTATCGTGATATATCGTATCGTCTCCCCTGTATCGTGATATGTATCGTATCGCCAGAATTTCAAAAATACACATCCCTACTAAAAAACCTAACATTTAATCAGACTTTAAGAGCGTCATCTACCTCAGGGTATCTGCAGGTTTAAGGAAGCCAAATTTAAGACTTTTTAAGACCTTTTTAAGGCCAATTTGACCAAATTTAAGCTACTTTTAAAAGTTAAATTTAAACTATAATTTCCAGCTATTGCGAATGTGGGATTAGCCATCCAGTTACCATTAAACTTGCACGTCCCCATGGCGCAATCTCCCACTAGCTTAACCAGCTAATGTGCTCATCTAAAATAGCCACCTTTCACAACCAACTGAATGTGTATGGTTCCGCTTACGGCAACATCATACACAAAAAATGCTGAACACTAACTAGAAATTCATGAAAATTGAAATAAAATAATCTTGTTTATTGGGTCTTTGGTAATTTAAGACCTTTGGAAACTGTATTTATGGATTAGTTGTCATTTTTAAGGATTTTTAAGGCCTTACATTTGGAAAAGCAAATTTAAGACTTTTTAAGACTTATTAAGGACCCGCGGATACCCTGCTACCTGCTGTCCACTTGAGACAAAAACACTGACTTTGATCCCGTTTCCTTTATGTAAAAGTTGCACCACAGCTCAGAGACACATTTAACCACGACTTAAAGGCTTTGCACAAGACTCAGGCTTGCAGATTTATTAAGAATCAGAGGAGAGTTTAAATCCATCCATCATGCCTGACTAGATAAATGGATTTGTAGTTATGCAAATCTACACACACACACACACACACACACACACACACACACACACACACACACACACACACACACACACACACACACACACACACACACACACACACACACACACACACACACACACACACACACACACACACACACACACACACACACACACACACACACACACACACACCATCTGAGAAGCTGAAAGATGAAAGAAGGCGACGTTTGTCTGCCTCCATGAATCTTCACTCTGATTGGCTGCTGCAGGGATGGAGGGCATATCTCTACTGAGCATGTGCAGAACTGGGTTATGTAACCTTTGTGGGTCAAACGGTGGCCGACTGCCTCACCGTTTATGCCCCCTTCTCCCTTTCTGCTCAGTTTTATCCAAACAGACACCAGTTCCATACGAAATGACTCTTTTTTTTCTTTTCCATCGTTTCACTCGGCTCAGCTTGCATCACTGCTTTGCTGCTTTCACGCTGAACCTACCCGTGTCCAGACGGGGCGATGAAATACAGGCAGCAGTGAACTCTGTTGTCTGGCATGGACCTTCGGTTCACCCTGGACTCGGCATTCAGGAAGTCCTCGCACTTACTGTCGATGTAATTTATAACAGGCTGCCAACTGAGAAGATGAAAATATAAATCAGGAATGACTGGATAATGGAGAACATGGGATGGCTTGTTACACGAGTAAGCCCGGACCCCTCACCAGTTACTGTTGTCCACTGCATCTCCAAAGCCTGGGGTGTCCACAATGGTGAGCGTCAGCTGGACCCCGCCTTCTTTGATCAACACTTTGGACTGCTCGACCTGGAACACACAAACATAGAAGCCGCTCACACGTGTGATTGCTGCCCGTCATCACTTTACACCTTCAAAAAGAAACTGTTCAGCAGCGTGAATCTGCCTCCACACACTGGCCTGCCTGCGTGGCTCCCACTCGGGGTACGGATGACGCATCATCATCATCCAGCACCCACGCAGCTGCCTGTGTGTGGAAAGAGTCAGACTCGTGTCCACATGCAGCTACGATGTGTAGGTCCAGAACGTACAAACAGGGTTTCCTCGATAAGATCAACTGGGCTGTTGCTGCAGTTTAAAGATCTTATTCACTGAGAAATGAGTCATTCTTTCTGAAATATGATCGATCACTCGGAGTTCCACATGCACGCCGAACGAGAAAAGGTTCTTCAAACCCTGTCGCTGCTGAAATTGCATAGACGGGAAAACGATCGCGTCTGAAAGTGCCCCGCCCACTTTGGTTCGTGACCGCCAACAAGGAGAGAGCAGAGTGCGTCTCAGCTAGTAGAAGCTAGCCATTAGCATTAGCAACTCTGCAACATGGTGGATCACGTTCAGGCTTCTGTTACTTTTGGAGATAAAACATCAACATGCTGAGGAGCAAAAAGAAGCAGCAAAAGAGTTGAGTTGCTTTTAGCCAATCAGAGCAAGATGTTTGCATATTATGAATAATAATGAGTAATCCTGTCCCCCCTCCACTCCTCTGACCAACTCCTACAAGAGAACCCAGTAGATTTAGTGAAAAAATGAGTGAATGAGGCCAAAGTGAACAAATCAGGAGTCAGAATATGAAAAGTGAGATCTTGAACTTTGGCCAGCGGCGTGTTTCTCATTCAGATTTCACAAAGAAGTTCATAAATCACAGTGTTCCTGTACGCTCTATCAAAAACAGGCCTAAAAGACTTTCAGGAGAATTGTCAAAAATCGGATCTGGACCTTTTTTCTCCAGCTGCTGTTTACACGAGCTTCACAGCAGGAGCTTTAGGATCTGCATTCTCACAGCTGGAGGTGTGTGTGTGTGTGTGTGTGTGTGTGTGTGTGTGTGTGTGTGTGTGTGTGTGTGTGTGTGTGTGTGTGTGTGTGGTGGCATGATGCTCGTTTACTGTAAAGATTTCTAAAATGGTGAAGACACATCTGGTGAGAATAACACAAGCACAAACAAAAGCAGCCCGTCATGGTCAAGGCTCCAGGATAATAACTGCTGCCCTCACACGCGTCCGGTGGGGTTTTCAGCTTCTTCTTTATTTTTACTTTGAGGGGAAAAAGGAGACAGCTGCTATCTCACACTCCAGCCCGCTGAAACATCCAGAGAAAGAGCTTTTTTGGTCCGCTTTTCTGCAGCCAGAAGACGCTTTGCTTCTAGGGAGTCGTTTATCTTTATGTGAAATCTTCTCTCAACAGGTGAGCAACAACGGAGTTTGAAGGTATTTTTATTGCTTGTAAATCATATTTACTACGTTTTAATAAACAGAACCCATTTTGATTGACTAGACAGAACCGTTTAACAACGGTTAAAAGAAAAACTTTACTGTTTATTTTTTATGTTACGAAGTTATGAAGCTTTTCTGTTTTCCAGCCTCACAAATCCATCGTTTCCTGAAGCGCCGCCTCAGTTCCCTTGCTTTGTCGCATTCTTTCACAAGACCATCTAGTTATTTTAGGATGACCCTTTAAACCCGAACTTTGACCCTTTAACTCGAACACAAACATTCTTAAGTTTCCACAAGCCTTGAGACAAACTGTCAGACTTTATAACTGTGTGTCGATCACACACCGCGGCCGCTTAAAGCTCCTGAGCTCCGCCGAGCACCCGGCATGTGCGCCTGAAAGTGTGTTTGTGTCGAAAGCGTTTGTGCGTGAAATGTCAGTCGTCTCAAAACCAAACACGCCATTTCCAACGTTTCTGTGAAGAGAAACAGATTGGGAGAAAACCTCAAAAATGTCCCTCCGGTCCCTACACCATCATTTAAAAAGAAATCTGATCTGCGAGGGGAATGCGAGCCAACGACAAAACACGGGTGATTGTTCTAAAATATAAATACTCTGAGCTGGTCAGCCTCAGACCACAGAACCTATTTCCAACACGCCTGCAAACACCAACTCCTGCTTGCCCACGCTGTGCTCATGGTGTGTGTCGGGAGCTGGAGGCCTAAAATAAATGCATTCAGGACTGTTCTCATGCTTTGATTTGATCGCTAGGTTGCTGCATTTCAGAAGAGCAAAAACACCTATTTTATTTTTAACCCTCTCTAATTATTCATTTAGGAAAAGCAGTACAACGACAAACAAGCAAGGTGGGCAACAGGTGTTTCTGGAGCATTTTTGCCATTTTGCTTGAAATGCTCTTCACATACAATCACATACAACCCTGGAAAAACCTCATCCTATCATTGTGAACATCCTTGTTCTTGACGAGTGGATCCTGATTCATCCATCCAACTGCCCTCCTACCCCCCCCAAGCACACATACATCTGTGTGCACGAATCACACGTTCTCTTCTGGGAGCAGCTGAACAGGAAACAAAGCCAGAGCCGGGCTGTCTAGCATGACGGATGGGATCAGTGGAAGACCGGCCATCGGGAGCAGCGGGTCATTTCAAGGAGGCCTTTCTGCCAATCTGGCTCTTTCGGCGATCGCTGATAAACAATCCGCCATGAGGCTCGCTAGTGAATCCCTCCCGCTGAAGCTCACACGGTCTCACACTCCTAGATGGGCCCACCTCCTCACGCGTTACTGCTCTGCTGCTCATTTCCTCCTTGGTGTACCCCTCTTCAATGGTGCCCCCAAGGGGTGGCCATGGCCACCCCTAGAAAATTGATAACCCCCCCCAGCAAATGCCAGTATTAATAAATCATATTAATATTAATGTTCACTCAAACCAAAAATCAATCTTATTTATTCAAGACATAATTGTAAAAAAATAAAAATACAATTAATGAGTAAAGAAATAATCAGAATAAAAAATACACGTTTCTGCTGCACACAGTTTAAAAAGTTTTTCATCTCCGTAGCTTTTTGGGAACACAGCAACAGGTGAATTAAACAACAACAACAACAAAAAAAAAACATTTTAAAATTAAAATTGAAATAACATTTTAAATAACTGAAATTTCTTTTTCTGAAATGTTTGTGTTTGTAAAATTTAAGTTAAATGTATTTGATACGTACTGTTTTTAAACACATAAAAACAAATAAAGGAGCAATGCAGCACATCGCCACAGGCTAAACTCTCCCAGGGTTACCACAAGGACCAGTTTGGTGAACCCCCCCAAAGATTTCTCTGGCCACGTCTGGCCACCCCATCAACATTTTCTGGAGGCGCCCCTGCCCCTCTTTAGGACACGGACCTGTTGTCTGTGAACACAGCCTATCCTCTGTCAGCTGGAAGAGTTCAGTTTGCTGCCTTGGCAACGTGTGTGTGTGTGTGCGTGTGTGTGTGTGTGTGCGTGTGTGTGTGTGTGTGTGTGTGTGTGTGTGCGTGTGTGTGTGTGTGTGTGGCCAGTAGTAAGGGGTGTGGTTCTGGAAGTTTTACCTGTTGTTTATGGGGTTTTCCCAGATTGTTGGCGGCACAGAGCTGATGCTTTAAAAAAAATAAAAAAACCAAGAAAGCTAAAAACTGTCTCACGTTCCACCCTAAAAACACCACTCTACATTAGCTAGCATGCTGAATTGTTAACGGTTTCATTGATGAGTAACATTAGTAATTACAGCAGAAAAGTTGCAAACAACAGGCCAAAAGCACAAAACGTAACCCTCCCGAACATGCACTGTGTGCTCCTGTATTCTGGAGTGTATTAGGGTGGGGGTGGAGCCTGGAGAAAGGGGGTGGTACCTATGCATTTTCCAAAAGTAACTCGCTCGAACGGCAGGAAAACCACGTCCTACTCCACATCTAAACTCTGAAAATTTAAGTACGAAATGAAAACTTGGGAATCAGCGCCGCTGAAAGAAATGGACCAAATGAGGAAATGAATGAATAATTTGAACTAACGTGCTAAAAAATGTAGTTGAGTTTCCTCACCGAGCCAATCAGAGGAATGCCAGATCAGATGAGAAAAACTGGATCATATCTTTTAAAAAATAAAGAAAAAGTGCACGAGTATGTTTCTTGAACAGTAGAGTTTTCCATTCCTGAAGCAGACTTGGTAGCTGGGTTTTGTGTTTCATGGATCATTCGTGCCCTGCTACTGACCCTCTCAGACCTCCGGGGGACACACGGGGACTCCCACCCAATCCCGTTTTCTGTGTGAGCTCTTTGTCACCCCTTACTAACCCACGTCTCCTCGAGGCTTCACCCAGGCTCTAGTTTTACTCCTCTCCATCTTTTCCCTCCCCCACCACATTACTTCTTTGTCTCTTCTCCCACCTCTCCTATTTCCTCCAGGTTCCATTGTTCTCATCCACTTCAGGGTAGTTTCACTTCAAATTCCTTCATTTCCCCCATTCCTTTCTTCCCTTTAACAAGCTGCTTCTCTTCCTCTCCTCCAGATGCAGCCTTCCTCCTCCTCGGTTTGTCATAACCATAAAAGGACACATCCAAATGCGGTGGCCATGTCCCTCCATCCTCGCCCTCTCTCTTTATCACAGGGCCATTTTCCTTCTCTGTGGAGTTCTGGCTTCTTTTCTGAAACTTTTCAAGTTCAATGCTGCGTGATGGCACAATAAAAAATATGTCTGATGTTTTCCTCTTAAATTTTAAGCAAAACAACTTTGGTGAAAAACACGAAAAGCAAACAGAACTCCTGAGTTTTAACTGGCCGATCCTCCGTTAAATCAGCTTCATGACCCGCATCACGTTCAGTTTCCACTGTCCTTTGAAGACAAGGTTGTGAGAAACATGAAAGTCATCTGGTCTTTGACCTTTTCACCCTTCAAATCTGACTCTTCACATTATGTTATCTTTAGACGATGCATGGCAGGACCCACACATCCTTGGCCAAGTCCTTTGTTTGAGTCAGAGAAGAGGAATGCAGGACGCTGAAGTACTTGCTGATCGTTTTCCTATTTAATTTTTAGGTTTATGGTAATTTTGAGAACCAATTGGTGAAATGCAGGAGCATCAAAAGTTAATTAAAAAATCCTTCACATTTGATGCATCCAGTTGTGAAAACAAAGCAAAACAAAAAAATAAAGACTTGGATCTGTGCAGGAGGCGTTTAAAAACCTGTCATTAATCATTTCTATTCACACACAATGCAGCACTGATACATGCATAAAAACTTGGCAGCTCAAATGTCTGACTTGGACGTGCTAATGCATTCTTTTGATGAGGGTTGCATGCGATTGGTTTGTTTCCCCCCTGCACTTAAAAACCAGGCAGTTTGAGCCAAACTTCAGAAACAATCACATCACCATCTCTGCTAAATCTCTTATCCTTTATAATTTACAGTGGAAGACACTTTATCTTCTGCAAAGATTGGTTGGTTGCATTCCAGGTCGGTCCCTGAAATGGCCCAGAACACGTTGGAATGGAGACAGGTAGACAGGCAGCTGTGATCATCTGGTGAAATTACCCAGAAATCCTTTAAGTGTAAACGAGCCCAACATCTCTTCAGCTTGTGCTCATAGGAATGGTCGAGTTGCATTTGACTCGTTTTAGTTCACCGACAGCAGCGGCTGTTTGGACAGTTGGTTTGGTGGAATTCATCAATACCATACAAAGACCGTCAACTCCAAATTAGTGTCACACGCAGTTTAAAAACAGAAAAACATCGTATAAAAGTACAACCAGAGCTTCATTCGGTATAAAAGTGACACCAAACTAATCCATTCAAACACATTTTTCACCCGATACCTGCATTTGTTATTGGAACTGGATTTCACGCTGTGGGAGAAATCAGCATCAAAGCCATGCAGAAAACTATATTTCACTAGGGATGTAAGAAAATGTCGATTATGGCAATATATCGTGACATTTTCCACAAGGATATTATATCGATATAAAAAAAAGCTGTGTATCGAAAATATTGATATCGCAATATATCGTGACATTTTCCCCAGGGATATTATATCGATATAAAAAAGCTGTGTATCGAAAATATCGATATCGCAATATATCGTGACATTTTCCCCAGGGATATTATATCGATATAAAAAAGCTGTGTATCGAAAATATTGATATCGCAATATATCGTGACATTTTCCCCAGGGATATTATATCGATATAAAAAAGCTGTGTATCGAAAATATCGATATCGCAATATATCGTGTAGGGCTGTAGCGAAGCCTCGACGAAGTCGACGGCTCGATTCTAAAAATTTGTCGACGTCAGATCCGGAAGTCGACGCACCGCGCCCACTTGTTGCATCCCCAGGAGTTTGTAAATAGAGGAGGAATCTGCCTGTTTTTCCTCTAGTTCGCCCTCTTCTCCGCCTTCACTAACATCTCCGCCAAATACCGAAGACCCGGAAAAACGTCCATCCACTACTAGATTATTTTCCTGTTTTGCCCCTTCGTCTCCCGGCAACGGACAACAACTTCCGGGGTCAGATGCGCTGCTTCGTGTCTATCGCAGATGTAGAAAATCACCGGGAGCGCTTCTCCCTTCATTAAGGAGCTTCTTTCAGACATGAGGAGAGCTGTTTTGGTGGTAGCAGTCTCTCCTCCGTGCTGGTCTGTTTGCTGCTGGGTGTTTTTGGTTTATTTAAACTTGGTAACTTGAACTGAATGTTGGTAAAGCTACTGTTAGCATCTTCGCTAACAGCTTCTTGCGTTGGGATAAGCTGTTACGTTTTGGTTTAGAGTTCATCTTTTTTGTGGTGCAGATCTCCCTTTTATTACATTTAGAGTGTTGTGGGTTTGCGGTTTAGTGTAAAATATCACCTGAGTTTGGTTTAACCCGTAAGACCACTCGCCTCACGCACATAAGTGACCAAAACAAAGCAGCATGGAGACACTCCATCTTCTACCACCTCTCAGGCAGCAGCCTGCACTCCCAAGTTCTACACGTCACCAGAACATAACCAACCAACACAATAAACGCAGTGTTATACAAAATGGAAGGCCTGTAGTGTTTATTCTCTTACAGTAAGAATTTATCAATTTTTTTGAGGAATTTATTTGAGATTTTCTGGTTTTTGTTAATTGTGCAATAGAAAAATAATCATTAGATTAATTTTCTAAATAGTCATTAGAATAGTCGACTATTCGATAAAATAATCGCCAGAATAATCGTTTTAAAAATAATCGTTTACCCCCAGCCCTAATATCGTGACAGTTTCCCCAGGGATATTATATCGATATAAAAAAAGCTGTGTATCGAAAATATCGATATCGCAATATATCGTGACATTTCCCCCAGGGATATTATATTGATATAAAAAAAAAGCTGTGTATCGAAAATATCGATATATCGTGACATTTTCCCCAGGGATATTATATCGATATAAAAAAAGCTGTGTATCGAAAATATCGATATCGCAATATATCGTGATATTTTTTCTTGCAAAAATGTATCGATATTCAAAAGTCGTGTATCTAATTTTTGGAAGAATTTACATGGAAACATTTGTGTATTTTCTTTTATTGTGGTGCAATTCAAACACCGACCACTAGTTGGCAGCAGTGTGTAATGGGTTTTGTTTCCACCATTGAAATGTAAATCCCTCTGTTATGGTTAAACATGTTAAGTATCAGTTTGGACTGTTTATTGAATTTTTCTATAATAAATTTAGTCTAAAAAATCGCCAAAATCGTCTGACTGAATGTATCGCAATTTATCGTGATAATTGTATCGTATCCCCTGTATCGTAATACGTATTGTATCGCCAGAATTTCACCAATACACATCCCTATATTTCACCAAAGGAAAAGGTGAATCAGACGCTCTTGATAATGTGCCCAAACTACTGAGATTCATCAGAACATTAAGGCGATGACGACCCTAGCAGGGGGAAGTCAACAGAGATTTAAATAACAAACCCCCATCTGCAAAACATCTGCAAGAGAGAGCCTGATTCATGCTCCTCCGTCAGCTCCAACAGGGACAGACACGCACAGATTGACGGAAGCGTTTAGCCCTCATACTCCTCCGTCTCCTGGGGAGTGTTGCAAAGCAATTCCCCGCCAGGACAGCAGAGGGCGTAGCGCTGTTCTGTGGTACCCTGTCATGTATCGGTCCAAGATCGTGTGTTTATATTGTGTTTTTTGTATATAAGAGACTTTTTAACACGGACACATTTATCTCTCATCCTCCTCCACCTCTTCATGCGCTCGCCACCTCTAAACCCACGTTTCCTGTCATTTCCGTCCACAAATAAAACGCTTGCTGCGTATCTTTTCACTCCTCCAGTCACGGGGGAATTAAACGTTCATATTTTTAGAGTTTTTTTCTTCAAGCTTCTCCGTGTCTGCCGCTAGTTATCCTCGACTGTCTTTATGTTTTTGAGGGCACAATGGCGACGGTGTAGACGACAGCGGTGCCCTGACCAATCACAAGCTTGCGAATGTTTAGAAAAGCGAGCTCGACTCTCCAGCAGGCCCGCAAGGGCGGTGGAGTTGCGTGTCTCTGCACTGATGCAGACGGAGAAGCATGACTCAGCCTTAAGCCAGCGTGGTGACAAATCAAACGCTGAGCAAGCTCACCTGCACAGTCTTCTTGATGCGCTGCGAGGGTCCTGGGTAGTCTTTAGAGTACAGGTCAGTGAGGAACAAAGAGTTGATGAGCGTCGACTTGCCCAGACCAGACTCGCCTGAAGACAAGAACAAAAGTCGGGACAAATGAATAAGATCAGAGTTTTAACGCAGTCCCCAACTGTGAACATACAATCATCCTCTTAAATGTGCGTTTGAGAGAAAACAAATGGGCTTGTGTGTGTGTGTGTGTGTGTGTGTGTGTGTGTGTGTGTGTGTGTGTGTGCACTGCACACACAAGCTTAGATACATAAGACATGGAGCAACTTGGCTGCAGCAGAGAAAATAAAATAGATTCATTGTGTGTGCAGTCAAAAGGTCAGGAGCTCATCTGCCAGAAAAAAAAAGCTCCAGATACAGGAAATAAAATGTTTCCTCACTAGCTTCAGCATCATTATTCATCCACTCTTCCTCTGACACTTCTCAGTGTCTCCTTTGTGTGGACAATCCAAACATCTCAGCCCTCTCTGCACTAACTGATGACAGCAGCACAGAAGCTACAGGAACCTGCCATAAACATTTATGTTACAACGGCACAGTTCATCCAAACGTACACGTCGCATCTGCTTACACGCACGCACACAGCTGCAATAAATGGCTGAGCATCTGGCTCGTGTCTCGAGAAAAGGAACTGGAGCGTCAGGATGGAAGGAGGAGGCCCGTTTGTCCTAGCTCGACCTCTGACTGACCACTACACCAGTTCAGCCGTAGAAAATATGAGGTCAAAACAGGTCTACAGAAATACCAGAAAGATGCACCAAAACACATGGAATGAACTCTAAACGAATGAAAATTCAAAATATATTCTGTTAGAGAAGAGTGGTCTTCTGTGGAACTGATAAGAGTTCCCATTAAAGGTCTAAACTTAATGAAATAGTACATCTGAGTGTCTTCAGTTCAGTTTTAAAGCCACTTTCATGATGAATTCCAGAATTAACATCCTTTACCTTTTCCTTTCCATATAAATCAAACATTTAGCATGAAAAACTAAAGCTCAAAACACATTTGGTGAAAAATTAAACTTTTTATTAATTTTAGGGATGCAACGATACCACTTTTTTCCAAAACGATGCGATACCGATACTTGGATCTGAGTACTCGCCGATATCGGTTACCAATACCGATACTTCTACCACACAAAAAAATGCAATGATTTGGAATACAGATTTTATTTTCTTCTCTGCTTTCAACAGGAAATGACTGTGAGGAAGATAAAAGGTAAAATATATGAATGGAAATCATAACTAAACTAAAATATTAGGTGAACAGAAATGACAAGTTACAGTGAAGCCATTTTCAAGCAGCTGCATTGGTATCAGTTAACCTTTACCGATACCGATACTGGTATTGGTATCGGTATCGTATCGGTGCATCCCTAATTAATCTATTTTTAACTTTTCTAAAAGTATGAAATCTACAAATTTCCCCTCCATGTACTTCCAACACGTTGTGATGATCCTTCAGTTTACTCCGATTTTGATCCGTTGCTGTGTCTTCTGTGGTGGCCTTTAGGACCATACAGATGTTTCACCTTTTATTCATTCAGGAAAATAAAACTTCATAAGAACTGAAGGATTTACTGAATAAACTCGGCACAAACCTGACCTCCAAGTGAAAGACCGAATATAAAGGTGTGAATCTGTTGCAGAAAGAACGACCGGCGCATGTCAGCAGACGGAAAGTGTGGACACAACTATGAGCAGCTCGAAAGACAAAAGCTGGAGGTTTTCCTGTTTCTAAATGATTATCAGATGTTGCTCAAATAATTTCAGATTCATCTGGAACTTTTCTGAGCGTCAGCATCATGTCTAGCGGGCCATATTTAGAAAATCTGCATTTCAATTTAGCCAGAAATATTAAAAGAAAAAAAGAAAATAATACCGTAATAATAAACTACCGAGGAGCTCTGGAACACTTCAGGAGATGTGAATGAAGCTTAAACGTGTGATAAAATGACTTTTCAGTATTTCTTTATGGGTTCATTCATTTCTAAATGAGCAGGTCAGATTTGTTTGAACTCCTCCAGGAATTTGCCAGTCTCCTTTTTACTTCACATCTGGACATGTGATCAGATCACCACAGCTCGGTGCGAAGCCCTGAAGAACTCTCCGCTGGAGCCCTGACGGTGTTTGCTCACCTAAGAATGATATTCTGTCACCGTGTGATTGATGAACCTCTCCGTGTTTCCTGCAGCCTTGCTGATGTCCAACTCACCCGCGTGATGGAGAGTTTGGGCCTGGAGGTCGACCACGTACATTTACACGCTCAGGCCGCTAAATGGTGAGATAGCACAGACGTGTGGAGCTCTGCTCCTCAACACTGAGCAAACTGTTCCCAGCAAACGCCGCAGAGAGAAAAATGATGGGATGTAGAGGAGAGCGAGGCTTTTGTCTCCAATCACTCACAACTTTGTTTCTTAAGTCAGTCACAGCCCAGCGAGATACTGGTTTTAGAAAAATACATGATTAGTCCCAGTATCATTAGAGGTTGTGTGTGTGAAGTAGCGCCTGGTGCACTTCCAACAAAATTAAGGTCATCCAGGCGACCAATTTTGCTAAAAAAATAAAACAAAATACGGTATTAAAAAAATCACTGGCATCCCAAAACCGTCTAAACTTGAGACCAGATATAATAATCTCAGACTTCATCAAGCAGGCGGCAGACTAATGGTTGGTTTATGCTTGACGGCTCCGCGCGGAAAAGTTGCGTCATTTTAACAACCACGCCCCTCCACCGCACCTCCGCACGGCCCAGAATTTCCGCAACGCGCACCTCGGAAAATTTCTAACCAAGCAGACGGACGGACGCGGAAAAACATGGCGGACCGGCAAGAACTAGTATGGCAGAGGTTCGTAAATACAGACATTTGTATGATTCAGCTCTCAGAGATCACCGTGATCAACATGTTGTTACTAATTCTTGGAGAGAAATAGCTCGCACTGTCGGAAAAGACGAGGACGCTGTTAAAAATGCTGAAATGCCATGTTGTAAACAACAGTAATTTTTACTTCTACTATGGTGTAGTGTTGGATGCATGCTGTAGAGCTCCATGCTGCCCCCTGCAGTTTGGGAGAATATTGGCTCACCGCAGAGACGAGCCGCACGAACCATAAACGCTGCGAGTTGTGAAGCGCGTTCCATCCGCGAGCCGCATCACCGCGCGGAAAGTGAACGCGTCAAGCATAAACCGAGCTTAAAGAGGGACTGTGCTCTGGAAATGATTCAGTAGTTCATTTCTCTGGTCGAGAGGCTCGGAGGGTGACAGAAGCGGTGAGTCTGAACTCCCTGGGGGCAGCTCTGTCCTAATTAGCCTCCCGCATTCAGCTTTAATTAAATATTGGTTCCACAGGACAAGTGGGAGAGCAGAAAATAGATTAATGACCAGAATGTTGGTGATGGATGGCCAACACCCCTGATGTTCACACACACACACACACACTCTCTCTCTGACTCGTCCCATTTCTCTCCTCTCCGTCCCAGCTTCATCTCCGTTATTGTTATACGTCTCCATCATCACAGAGCCGCTTGTTTTATGACTTCATCTACATTCTTGCTGAATTTATTCAGATTTTTGGAACAAAAAATAAGACAAAAATATTCCTCGTGGTTTCCTTCTTTTTCAGCCATGGTAGAATTAATGGCGCTGAAAGAAAAGCCTTTACATTTATTGGGGTTATGGGGCGATGGTGGCACAGGAGCTAAGTGCTCGCCCCGTAATCGGAAGGTTGCAGGTTCGAGCCCCGCTCAGTCTGTCGCTGTCGTTGTGTCCTTGGGCAAGACACTTAACCCACCTTGCCTGCTGGTGGTGGTTGGAGGGACCGGTGGCGCCAGTGCTCGGCAGCCTCGCCTCTGTCAGCGCGCCCCAGGGCAGCTGTGGCTACGATGCAGCTCATCACCACCAGTGTGTGAATGGGTGAATGACCGGTTGTGTTGTAAAGCGCCTTGGGGGGTTCCAGGACTCTAGAAGACGCTATATCAAATACAGGCCATTTTACCATTTATTATTACCAGTTTACATTACTATAAAAAAACAGCCATACCATAAATAAGCATCCCGGTGAAGTTAAAGAGCAAGTCACCCCCAAATAAAAAAATTTTTTTGCTGATAAACTAAATAAGTGAGTGTCTAATCGTGCTGCAGACACGTGTCGTCAATAATTTGGCACTTCAGTGCATCTTAGTTAAAATTTAAATATTCTGCTTAAAACTGGCAGTGTTGTGCCGTCGTCAGGTAAAAACTCTGCACTGTATTCTAATTTAAATCTGCCACCGCTATTGGCTAAGAGGTATGCTATGATGTAAACTGGTACATTATGATGTCACAATGCTGTCGTGAGCCTGTGTGTGTGTGTATTCGTTAGCGGCTCCGACCTCTCGGTCTGCCAGGCAACAGCATTTGTTGCATTTTTCAAACATGAAGTGGGAGTGGAGTTAGACTCTGGTAGGGGGTGACTTGCTCTTTAAGTCGATTAGGACAAAAATAAATAAACAATTAAAAAAGGTCCCGTTGGGATTCCCATTAGATTCGTGACATTCCTTATTTTGTTTTTGCTGCTATTGGTCAGCCCAGAGGCAGCAGCTGGCCCCCCTCACATCCTGACAGCCCACTAACACACAACATAAACACACACACACCGCTAACAGACATGTGTGAGACCCAGGCCAGGGAGTGTGAAATGGGGCATCTGGGGATCATACGAGCATAAGAAAAAAGTCCCAGACAGACAAATGTGAAGGAAGCTGCTGAACAGCAGGCGGTTGGAGAAGATAACCGTGTTGTTGCGGCTGAACGACTCTTAACCGAAACAGAAGGCAGAGGCCATCATTTTGACTAAAGATTAGAATCTGCTTGTCTGTCAGAAACTGAAACTGAACTCAGAAGCCTCTCTGACAGCCTCCTCGGTGCTACAGGAGCCTTAAACGGACACCTCTGACTTTTAAACGATTGGGTGAGGGTTCTGCTGCGATCCACCGAGCCTGGGACTGAATCACACAGAATCGGCACGTGCTGGGTCGGAGCAGACATGTGCGTCTCAAAATAGGGACTGAGAAAACCAGAGCGTGGAAAAGAAAAAAAAAAGAGGAAAAATGAGGCAGAGATCGGCCTGCGGCGATTTACGGTTGCATGCATGAACATGCAGACGTACACAACATTATTTTAACATGCATAGTAGATCTGGAGGCTGCCATACTGACTAAGAGTAAATCAAACTAATAACAGAAAATAATCTTGTACAAATCCTGAAATCAAGAAAAATCTCATTAAAAATCTGTTTATTTCACAATTATGTGTTTATGTAGTTAGAAAACAACACAACAACCAGGAGCAGCACAACTGGACACACAGGGGCATCCTGAAAGTAACACCGGTGTAGCAGATCATGGCCGATTCCAGCTCCTCTTCAAAGCCACAGACATTCCAGGCCTCTCGAGACACACAATCCCTCTGATGGGCTCTGGGTTCAGCAACAATAGACTTGGTCGTTTAAGTCAGAAAGAACGGAACAGAAATCAAATACAGCAAATGTGTGAAAAAAGGTCATCAACGGTGTGCGATTCTCATTATTAGGACTGTATTAAACAGTTACTTAAGAAAATCACATTCAGCTTTCAGCCATCGCTTTAACTTGTCACAGCAGGTAAAGCACAGGTGTTGCTAGAACCAGCTGTTTCAGTAAACCATGCCAGTGCATAAGAGGAAAACAGGATTAGTTAATGTTACTTGTTGCACTTGCGTGACTCTTTCAGTGAGGATAAAGCATGAAAGAAGCAGGAAAATGATGCAACTAATGCGAATCCTAAAGAAAACCCTGTTGATGCCTCTGGATTTACCGGCGTTGTAGTTATGGATTTATAACAATGAAGCTGCTTTAACCTTTCTGGTTTGTTTTCATCCAGAAACAGACAGAACTCCCCGTCTATGCATGAGAAGTTATGATATCATAGAGCCCTCAGACATTTCCTCATAATGACGCGTCGTGTGTAAACATTAGCTGATGGTCCTGACATGCATCTGCAGGGCTTTGTGCTGCAAATGCTGCAACACAACGTTTACATTCGAGTATTTATCCTCCTTACCTACAAGATAAGAATCAAAGCAGTAACTGTGTGTGTGTGTGTGTGTGTGTGTGTGTGTGCGTGTGTGTGTGTGTGTGTGTGTGTGTGTGTGTGTGTGTGTGTGTGTGTGTGTGTGTGTGTGCGTGTGTGTGCGTGTGTGTGTGTGTGTGTGTGGTTAAGCTAAAAGACTTACTGGGCCAAAGCCTTCATTCATTCATTCTATCCTGCAATGTCAGTAGGCAGGACGGTCACCCTTAAGCCTGTCAGGTCATCTTATCTGCACATGCACGCACGCACACACACACACGCACACACACACACACACACACTTATAGACCTACCACAACAACAACAGGCTGCAGGACAAACAGACAAATAGTTTTAAATCAGATGTGGATCAGTGAGGCAGATAAACAGAGACTGGTCCGGTAGGCTGAGCTGGTAGTTACATTCAGGCCCGTTCACACCCGCTGGTACCGACAGGAACTGTCACTCTTGGCATTAAAAACACCAAATTCAGTAGTATGCTGATAAAACGTGAACTCTTAGGCAGGAGTTCTGCTTTTATCATCTCTCTCTAGCTTGATTCTTATATTAATGACAGCTTGGCTTGCCATGCTGATCCTGCGACAAAGCTTCTGATGAGCTCTCCTCCTGAGAGGTTCCAGGAGAGCTGCTATACGGCACCACTTCCCCTCTCAGCTCTGATCCGACCCAGCTCCGTTCAGATCTCCGTGCTGGCGCTGGATATCGCTAATCTTTCCAAGAGTTTCTATTCAAACTGCCAGCTGGACAAAAGGAACAGGAAGTTGCTTTTTCCCCCTCAGAGAAAGGCAGGACTGAGAAGGACAGACAGCTGAAAACGCCACCGGCAGAAAACGGTTCCTGCTTTCTGGTGGTGTTCACTCACAGCCAGTGACCAACTGACATGACGAGTCAGAGACATGAAGGGACACGAGAAACCAGCTCCACGTGCAGAGTAAGCAGAAACTTGTGTGAAATTTTGATCCATCAGGCTAAACCGGACCGGGAGCCAAAAACTATCTGGTTAGACAAACAAAGGGGCTCCAGGGAAAGGGCTTCAGACAGGACCTTGTGGACTGCAGATGTCTCTGGCCCTCACCAGAGCCAGCACTATGCTTTTGCTCCACAGCAGCTGTTTACTAAACAAGAAGCTGAAAACTCAGTCCCTTTATGTCAGCGTCCACCTCCCTTCACCAAACTGCCCTGGATCACCACAAGCTTTAAAGTTACAACCCGCCTCAACAGTCCTGATGTCTAACAGAATATTTGAACTGTTTTACTATTTAAATAAGTCAAACACACTCAGTGTGGTGCTTTAAGCTCAGACTATTTAAAGGTGCAACAGGAGATAATTTTCTGGAGCATCTTTTGAAATTAGCTTGAAATGCTCTTCACATGCTGATGGCAACCAACGACTCGTTTAATTATAGATCCACTAGGATAAATACAATAAAGTTTATCTCTCACCAAATAGAATATTTACCAAGAAATCACAATTAAACCATAGAAACGGTGTGTGTGTGTGTGTGTGTGTGTGTGTGTGTGTGTCTGCTCTGTATTCTCCATCCCCAGTGAGTCGTGGAGGATGGCTGCTTATACTGAGCCAGGATCCTCTGGAGGTTTCTTCCCGTTAACGCCGGGGACACACCGGCCGTGGAAGCGCCGAGAAGCGAATCGCTCACGAAATTCGGCCGCTGCTCGCCGCTCCTCAGTTCAGTTCAGACACGCCCCAGTCGAGGCGCGCCTCGGCTCAGCTGTAATTTTTCTTTTAAACACTTGGTGTCCTCCGTTTCCTCTCTGCCTTTTCTCAGCTCTTTTCCTCTACGTTTGAGTGTTTGTACGTGTGTGTGTGTGTGCGTGTGCGTGTGCGTGTGTGTGTGTGTGTGTGTGTGTGTGTGAACCTATGGTATGAGTTGTTTCTGCCAGTTGAATCTCTTGGAACCCGCTCCAATTCTGCAGCTGTATCCTAGCAGTTTCTTCCAACATGGGTACGTAAATAATCATGTTTTTCGGGGGTCGTACAGCTCCTTGTGTTTCTCAACTTCCATATTTAATTTAAAGTCATCCATCCTAACTGCTTGCCTCAGACTTTCTGCCTCTCTGTCCTGTTTGCTCCGGTGAAAAGACACCCAAAACCACACCCCCCTTCACATGGTCACACACGCACACAAGTTCGATGTGTGTGTATGTGTGTGTGTGTGTTCGTGTGGTTTTTCTGCAGTGTCTAATTACGAACACATTTGACTATTGCGGATTTTTATTTTGAAATGCTTTATTTTGTTAACTTTACCGGCCTGCCTCTTATGTCTAGGTTTGACTTCCTGCCAGAATTGACGCAATTCACCAGCGGCTCGCGAAAAAAATAGAGCCAACGCCGAAATGATCGCTGCACGGCGCGGGCTGGAGCGCCGGCGCGAGGCGATTCGCTGCGCTTCGGCGACCCATGTGGTCTATAGAATAGCTTAACAAGGGCCCCGAATGAAGGCGGTCCCATTTTCGCGGCGCTTCCGCGGCCGGTGTGTCCCCGGCGTAAAAGGGAGTTTTCCTCTCCACTGTCGCTACATGCTTGCGTAGTATGTGGATTGCTGTAAAGACTCTTGACACTAGTCAGTGACTTGATGCGACCTGCTGGGTTGCTTATATAGGAACACGTAAAACGTGAAACAACTGGTCACAAAAGAAAGATATCTTTAATTTTTTTATGGTTGTTTGTCAGTGTCTGTCATGTCCAACATGCTTCTGTATTCTGGAGGCGTGGCTTAGAGGAATTTTCTGAGGAAAGAGGGTTGGACCTTTGACCCGTGTTTTTTCAAAATGCAGCTTGCTTGAACGGCTTTTTCCAGGAACACCAACCCCACCTTTAACAGCTGTAATATATAGTTTATATGTCCAAGTAAACTTTTACTGAAGGTGGACAACACAGAACAGAGGAATCAGGAGTCTTTCTACTGAGGTAGTTTTTATGTGACTGCTCTGCTAAACTCGAGGTATAAAATCCATGTTTGTTAATAAATCCCAATCACAACTCACATGGAGAACAGCTCAATATGTTAACACAACACTGCTGAATCGGCCTCATGTCAATACAGACAGCCAAACCCACAGTTCCTCCAACTGGCCGTCCACTTCCCTGCTGCAGAGACGCACCTAACCACAGTTTGATTCCCATACCGCTCATACTGGAACCAACATCCTGCAGCTCAGATCCCAAAATAAAGGATTCAAAACACAAAAATGCATCCAGAGGCAACAGAGAAAACTTCTCAGGCTAACAGTGGGGATCCATATCTTTCAGAAAATGTTTAATTCTTCACAAGTGTTACTAAATCCAGGCTACAAAGAGCATCACCTCACTGCTGAAACAGATTTTTAAGTTGTCAACTTGTCATCCTGAGCATCTGCGTGAACTGGATGCCAAACATGCTTGTCAAGCTGTTGCTAATCACCCACGTAGTCAAGGAAACAAACCAAGACCAGACAGAGACAGACAGACCTGCAGGTGTGCACCAGTGTGGCTTTAATACACACACAAAAACAGTGTTTGCATCGCGTGGCTCAGACGTTTCCAACTTACCTACAACCATTAACGTAAACTCAAACCCTCGTTTCACAGACTTCCGATAAACCTGGTTGGGAAGATTGGCGAAGCCCACGTACCCCTCCAAGTTCCGCTGCTGAAAGAAAACACAGAGAAACAATTTCAGTAAAAGGAGTGTGCGTATACGGCATGAAGACATGTTTAAAGAGCAAGTCACCCCCCAATCAACTATTTTTTCTGATAAACTACAGTATATAAATGTGTGTCTAATCGTGCTGCAGACAGGTGTAGTCAATAGTTTTGCACTTCAGTGCATTTTAGTTAAAATTTAAATATTCTGCCTAAAACTGTCAGTGTTGTGCCGTTGTCAGGTAAAAACTCAGCACTGCATTTGAATTTAAATCTGCCGTTGCTATTGGCTAAGAGGTACATTATGATGTCACAATGTCGTGAGTGTGTGTATTTGTTAGTGGCTCCACCCTCTCGGTCTGCTAGGCAACAGCTTTTGGTGCATTTTTCAAACAGGAAGTGGGAGTTGAGTAAGAATCTGGTAGGGGTGACTTACTCTTTAAATCTGACATCGCTATTGGCTAAGAGGTACCCTAGAAAGATAGCAGGTACCATATGATGTCACAATGTCATTGTGACCCTGTGTGTGTGTATTTGTTAGTGACTCCGCCCTCTAGGGATGGGTACCTATGACATTTGAATCGATCCGGTACTAATTCCCGGTACCTAGGAATCGATACCGGTACTTAACGGTACCAATTTTCGATACTTTTGAGTGTTTAATATTTTAATTCTCTTTTATAATTAAATATATATTTTTCTCAATTTATAACCATATTTGATAAATATCACGATAAATAACATACAACTGTTTGTATTTTAACATCGTCCTTGTAGTTTTATAAGCTGATAATTAAACTGAAGCAAACGTCTTTACTGTGAACTAAATTTACTGTGTATCTTCATTCCTTTTGCAGTCTTTTTTCAATTGATTTTTCCTACTGGGAAGTTAGAATTTCCGAGGAGAAAGTGAACGCACCATTAGATGATAACAATGGTGGCAATGGAAGCTAACATATCAAGCTACGTTATCTTAAACAGTTTATTTAGCTGCTGGAGCAGATTAAAACGATGATGCCTCACACTTAGATCGTTGTCACTGGTTTCATCTTCACCCAATCACCCGTCGCATTTAGTAAAGTGAAGCCAAACTTTAGAGCGCGTTCATGTTCTTCTAGTCGGAAATTCGGAGTTCCGAGGAGAAAGCGAACGCACCATTAGTGAAACGGAAGCTAACATATCAAGCTAACGTTATCTTAAACATTTTATTTACCTACCGGAGCAGATTAAGATGAGGATGTCTCACTTAGATCGTTGTCGCTGGTTTCATCATCACCCAGTTACCCATCACATTTAGTGAAGTGGACCCAAGCTTTAGCGTGCGTTCTTTCTACCATGCTGCTCTGTTTACAACTCGCTCGCAGCGACCGATGACTTAACGCTCTTGCGCATGCGCAGCTGTCTAGGCAAGTTCTCGTTGTGAAGGACGGGTACCGAAACGAGGCACCGTTTCAAATGAAGTGAATCGGTGCTCGGTCGGTACTATGGAATTCGGTCGGTACCTTAAAAAGTACCGAATTCGGTCCCCATCCCTACCGCCCTCTCAGTCAGCCAGGCAACCGCTTTTGGTGCATTTTTCAAACAGGAAGTGGGAATGGAGTAATACTCTGGTGAGGGGTGACTTGCTCTTTAAGATGCACAATCTCAACTAGCATGGGCTCAGACATATTACAGGCACAGAAGCCGTAAAGAGCAAACAGATGCATGTAAACATGCGTATTTATTTTTAAATACACAAAGAAGCCTTTTTCTACAGGGAACCTGAATGCAGCTGCACAGATACAAGACTGGACAAATGTGACGGGAACATTGGAAACAGTAGAAAAATAATAGAATGAAAATGGAACTAACACACAAAAAACAACAACAAAAATAAGTGAATAAAAGACAAATAATTTCCAAAATGCAGATGTGTGGTGCTAAATCAGTAAAGACAACAAACAGCTAAACTCCTACGTGTTTAATGGCCTCCAATGTCCATCTCCTCCCTCTGCCTCTCTCCGTCTCCCAGGCTGCTTTCATGTTAACAACCCCCTCCAATCGCCGAGCACGCTACACGAGGCAAACACAATTGATCGCTGGCCTCTCGGCCTCCATCATGCATGGCACAGATGGAAATGTGCAGCAGAACCGGGCCTGCTGACAGACGCGGTTTCAAACCTGGCGTCTAAACACGTCTAAAACTAAACTCTGGTTACTTTTATGCTAAATTTATATTTTATACAAAGTTTTACAAACTTTTATTTATCTAAAAAGTAAATTTCAAAGCACTTCAAAAGATTTAAAGGCACAAGGAATCCATCCATCCACCTATTTTCCAAAACTGGGTCACGAAGGAACAGGTCCAGGAGGGAAGCCAAAACATCCTCTGTCCCAGTGACAACCTCCAGCTCCGCTTGGGAGATCACAAGGCATCCACCCCCGTCAGATGTGTTATAAAACTCCTCCAGCAACTTCTGGATCTGCCGTCGTGTCTCCTCTCAGTGAGATGTGCCTGGAAATCCTCCAGATGGATGCAACTGGGAGTAATCTAGATGCACATTGAGCTACTCTGAGCTCCCTCTGGATGATGAAGCTCATCAAGTAGTTGGACTCGGTCCCTCTACAAAAGAGAGCGTTTAGAAGCTTACATACCAGATCTCATTCTTTCAGTCACAATCTAGACCTTATGACCACAGATAAGGGATGAAACAGGCGTCAAGAGTGTTGGCCCCTGGCTCAGACTTTCTACAACTAACACCAGAGGCTGCGGCGTATCAAAACACCAGGAGATCTCTGTAATTCATCACAAATGCCACAACCTCAAAATGTATCTTGTTATCAGAAAGAGGGCTTCTGAATGATCAAAAACGTCTGTGAATAATTTCATTTTACGGTGCTCTGCCATGTGCAGCTCAGTGCTTGGTGAGTTTCACATGAACAACTGTTAGCATCACGTAATGCTTGCATTGCTAAGCACTAGGCTTGATTTCAAGTTGCAAAAAAAGGACAGAAAACTGTATGAGCAAAATAGGAGTGTATATAAATGCAACAGCAGAAAGAAAAAGCCCGTTTTAAAAACCAAACTAACCATTACCAAGCTCCATTGAGTTTCAGTGGAGCTTGCATCTGCTGTTGTGAGATCCGTGATCATTATCACTAATAAATTAACTGTTGAAGCCCAATAAATCATCAGATCAGGATATTAAGGCTCCTGATGCTCCTACGTATGTCTTGAGAAAAAGGTAGGCAACCATGCCAATTAACTTAGTTGACAAATGACAACACTTCCCTATCAAACTCATCTAATGAGACATTAAAACTGAAAAACATCAAAGTGGTTCTAGAAAAACTTTTTGTTTACAATAAGAATCTGTTCTAACATGTGGAACATTGTTGGGGTTTACAATGACCCAGGAGTCCTGATAAACGGCCAAACACAACCCCATAATAAAGCCCTATAATGGAAAGATTGTTTTGCCCTGCCCACTCAGCCAGGACATGTATATTAACAGGGCTGCATGCTGATTGGCTGCTTTACTCTAAGGGCTCTATGATACTGCCTGAAGCTAGAAATTACAAGTACATCCTGGAACGTTACATGTGTGCTCTGACATTCTCCTTGCCCTTTTCTCTCATACATCAAGGACGTTAGCAGTATCTTAGGCTAGCATTGCTCAATGGTTAGCATTAATGCATTTTCAGACCTGCCAACCTTGTCAAAAATTTTTGAGCACCACTTGTACGGCGTTTTTTCGCGGACTTTTGCAACTCCATTGCTTTTCACGCTGTAATTTCCCATTCACTGGATGGAAAATTTTATACACACACACACACACACACACACACACACACACACACACACACACACACACACACACACACACACACACTTTACCTTACCATAGCAGCAGCGAGTGGCGAACCGGAGGGAGAGAGCAGCGGGCAGGACGAAGCAGGGAGGAGGGGGGCAGGGGTGTTACGCTATAGGCTAGGCAAGTTAGTTAGCTCTGGTTTTTCTCTGCTTTTCTACGATGATTGACAAACTTCTTCATCACGCCGCTGAGTCGTGTTGTCGGACATGAGTCCCAGACGTGCATATTTGCCACCATCGACATATAAATATTGGACAATGGGTTTCCATAGGCTCCCATAACACGTTTTTGTGCCAAAATGGGAGGTGGCCACCACCGCCATTTTGACCGTGTCACAGGTTCCGTCAAGCCCAGACAATTCCACAAAAGGGAAGAGAGGTGGAGCTGAGGGTGGGGCTGTAAGGCTGGGATCAACTGACGACACCCGGTCAAACTAGCTACAAGCTAACCTGAAGCGAACCCAAAGCTAACGCGGAGGTGGGAGCTAAGCTAACGGAGGTAGCAACCTAGCTACAACCGGAGTTAACTGTGCACAACACCAGAGCTTCTGAGTCAGAGATACGCCGGGCTGACCGCTGGGTAAAACCGGGTGGAACACAGAGGTCTCCCGAAAGCTCCACAATCTGGCAGCCGCAATCAGACAGAGATACGCCGAGCTGCGGGGAGGCGAGAACGGGTGGAAAACAGATCTCCAGAGAGCTCCACAAGCCGATAGTCTGAACCCAGCTCCACCAACATGTTTAACAGAAGAGTGAGAAAATAATTCACCCCCCTCAGAGTTGTCATGAGTGTAAACTAGATCATTTAAACCAAAAACATGTTCTGGTACCAGGCTGTAAACATGTTTATTTCTGCTGTGAAATTGGTATTTTTAACATGGGAGTCAATGAGGATTTGCTCGTTTCTGACACCAGCCCCTAGTGGATGAGGGTGGAACTGCAATTTTTGGTACTTCCGGGTTGGCCTCAATTTTTGAGCCGCATTGTGGGGGCTTGTCTGCCACAGAACTCAACTCACGTATCCGCAGCTTTTTGCATAGTTTAGAGGGGTGAGCCATACCAGCGTAAACGGATGCCAAATTGCGTACAGGTTGGCAGGTCTGCATTATTTATACATTGCTGATGTTGAAGTGGGTTGAGACATGCAGATTTAAGAGTGTGTGCCTAAGCTTATGATATGTTAAACCAGTGTTTCTCAGTACAAACTGTTCCTCCATGGTCATTACAACATTACTAATGGCATTGTCCCATCTGGCCCGGCCCAGCCTTGGTAATGTCGACCTGCCCCCGCGTAGCCAGGTTTTGTTCAGCCAGGAACGCGGATGTCTCCGAGCATGTGGGCAGGACAAAATACACGCAGACAAATCCGTGGCGCCTCCGTAAGTTAGTAAACAGAAGCGGATGTGAGCAATGTTTCTTTTGGAGGCTCTGATGTGAAGCGATGCCAGAAATAAAAAAAAATCCGTTTTAAAAACCAAATGAACCACTGCATCCAGACTAGGGGTACACCGATACATTGGGTAAAGTCAGTTTAAAGTCAGGCACATCCTTGGGCAGCCCGATGCGGTTGCAGAATTAAATTTAAATGTATTTTAATGTTCACTAGTAACATCTGCATAATAAATACTATCATTCAACGTTATTTAGGTGTCTGATTTTTAACTTTTGTCTAGATATTAGCCACGAAAACCAGCCCATAAAAATTAGCAGTACATACTGGCCATCGGCTGACCGTGTCTCCTACATGTTGGCAGCGGCAATAGAAAAACTAATATCAGTCGACCTCTAATCCAGACTGATACTACCCGCCAATTAGGGATGCACCGATACCGATACTGGTACCGATACAATACTGGTATCGGTATCGGTGCAGATACCGATACGATACTGGTATCGGCAAAAGTTAACCGATACCAGGAACCGATACCAATGCAGTTGCTTGAAAATAGCTTCACTGAAACTTGTTATTTCTGTTCACCTAATATTTTAGTTTAGTGATGATTTTTATTCATATATTTTACTTTTTATCGACCTCACAGTCTTTTCCTGTTGAAAGCAGAGAAGAAAATAATCATCATCATTGCATTTTTTGTGTGGTAGAAGTATAGGTATCAGTAATCGGTAACGGCGAGTATTCAGATCCAAGTATCGGTATCGTATCGGTTTGGAAAAAAGTGGTATCGTTGCATCCCTACCGCCAATCAGAGGCTTCATCTAGTAGGTAGGCATGAACATGAGCCGGCCAATCAGGCGGTAGTGGGTGTGTTGGATCGGCTCTGCACAGATTACCCAGATGTAAACACATTTAACCTAGGGCTGGGCCAGGTCGACCCAGATATGAAAGACTTATTATTTTCATGGGAAAGCAGGATGGAGATAGCACTTTCTGGTATACTAGACACCTCAAGCTGCCTTTTTCCAACAAGAACAAAGTAAATGTGACTTTAAAATCTAGGAGTCCTTTAACAAAAACAGCAGTAAACATGAAAAGAACAAACTATTCACCTCATCAATACTCTGTCGTACACAGCTCAACAGCAGGCGCAGCTACTCTGAACAAGCCTGAAGCCCTTTTTCCAGCACTTCCAGTGTTTGATCCACCCACATTCTGAATGCGTTGCGTAAAAGTGCCACCTCTGACGGTGGGTTTGTTTCCTCCCAGTTGCTGTGGGGGTACTCCCCAGGTCTGGCTTTGATCAGCTGAGAAGAACATTTTAAGGGAACAACAAGAGGCTTGTAACGTGGTGCGGATGACTCCAGAATAGGGCTGAACGATATTAGGAAAGCCTGCGATATTCGATAACAATGATTAATATTGCGATGACGATATTACTTGTGATAAATAAAAACTTAACTCAGGAACAAAAATAATCAAAAATAAAGAAACATAAAAAATTCATAAAAATGAGAAAAGCTAAAGATGCGAGGAGAGGGAAAACGAAAATGAACAAGAAAAGGCAATCAGTGGATCCCGGGAAAAGCAGAATCAGCAGAAAGAGCAGAACAAAGCTAGCTCAGGTGTTTGCTAACCATCTAAATTAAGTGCCGTCCACCTCGGGGGCGGGCATCTAACCTGCTAGAACCCACCCAATTGGCCAAATGGGTGAAGAGCTCCATTTGATTTGTTAAAAAAAGCATCATGCTTCCGTTTGATTGACAGTATGCATCATGTGTAGCAAACATTTGAGCTGACCACTCATTACGATATTTATCTGTTCTTTGCGATATGCATAATGTGCATGCTGATATCGCGTTAACGATATATTTACGATATATTGTGCAGCCCTACTCCAGAATGAATGCATTGACAAAATGACGTATGTTCAAGTAAGTGACTTAAAGGAGTCATCACCTGTTACTACCATGGATATCTACATCGTCTTTTAGGCTATAAAAATAAATTGTATACGAAAAATAATACGAAAAGTGCTTTCCTGACCTTTTTTTGTAAAGGCCATGTTTTCTCGCGAGAGCACACGCTATTTCGGCTGGGACTGACGCGCCATTTGTAACCATAGGATGTCCAAGGAAGATCCCGCATTTAGGGATGCACCGATACGATACTGGTATCGGTAAAAGTTAACAGATACCAGTAACTGATGCCAATGCAGATGCTTGAAAGTGACTTGACTGTAACTTGTCATTTCTGTTCACCTAATATTTTAGTTTTGGGATCACTTATATTATTTTTTATTTACCTCACAGTATTTTCCTATTGAAAACAGAAGAAAATAAAACCTGTATTCCAATTCATTGCATTTTTTTGTGTGGTAGAAGTATCTGTATCGGTAATCGGTATCGGCGAGTACTCAGATCCAAGTATCGGTATCGTATCGGTTTGGAAAAAAGTGGTATCGTTGCATCCCTACCCGCATTTCTTCCCTCTGATTGGCTAGAAGGGCTCTGCTATGACTGGCTATTTCATTTAGCAGCAAACAGTCTTCCCTTGCTAGGTGTAGACTGTTCTCCTGCCACCGCCACCAACAGAAAGCTGCTTTGGGAGTTTTATAAAGAAAATGTGAACTTTGCATTATAATAATAAGAGGCGAGAAAGGCGGGACCTTCCTTGAACGTCCTACAAATGACGCATCCACCACAGCCGAACTATTGCGTGTGTTGGAACTGAAGAAAAACATGCCATAGAGATGATTTGTTGATGCTACAACTCCCCATCTCTGCTCATTACTGTAAAAAATATATATCACCGTAAAAAAAAAAAAGAGTTGCCGTCTCGTATGTCCCAGCCTGGGTACGAACCCGGGTACTCCGCATGGAAGTCGAGTGTCTTGCAAGTTGAGCACTCTTTGACACCTACACTACCGGTCAAAAGTTTTAGAGCGCCCCAATTTTTCCAGTTTTTTTTATAGGAAATTATGCAGTTTAATGTCACATTGCACTCTCAAAATGAAAGCGTAGTGCAAATATGCAATTGGGGTTAAAAAATAAATCATGGAATCAATTTATAGACTGCTTGTTGTTGTTGTTGAAAAGAAGAATAGAACACAGGACAGCAAGCAGAGACTTAAACCAGGAGGTAATGGGGCGGAGGAGAGAGAGGAAAGCTTTTAGTCAGTCATTCATGTGGAACCCCTCCCCCAGTCCAAACTGTGGTGATGGTAGCTGCCTGGCTCACTGACATCATCCCCCTCCTCCATGCATTCAGCAGCTGATCCACGGCCTTCTCACAGCCTACATCAGCTGATCTCATTTTTTTAATTTTACATTTCTAATAGGAATAATTCATCGTGAATTGCATCACTTCATAGTGCAAAAGGAGGATGTAAATGTGATTGTACTGAAGCTGTTTCTGCTATTTTTAACACCAATCTAACAGCTATTTTTAATCAGGCTCTCAGGACACGAAGTGCATGACCATCGCTTTGTTACACCGGAAAACGTCACTGCTGTTCACCTCAGGCTTTGCCACAGACAGATGCAGAATGACAACAATGTGTGTCACATCATGTGGTGAATAATCACTCACTGCTAGATCTGAGTGACAGTTTAAAAAGCCCTAAAAGAGTAAGGTGGAGGTGTCAGTGGGTCCAAAATAACCCAAGACGTGAGCGGAGCCTCAACCAAAGTGTCTGTTTGAAATTTTACCATCATATATATTGTCAAAAAAATGAACCACTTAATAATTAAATGACCAAAAGGTGTCAAAAACTGTTAAGAACGAATGCAAAATCACTAGAAAATCAGTGCATATCATCTGTAGGTGGAGGTAAATTACCAAAAATTAGCTTAACACATCAAATTTCAGACTGCAAACTACCAAAAAATACACATACTTTGCATGTTGGTGCAGCTGGTAGCACAGGTAGGTGCCTTGCTGCAAGAAGGTTGCAGGTTGAAAACCCAGCGTGCTCCCACAGGCTAAACAAGCCACCTTTTATTACCGGAAGTTGCTTTGGAGGAAAAGTGTCTCCCAAATAAATAAACCTAACATGTTGATCAATAACCTCCGTGAAACTGACGTTGCTCATAGTGATAAATGCTTTGTTTATTGGTGCAGAAGAGCAAATGCCAAACTGTTGTTTTTGCAAAAGTAGTGAAATCAGACATCAGTTACATATTTTCACTGCTAACATGGTCTAAGAAGGAATCTCTCACAGTCCAGCCATCTCGGTTCCCACTGCAGAGGGCTAATTGAAACCAGACCACATCCCCCAGATACGTGATGTTCTGTAGGGAACCCTGAAGGCGTCCTCGGGTCAACTAGCTGACATTCAGGGTATCATTTAATATTATAGTTCAATTAATGAAACAGTAAATGTGGCAAAAGGTCTTAATCGAGAAATATTGTTTGTTTTGATTTAGACTATCAAAGCTCTACACAGAAAGAGGTTAGAAGGATAAAAAACAGACTCATAAAATCACGTTATTCGTCAAAATAGTCCGTTTATTTTTCTATGAATACACTAATTGTTACAGGATCCCTTTACAAGCATCCAGATATGGTCAGCTGGACTGTGCGAGAAGCTCAATCCGCAACAAACAGACCCAAGATAAATTACTATTTTAGTTAAGAAACTTAATATTATCTCATTGGAAACAAATTATTCACATAACATTCAAATGTTCACAAAGAAATGGACTTACAGCGATGCTGGGAACCGCAGTTTCTGGTCGTTCGATCATGTTTGCTGTCACCACCCAGCCTGCTACGGACACTCACCGAGGCATACACCGACAAACGTCCAAATGAGCGGCAAAGCGAAGCGAAAACGCAGCTTCCGCTTCTAAAAAGGAAAACTTTACGCAAACAACAAGGAGACAACGTGTGTTTTAAATATGAATGAATGGAGGTGAATTACATATGGCAGCTAAAGCTGCTACAGGCCAGGGAGGTAGAGCACGGTGAAGAAAAATGCTCCGACGGTTGATTTTGTTCAGAGCACAGACGGAAATCATGTAGGCTACATCCGGGTAAAACTTTCAAAATAAAAGAGAACATTGGAATGAAAATTTGATTTCTGTCCAGTAGAACACGAAACATTTACAGTACAAACGCTATTTATGAACGCTGAAAGCACTACCAAAAGTGGATTTACGTTTACATACAAAAAACAATTCTAAATTTTACCCCAATAACACAAAATTATAGTAGGCTATTTGTACTTTAAAAGTACTGAAATCGTCAAGGTAAGTTTCACACAGTCAACTATTCTAATAATATCGATGCTGTCAAAAATATTACTTTAATTCAACCTGTACTTGGTTGGTTTACTTTTGAATAATATTGTTTATTTATTCAGGCAAAACATCTTTGCTGGTGATGCTCAATCTCAGTGCAGCTTTTGATACTGTAGACTACAACATCCTTCTTGATGGCTCATAAACTGGGTGGGACCTTCAGGCACAGTGCGCAAAGTTGGTTCAGACCCTATCTAAAAAAAAGTGTATGTTGTTTCTACTGGTGATAACAAATCAAAGCAGATCACCATGACATATGGGGTCCACCAAGGTTTGATTCTTGGACCATTGCCCTTCAATCTCTACATGCTTCCTTTGGGTCAGGTCATACACAATGACAACATTACCTATCATAGGTATGCAGATGACACCCAGATCTACCTCATTCTAAGAGTGACTGTGGTCCCATAGACTCCCACTATCAGTGTTTGGAGCAAGTTAATGACTGGCTGCAGTCAAGATTCATTCAGTTAAACACAGACGGGACTGTAGTTACTGTCTTTGGAAAAAAGGATGGAGGTTATTTCTCAGTGTGGCTCCAGAAGAAACAAAGGTTAGAAATCTTGGTGTCATAATTCATTCAGACCTGAGCTTCACTGGTCACCTTAAGGCTATAACTAGATCAGGGTTAGTAAGACTCAGAGGTCTCATGTCCAGACAAGATCTAGAGAAACTCATTCGTGCGTTCATCTCCAGCAGGCTGGACTGTTGTGATGGTCTTTTTGCTGGTCTTCCCAAAAAAGCTGTAAAGCAACTGCAGCTTAAGCCTGATTCATTACTCATGTAATTCATTACATCATCACTCAGAATGCAACAGCTAACAAAGGTTTCGGTCTTCCTCACAGCCTTCAGCCGAGACCGTCAGCAGGAATGAAAAAAAAACATCTTTAAAACCACAATGTTTGTTTTACTAAAAGAAAAAGAATATTAGTTTACAATGAAGACTAAATTAACTTATTTAATAAAACAATGGAGCTCTTTTATCTTCTTTCCTATTAGAAAAATCTAAATAATGGTCTAGGCCCAGTTAGGTGTCACTTTTCAGGATGCAGGTGTGATGTGTTCAGTTGCTCAAGACCAAACTGGCTTCACTGACTCAAGTTCATTAAATCAACACCAACACTGACATTTCCCAGTAAATTAGGCAAATGTGAGGAACAAGAGTGCAATACATTTTAATGTACAGTATATATGTATATATATATATATATATATATATATATATATATATATATATATATATATATATATATATATATATATAGTATATCAACAGAAATTCTAGTTCCATTAAATGTACCAAACTAAAGTGGTCAACAGACTTGTCTTTAGGCCAGATGTGTACAGAAAAAGCGCTGCAGTGCTCCATTTTTATTTACATCAGAGATCCAATTGCACACCCTAGAGTCAAGAAAAGAAACTGTCCTCATCACACAATGGGAACAACCTCTGACATGACTCCAAATGAGACTGTCACATCGTATGTGTGAGCATTCTGTCTACAAATATGCAAAACGTGTGTGTAAAAATATCGATGAGCGCATGGGCAGAACATGCTTGTGCAGAAAGGCTGCAGCCAGGACTTGAACCTGTGACCTTCTTGCTGTGAGGAAACAACTTTTTACCAATTGTACCACCATGACACCCAGAACCAAACACTTTAAAACAAAATTACTGAACTCTTCTTTTGTACAAAGGCTCTTATTTTGAAGTTTACAAAATGGTAAACAATCTGTATTTGATATAGCTCAGTCTAGGCTTCTCTAACCCCCCAAGGAGCTTTACAACACAATCAGTCATTCACCCCCGGTGGTGATAAACTACAATGTAGCCCCCCTGGGATGCTTTACCATGGACCCTGCATGTCGAGTCTTTTAAAAAGCAGCTGAAGTCGCATCTTTTTACTTTTATAGATTTTGTTGATTTTTATTGATCTTCATTTTGTGTAGCTTTATTTGAAAGCTTTTACGCTTCATAGGTCTGTGTTTCTATGATGCTATTGTAGGTTTTGTTGATTTTACTTCTATGAAACCTTCTTTAATGCCTTATAAGTTTGTGTTTATATGGACTTTATGGTAGCCACTCTCTGTGGCATCGTTATGATTGTTGTTTTATCACTTTGTTGTTGTGAAGCACCTTGTGGCTCTTTCTGCAAAAGGTGCTATCCAAATAAACATGACTTACTTACTTTATTTCTTTATTTCACCATCAGATCAACAGCCCAAAAAAAATTTGTTCAGTTGTAAAGGATTAGAAACTCTTATGAAAACTTCCATCCATCCGTCCATCCATCCATCCATCCATCCATCCATCCATCCATCCATTTTCATCCGTTTATCCGGAGTTGGGTCGCGGGGGCAGTAGCCTAGGGCGAGAGGCCCAGACTTCCCTCTCCCCAGCCACTTGGGCCAGCTCCTCCGGGGGAATCCCAAGGTGTTCCCTGGCCAGGTGAGAGACATAGTCCCTCCACCGTGTCCTGGGTCTACCTTTAGGTCTCCTCCCGGTTGGACGTGCCCGGAGAACCTCACCAGGGAGGCGTCCAGGAGGCATCCTGACCAGACGCCCGAGCCACCTCAACTGGCTCCTCTCGATGTGGAGGAGCAGCAGATCTACTCCGAGCCCCTCCCGGATGACCAAGCTTCTCACTCTATCTCTAAGGGAGAGCCCAGACACTCTTCGGAGAAAACTCATTTCAGCCGCTTGTATCCGCGATCTCATTCTTTCGGTCACTACCCAAAGCTCGTGACCTTAGGTGAGGGTAGGAACGTAGATCGACCGGTAAATGGAATTATGAAAATTATGAAAACTTGTCAAAGAAAAAACAAATTTTTCATCTTTGTTCCTAAATAACATTCCTACATTAATGACGCTTTAAACAAACCACATAATTTGGAATTAGAACTCACAAACAAAACTAGATACTTTGAATCTTTTCCTTGATTTACTTGAAAGCGTTCACAAGCAAACAAAGAAAGTTTTTTAAAATGCAATTCTTAACTGAACACCTCAGAGTCGACAGACGCTTGTGACACAAGCAATTCTATTAAATAAAATGTAAAAAATAAAGATAATAAACCTTTTGCACAGTAATATGCAATAGATAGTAGCTTATATCAAATCCCTTTTACAACACACACATCCGAAGGTTCACAGTGTTTATGGTCAGAATTTAAGTGTTAAATTAAAATAATCTCTCATTAAACATAAAAAGTCCTTCATTTAGCCTTTAGGATAAAAACAATAATAGATACCCTAACCCTAACCCATCTCATGCTGGAAATGTTCCATAAAATGTTAGAATATTTGGTAAATATGTAGAAAACAGCTGCTTTTGGTTGTATTTAGAAAACTTTGCATCATTAAAACACACGAGCACATCCCTGCAGACCGCTGATGTGATTACAGGTGAGAGCTTTCTCCTGGAGTGTTTTTGGCATCCAGGTAGCTGATGAGGTCCTTCACCCAGGGCAGAGAAGGTCTGACACACATCTCACGGCCTGCAACCGTCTCCAGCCTGAGCACAAAGAGGAAGAAGAGCATGTTAGTGCGTCTGGACTGGTTTCAGATTCAGTGACGTAACTGATGCACTTCTCTAAAAGCGTGCCGACTTACAAGATGGCAGATTTGGGGCAGCGCTGGCTGGTCTTGGTGTAGTCCACCACTCTCTCTTTAGACACCACCTTGTCGATGAAACGAAAGCAGCATTTCTTCGGGCCGACTCCACGCAGACCTGTGAGCACGACGAGAGAACAAACATCTCAGAACAGCTTATCAGCTTCATCAGACTCCTCCCTGTTGGTTCCCCGTTTTAATTTCCTGTTGTTTGGTCAAAGAGATTGTTCTGCTTGTCTCTCGCTCTGAGATAATAACTCTTCTAATATCTATATTTTATCAAACACGTTTAATTTTGGTCTACAAACCTTAAATAGGGTATGGGTATGAAACAACAGGGATAAATAAATCAAGGTGTTTGTCAGCTTTATAAAGTTAATGCACTTTTATTTATATATTTATTTTTTATTTTATTTGTTGAAGCTGCAGTAATTTGACACGGTTTGTCTCGTCCCCAGACTTTGTGCTCTAAGTGAGCTTTCGGTGTCCTGTGCTCCAGGACTTTTGGATTTTTGGCTCGCAGCCTTTTGGATTTATTTTTGTTGTCATCCTACAAATAAAAGGATTTATTCTTTACATCAACTCCTGCCTCGAGTCATCCTGGGTATCTGCATTTTTGGGTCCTAACCATCCCCTTAACGTGACAACGAGGACATTTTGTATTAATTTCTATTGAGTAACTCTTTTGCATATTTCATTTGAATTGAAAAATAATTATATTGAAATTAGAATGTTATTTCTGCTCAGAAAATTCATTAAATAATGATTAAAGCCGCATAAATGTTAAATCTGATCTTATTCTTTCATAAAACCAAAACACTTTGTCTTTCTGATTCCTCCTTCACAAAACAAACTGCTCAAAATTCATCTCATCGTTTAAAAACTTCCTGATTATAACTGTTGTCCGTCTCACCTTCGGTGACTGCGACCACGGCCAGCGCCAGAACCAGCAGAGACAGAGTGAGACGAGCCATCCTGAGTCGCGTGGTTTTGTTGTTTTGCTCTGAGCAGCAGGTGAAAATCTCAGGTGAGTTCAGCTTGTCGCCTCTGCCGTCCGGACTCCATCTGCAGCCACGTTTATACAGACGAAGACAGGTCAGGGGACGGCCCAGCGCTCCATTCTGACGTGTCGGGGGATTCACCTACGTGGGAGATTCTCCTTTCTGCTGAACTACAGATGAGCTGATTTTCACTTCTCCTAAACTTTGTGATCAGGACGCTTTTTAATCGGACGTGGTTTTCCCTTTCATTGTTCACGAGTGGCGTGATTGCAGCTGTAGTTTCTGTGGGCTGCTCTCATCACATGATGAATTTACATCATTAGCAGCAAGCACAAAGCAAACTTCTACTAACAAAACAACGTGCAGCATTGAAAAAGGGCAGAGAGGAAATCCCAGAGTTCCTGCATGTCTGTGAACACAGAGCTCACGCCTCTGAGGAGTGACTGACATGATTGTTATGCATACAGCAGAAGTCAAACCAGTTAGGATATTCTGAAGGCTTTTTTTTACACTGAAGGCTGCAACAATAATTCTAATAATCGCTAAAAGCTGTTTGGGAATCATTCATCAGGGTTTGAACGGAATCTTTTTAGTGCAGTCATTTCTTATAAGGGAACATTATTATAAAGGGGGACAAATAAAATCACCATAAATAGTCAGTTTTCACCTACAGATTGACCTACATGCCACCGGTCATCTGCAGACAGAAACTCCGTTCTCTAAGCTGGATTTGACACTCTGTCTTCCAACAAGCCCAGAAGATTCTGCATCTCTGAACACACGATAACACATCGTCAGCAAGCTGTTCCTGTTTCAAGGCCTAAGCTTCCCTCATCGCTTCTACAGGATTCCTCATGCCTCTGAATAAAGCGAACACTTTCAGCTCATATGAGTTAATTAATCATGAAATGAAATGTTTTGATTAATATGTGCCTAAGGTAATAAGGTTGAAATGAATTTTAATATTACAATGAAACATTTAGATGTTATGATCAGTAATGTTTGGTTTAACAAGTGAATCATTATCTACACTCAGACACAATGTTGATGAGATAAAGTAATTTCTGCACATAGAAATGTTCTCACCCATAAATCAGAGCGTCCTGTACCTGAGAAGGCGTGACGTTCTGAGGTTTGTTTGTTAACACCTCTTAACACGGCACGTCCCGATTGGCCAAGTAAATCATACTATGAGAATATTAAAACAGGATCACTTGCGGAGTGATTCCAGGGTTCTGTGAGATTCAGCATCCTGTTAGTTTGTGCAGAACTCCGGACGGGCCACCAGAGGAAACTCTGTAACCCCCGCACCTCTTGACAAGCTTTCGACAAGCTAAAAGCTGCCTGCAGCTGACACAGCAAGACGGTTCCTTCAGCTGTTCAGAAACGGCGGCTCTAGACGCAAACTAGTTCCAACCTGAGTGCCCGGCGACATCTCTGGACCGGAGCGTCGGTGCTGCGGTTCATCCACTGAACCTCGGTGCCCAGAGGTCATCTGACCTTCCTGACCTCCGGATCCGCGAAGAGGGTCTCCAAAGAAAGGGCGAGGTAGACACAGCATGATTGCGTCTGATGCCGTTTTGATAAGAACCAACTTCATAAGACACCATGTAAAAAACCTCTAAATTAGCAGCATTTACTGCTTTCATAGCTTGTAGAATAAAGTTATACGCATAAAGTTATGAGTACGGAAAAAACAGTCATTGTTAGTTTGAATAGGAGGAAGGAACTGAAGCTTGTGAAATCTAACCACAATAACTCATCATCCAATCCCAGACAGCTCTCATAGCGTGTTATTCACGACATCCAGTGATCACATTGTTTCACCACTTCATCACCAATGTCTGCTCGATCTTCTCTACATCTTTATCATTTTGCAATCGTGAATTTGATGAACTTTTTTTAACTGAATTATATTCGTACCTTGGGTTGAATGAGTCTTTTTCTCATTGACATTTTGTTTGTTTTTGTCCTGAAATCTCTTGGCTACGTTTCTTTTTCTGGATTCAGTTTCGAGCGATGCTTCCTGGATCTATTTTATCTTTGTTTATTTAAACCATCGTGACTTTAGACACGGTTCCTCCTGAAGCATGCTTTAGTGTTAGCAACGCTTAGCTACGTGTGGAGGTCTGTAACATTCAGAATCCAATTAGATGACCAAAAATGTTCTGATGTGACTTATTTATGTCAACGCAAACCTCCATTTAGAAAAAAATTATCATTATAAATGAAGCAAATGTCACACCGAAATGAACGTTTTATTTGTCAGAGCTTGAAGTTCACAATATTTGCTTAAAAGAGCAGAATCACTTTCATTAATGCTCATTTTAACGGCATGTTTGTTTCAGGATGAATGAGTGAATGACTCATTCCTGTATTTTCTGTAGCCCCCCCCCGATGAGTTTATAGCCAGTCGGGCATGAAGACACCTTGCAGCAGTCGGTGACTCATCCTGCCATCTCAAAAAGATCATTTAGAACCTCGTAATTCTTTCTTAACCTGCAGTTCCACGCGCTCTACGCTATCAAAATACACCACACTAAACTAAAAATACACATCTACGCTAAAATGAAGTAAATTCTCTTTGGCTGCGGGAACGGATAAATATCGTGAGTAAATGTTTTTTTTTTGTTAGATTGCTTTGAGCCGATGAAGTGATGCTAAAATTTTAATTCTAGTTTTTATAAAATTCACCTTGACACTATGAACCTTAGTCACAACTGCACTGTTTAAAAATGGAATTCACAATATCAACTTCCGTATTATTCTGGTTCTTTTTAAAATGTTTTTTCTAATTTTTTATTCTCCCTGTGTTTTATTGATTTCTAGCTGTTAGTTCTGGGAATTTTGTTGTATTTCCTTTTAATCTTTTATCTGTGTTCGACATGATTGTATAAGTTTTTGCCGGTTTAATTGACTAACATTTTTAGTGTACAGCGCCTTGTTTGGTTGTAACGCCTTGTCGAATGCGCTTTATAAATAAAATTGGATTGGAGTATGCTGTCTTGTTCTTTCATGTCTCGTGTAGGAACGGCTACGAAGCATCCTTAAAACTGGAGGAATGGGATCTTTCCTCCTGAATCTCATCAAAACTCAGCTGGAGAACCTTTAGAACATCCTGGTAATAGAAAACTGATAATCAATATTTCTACCTCTGGAAGACGGAACGAGGAAGGCAGCATGTTTTATCTGACAGTTAAAGAACAGAATGACTCCAAGGTTCCTTACATTAATCCTGGAGGAGTTAGGAGGTGAAATTAGCTTGATTTGTTTAATTCAGACTGAAATAAATTTTATTTTCAACTATTCCAAAGGGCTTTAATGAAGGCAGCTGGACGTCTTTGGTTATTTTGAAGACATTTTGCTTCTCATTTGAGGAGACTTGTCAATTCTGACTGGAATATGGGAGGGTCAACGAGCTGAAACTACATATGAATACCCCTCCTCCCTACCTCCTGAGGAGTCATTGATTAAGACCTATTGTGTTAGAATGGTTGTTTTGATTAGATACAGGGGGGTGTGACCTAGACTAAAACTGTTTTGGAATTAGGTTTAAAGCTGCATTGAAGGTGCTGGAAAGATGAAACCTGAGGCCTCCTCTTCTATTTCATGTAGCTTATTCCCATTTGACACAGATAGCTTCCTTTACTCCTCTCTCAAACCATCTATCTTCTCTGTCTAGAATGTGTACTTGTCATCTTCCAAGTGTGTCCCTTGTCCTTCAGGTGTAGGTGAACTGCAGAGTCTTGACCTGAGGTGGCTCTCCTGTGTTGTGCCAGCTAAAACAGAAATTATTTACTGGTTTGTAAAAACCGGAGCTGTCAACTGACCACCACCTGGTGGTGAGTTGGCTCAGATGGTGGGGGAGGATGCCGGTCAGACCAGGCAGGCCCAAACGTATCGCGAGGGTCTGCTGGGAACGTCTGGCAGAGTCTCCTGTCAGAAGGAGCTTCAATTCCCACCTCCGACAGAACTTCCAAAATGTTCCGGGGGAGGTGGGGGACATTGAGTCTGAATGGACCCTGTTCCGTGCCTCCATTGTTGAGGCGGCCGACCGGAGCTGTGGTCGCAGGATCGTCGGTGCCTGTCGTGGTGGCAACCCCCGAACCCGCTGGGGGACGCCGGCGGTTAGGGATGCTGTCAAGCTGAAGAAAGAGTCCTATCAGGTCTTTTTGGCCTGTGGGACTCCAGAGGCAGCTGACGGGTACTGGCAGTCCAAGCGGAACGCAGCTCGGGTGGTCGCCGAGGCAAAAACCCGGGTGTGGGAGGAGTTCAGTGAGACCATGGAGCGACTTCCGTTCGGCTTCGAGGAGATTCTGGTCCACCATCCGGCGCCTCGGGGGTGGAAGCAGTGCGCTACCAACACTATCTATAGTGGGGACGGTGTGCTGCTGACCTCTACTCAGGACGTCGTGGATCGGTGGGCAGAATACTTCGAAGACCTCCTCGATCCCACCGACACATCTTCCAGTGAGGAAGCAGAGTCTGGGGACTTTGGGTTGGCCTCTCAAATCTCTGGTGCTGAGGTCACTGAGGTGGTTAAAAAGCTCCTTTGTGGCAAGGCTCCAGGGGTGGATGAGATCCACCCGGAGTTCCTTAAGGCTCTGGATGTTGTGGGGCTGTGTTGGCTGACGCAGCTCTGCAATATCGCATGGACATCAGGGGCAGTCCCACTGGACTGGCAGACCGGGGTGGTGGTCCCCTTATTTAAAAAGGGGGACCGCAGGGTGTGTTCCAACTACAGGGGGATCACACTCCTGAGCCTCCCTGGAAAGATCTATTCAGGGTTCTGGAGAGGAGGGTCCGTCGGATTGTTGAACCTCAGATTCAGGAGGAGCAATGTGGTTTTGGTCCTGGCCGTGGAACACTGGACCAGCTCTACACCCTTAGGGGGATCCTGGAAAGCCACACATTTCTACACAAAACGGACATCTGAATTTCTCTAATTAATTAATTTTTAAAATATTTACTAATGAAGTTTTGAAATTGTTAATTGTGAGGCAGATTAAAATAAATGCTTGCGTACTTTTGTTGTAGCTTCGTCAACTCTGATTGGGATTATTGAAACATCACTGAAGCTTCAGCTGAACTTTGTGTTTTGGATCCAAACCACTTGAGTTTCAAGGGGAGGAGAGTTTTTCCATGCTTGACTCAGCGTGTCAATTCAACTGCGTGTAGACTCGCCACCCGTTCATCAAAAGCAGAACGCCTACGCGCTTCTTTCACTTCTCCATTATTTGTCCTTCAAAAGAACAAATAATAAAAAAAGGTTTCCAGACAAAACATGCGTTTAGAGGCAGACAGCGTCTCCTCCGACGAGTTATCTTTTCTTTTTGATGACACTGAAAAAAGAGGAAATAAAGAAATGCACGTCCTCAATGTTGACCTTCATTTAGACTGAACCTGTGGACAAGCGTCAGCGTCACATTTCATCTCCTTGTCTGCAGCTCACCAGACGACTCACATAAAGACACGAGACGCAGATATAAAGGGTTATTTCTGTAGTTTTCTCAGAAAAGCAGAAGAAAATAAGCAGTTTGTTGAAGATTTGAAAAATAAAGCTAGTTGATTGATTCCTCAGCCACATTAGATTCAACAATCCCCACTAAAGACAAGAATCAATAAAAACAAACAATCAAATGTGAAATTAAAGAAACTCGAACCAGGAAAGGATAAGAAAACGAGGCGCCGCACCTACTAAGACTACAAGCCTGAAGCGTCGTTAGAGCACATGCAGCTACGCAAGCTCACAGCCGACTCCCCGTAACCACTTCATCCTACACTGGACTCAAGAAGGGGGAAGGAAACCTAATTTTCCTCAGGGATGCAAACAGAAACTAAATTATTAGGTGACCCCTGTACAAAAAGGCCTGAATAAATCATAGTTTTGGTTGTTAATGTTTTATTTTTATAATCGTTGGTGCTCTTGCGGAACTGAGTCTGTTCTGAAAGGGTTTGGGTCAGAGGGCTCGGGTGAGGCGGAAGGATTTAGCTTCAAGAGTGGTTCTAAGATCACAGGCGGCTTATTTCAGTTGCTTGATTGTCATTCGCAACAGCGCTGCGAAGAAAAAAATGAACCTGAGGCCAGAGAAGCGAACATCAAATATTAAAACTGGAAAAGAACGGAGCTAATAAATAACCGCTAAGAGCAGCGAACAGCAGAACGGCGTCATTTGATCATTAATGGAAGATCTAAGGTACGTTATTAATCTATGTTTATGTATTTAGCAGACGCTTTTGTCCAAAGCGACGTACGAGTGATAATCGGCATGTTGCCCTTGAGGCTAACAACAACAATAATAACAACAACAACTTGACATCAATCATGGAGAGGAGGGAACAAGGAGTGAACAGTAGAGGGGGGACGGGTGCAGGGAGGGTGCTAGTTTAGAAGATGCTCTCTGAAGAGCAGGGTCTTCAGGAGTTTCTTGAAAATTGAAAAGGAAGCTCCTGTTCTGGTGGTGCTTGGAAGGTCATTCCACATGTCATGTTGGGTTGTAGTTGTTTGACCCACGACATGCAGAATCACACACTGAGACAGAAGGTAAGTAAAAAAAAAGGTTTATTTTTGTACGGTGGAAGGTGGAGATGATGGTCAGAGTTCGGGTGGTTCCGGTGGAGTTCTAGAGCGGAGACAGGAGTGAGTATTTGCAGGTTGACAGTGTAAGGAATATGAGTTTTGTAGCTTACGGCTTCCTGGTTGTTGGGGGGGGGGGGGTTGTGGCTGGCTGAGCTGGTCGAGTGAGAGTCAGAAGCATGGCTGGGAGCTGGGCACCAGAGTTCGGGATGTCCAGGTTGGCAGGTGTGGGTTGGAGAGCAGGCGGTCAGGGGCGAGCGACGGGGCTGGTAGGCAGGGTTGGAATCCGGTGAGTGTATTTTCCAGATGATGGAGGTTTGGTTGGTGGAGGAGAAGTTCCCAATGCTGAGTATCATCCGGCACTGATGAGTTGTCCCGACGCTCCTTAAACCCCCTGACCACTGATGAACAGATGGGCAGCAGCTGCTCTCCAGGCACACCCACCTGCACACAGAGTGAGTCTCAGCACAAACCATGACACCACATTTGTGGAACGATGCATGAGAAGAGTCTGGAATGTCCTGAGCGTGGTGTAGGCACTGCTAGCCGACCATCCTGTGATGACCGGAGCGGCCGGGCCGAGACGTAAGCCTTTGCAAGAGGATTCAGGTAGATGGGAGCCGTACCATCTCGGACTTTGTATGCTAGTGTTAGCAATTTGAATTTGATGCGTGCTGCTAGCGGTAGCCAGTGGAGCTCAATGAACAGAGGGGTTATTTATTGTGTTCTAAGCAAATATGAGTACTGTACATTTTAGATAACACACATCAGTCCGGTGGAACACAAGAAGCTAAACTACTGTCTCAGAGGAATAACTCACAAATCCAGCCCGACTCTGAAGCATCAGTTATTAGCTTTAATAGCATTTCACCAAAGTGACAAACAGCAGGAAAACATTTGAGTGTGACAACTTCTTTGGCAACATCGTCTGTCTTTTCATTTAATACTTTGAATTTTACACGGTTGGCAACACTGATTCATTTGCAACTTTTATTTCTATCTTCATATCGATTTTATTTACTCCTCCTACCTGTGAGGAGCTTGGCGTAACGGTTTATGATGCACTTTAACCCAAATATTACAGTCGGTGGCATTCGGGAAGATGATTTCTGTAGTGAGTGTGTAGATAATTACCATATTTCCCATAAACTACGATTCTGGTCATTAAGATATTCATTAAAGAGCAAGTCACCCCCAAATAACTTGTGTTCTGATAACTATATAAATGTGTGTCTAATCGTGCTGCAGACACGTGTAGTCAACAGTTTTGCACTTTAGTGCATTTTAGTTCAAATGTTAATTTTCTGCCTAAAACTGTCAGTGTTGTGCCGTTGTCAGGTAAAAACTCTGCACTGCATTTGAATTTAAATCTGCCATTGCTATTGGCTAAGAGGTACCCTAGAACGTTAGCTGGTACCATATGATGTCACAATGTCGTTGTGTGTGTGTGTGTACTTGTTAGCGGCTCCGCCCTCTTGGTCTGCTAGGCAACAACATTTGTTGCATTTTTCAAACAGGAAGTGGGAGTTGAGTGAAACTCTGGTAGGGGGTGACTTGCTCTTTAAATCTGGTTTCATGTCTAGTTGCCTGGTTCGTCGAGACGCATGCGGCTCATTTAGGAGTTTAGGTGGGAGTTCAGTGTTTCAGCAAACAACAAAAACAAAAACACCCTTATGAAAAAACAATGAAAATCGCTCAGAAAGTCTGGAGAAATATTGATCGAGACCACTTTTTCCAAACCAAAAGGCCAAAATTGAAAAAAAAAAACCATCATGAAGAAAGTCAGATAAAAAAACAGCAAAACACATTTCATATGAACATATTCAGTTTGTTTTGTAACAAATAAAACGGCTGAAAAAGTACAAATCAAAGTCCTAAAAATGATACCCGATGTTTACTTTCACCTGCAGATGCGGTTCCAAGGATCGGAGCAGAACCTCTGAGGTTCTTCCTCAACTTTTGATTAAAAACTCTTAAATTTTGATCTAATTTCTAAAACACACAAGTGGTGAATCATAAAGTATAAAAACAGACACGCTGAAGAACAAACACACACCTTTATAATATCAGTCTTAATTTTTACAATGTGAAGAGTCCTACAGGTGACCTGTGAGGACTGCCTGTAAAAAAACAGCTGAGAACTCGCCGCACCTGATCCCACACGCCTGCCGAAAATGACACGAGCTGCTCCGACACACACAGGTTGTGTTAAAAAAGTCCTCAGGAATCGGGCAGAGTATTAATAAATACGCTGTAAACATAGTTCACCATGTCATTTCTGAATCAGGAGCCAGGTGCAGACACCTGGTAACACTGTGATCAGAGCTGAGAAGTTTAAACGTCTAAATACTGCTTTAGAGCCGAGTTTATAGTTTTGATTCACACAAGAAATTAAAACGCTAAATTCTGCTGGAAGAGTTATTTAATCCTGGGCCTGGAAACAAAACTTTACATCTTTTATTTTGAAAATCCCCCAACAAAGGATGCATGAAACCCAGTTAACGGCTGATATTAAAACATGAAGCCGCAGATAGAAGAAACACCACAGCGTTGTTCAAATGAGGTAAATGAATGTCATAAAGGATTTAAATGGTTCTGAAGCCAGTTGGACATTATCGCTGCACACCAACAGAACCAGAACCAGTACCTTCTACAGGAACCACATGGATAGTCGCGGTGTTTGCACACAATCCCAGCTCCTGTTTCTCAGCTTTAATGATAAAACAGCCGGAGGGTAAACCCCACCTCCGTGATGTTTGATATTTAGTGACCTCAAAGCATTTTCTGAGACTCCTGCAACGTTTTTAAGGTCAACAGATTCAGTTTCAAACATTCTATTCAAAATAAAGCAGAAAATGCTTCAGCTTTACAGCTAAAGAATCACAAAACTTCACAAGTGAGCATCATTTTGTTTGGTCTGCGATGCGGGTGATGGAGCGGGAAATGTGCAGGATGTGATGCTAACAGGTTAATCCTGCTAGTTCCTCATGGCCTCCGGGCAGATTAACCAGCTCCACAGAGGTTTCTGAACATGCTTTAAACTTGTTGGTAAAGTTTTGGACCTGACTGCTGGCTGAGTGGATCTGCGGAACCACACGGGTCGGGTTGTGCAGCACGCAGGCGTTTACAGTCCTGCCCAATAACATGTTTGGACCCCTGAAACTGGACGTTACTGCTTCTGCAAGTCAACAAACCTAAAAAATCCTGTTTTACAAAACGTGCTTGTGTGCTCGTGTCATCTAAATCGTCACGTTTCGGTGCGTACCTATTCATGTGTCACACATGCACCAACGCCAAACACAAGCGCGCGCTTCAGGGACGAGGCGCCCAGACTCAAGACGGCGTGATTCAAGCTGCTGTAAACCATTTCCCATCATGCATCAGCAAAGCTTTAGAAAATAAAGTTCTTTTTTTTTTTACCAGTCATGGCTGACAAACATGCTGTAAGCATCAAACGAGCAGCTTCCTCCTCCGACTTCACATCCGCTTCCGAACAATCTCGCCTTACAAACGTCACATTTCATATTAAACAGGCCTTTAAAGCTCCTATAAAAAGTGTCGGCGATAGAAATAGCCTTTGTTGTTTTCTAGAAAGACATTTTGTTTTTTTTAAGAAAAGAAAGACACTTGTTGAGGTTCCTGGGAATGGCGTGAGGGCAGCAGGGCGAGCGGCTGACCGGCGGGGAGGAGCACGACACGAGGACGCAGACGGTCGGTGTAAAGGCCGGTCAGCAGCTGCACGCTTTCCTTTTACACACATTAGTGGTCATCCAAGTGTCCCTGAAGGTAGAGGCTTTAAAAAGAAAAGAAAATTGTCCTTAAACTACGACTCAAGAGATCCGAGGAAAGGAGTGTGTGTACTGGCTACAAGAAACACTCAAATCAAACCCATCTGGATTCAGTTCAGCGAGGTTAGTGAACAGTCTCAGACGCCTGCTGAAGCTCACGAGCCAATCACCCAAGAAGATCTCTCTCCGACTTCCTGATCTAAGTTCCCCACCTCATCTCTCTCCCCGTCAGAGTTTCTCTCCGTTCCTCTTTCTTCTCTCCCCCGAGCGCCTCTGACTCATCCACCTACTCGCTGACTCTCCCGTCCAACGCCGCGCCGCTCCGGTATCTGTAAACTCAGTTAAAGTGTCTTTATTTCCTCCAGCCTCCCTCCTCCATGGCAGTATTAAAGAGCGAGAGCTCGGGTGGTCGAGCTAGGGCTCCTCTTCTCCGGTGGAAACGGCCAGTCTCATGGCTACAGACAGGTGATCGGTGAGGCCGGCCAACTGGGTCACAAAGCTGAACTCCTCGATGTCCTACAAACCAGAATAAACACCTTATTATTTATTACAACAGATAAACGGGATTTACAACTTTCTGGGTTAACCTCATTAACAGAAGAACGGCTACAACATCTGGCATGAAGCTAAAACGTGGTGTAAAGCAGCAGAGCTTGAACCATGTGCTATCTGATAACGCAACATGAGTTGTTGGCGTTATTTTAAAGGTTTGACCAAAACAGCTGTTTCTCCATCGTCTCATCCTGGATGTGCACCCCTTCAGTGAATGATGAGACTTTCATTTTAAACGAGTTTAACATTTTTTGTCTGTTTTCTCTGTTAATTCTTAAAGGAGCAGAAAACTTGTTTAATCAGTCCACACGCAGCGGTCTCTACTAGGAATGAACGCCTTGTAAGTCATTGTCGGGGGGAGGCGGGGGGGGATATACCAGTGCACCATTTCTCGGACCTAAATGTTACCCACATTCAATTAAATTAAATTAAATTCAATTCAATTCAAAACTACTTTATTAATCCCAGAGGGAAACTGATTGCTGTAGTAGCTCAGAATAATAATAATAATAATCAAGTCATCAAAGAGTTGTTGTATATTACAACGGCTGTTGGCAGGAAGGATCTCCAGTAGCGGTCAGTGTTGCAGCCAAACTGAAGAAGCCTCTGACTGAAGACACTCTTCCGTTGTCGGACAGTCTTGTGAAGAGAACGCTCAGGGTTGTCCATCATTTTCTTGATTCTCTGGAGAATCCTTCTTTGCATGATCTCCTCCAGCGGTTCTGAAACTGCTGAAACTCTGGCTGAGTCCTTGAAAGGGCTTGGAGTTCCTCCATCTTGTTGGCCAGTGATCTCACATCGCCCATTATGATCGATGGAAGAGATGGTTTGAATTTCCTCTTTCTCTGTCTCCGTTTAGCTCCCGCTCTGCACCACGCTTCTTGCGTTTTAGCTCATTTGGGATTTGTGGCTTCAGCTGAGGTATTATTTCAGCCTTTCCAATGTTAATCAGCTGCTCCCAATTGTAAACCAGCTTGTTACCATGGACTTGTAGAAGATCTGCAGCATCTTGCTACAGACATTGAAGGACCTAAGCGTCCTCAAGAAGTGCAGTCTGCTGTGTCTCTTCTTGTAAACGGCTTCGCTGTTCTTTCTCCAGTCCAGTCTGTTGTCCAGGTGAACTCCAAGGTGTTTGTATTCCTCAACCACCTCCACTTCTTCTCCCATGATGGAAACAGTGTTTGACTCCACCCTGTTTCTTCTGAAGTCTAAAATCATCTCCTTTGTTTTGTTCACATTCAAGGTCAGATGATTGTTTCCACACCATGCCACAAAGCGCTCCACCAGCTCTCTGTACTCAGCTTCCTGTCCATCTCTGATACACCCGACAACTGCAGAGTCATCTGAGTATTTCTGTAGATGACAGGTCTCTGACTTGTACTGGAAGTCTGAGGTGTACAGGGTGAAAAGGAATGGTGAGAGTACAGTCCCCTGTGGTGCTCCAATGTTACTGATCACCTGGTTTGATGTGCAGTTCTTCAGCCTCACAAACTGTGGTCTGTTTGTCAGGTAGTCTTTAATCCAGGCGATAGTTGAGGCCCCCACCTGTGTCTTCTGGAGTTTCTGGCAAAGTTCTTTCTCTGTCTCCGTTTTGCTCCCGCTCTGCACCCACGCTTCTTGCGTTTTAGATCACTTAGGAGTTGTGGCTTCAGTTGAGGTATTATTTCAGCCTTTCCAATGTTAATCAGCTGCTCCCGATTGTAAACCAGCTCGTTGCCATGGTTACGCTCATAACAAATGCTCAAAAAGTGAAAAAAGCTAAAAAAAAATAGCAGTAAAAATCCTCCAAGCTTCACAGCACCAGAAACAGAAAAGTAAAGTGTCCAAAAAATACAGTTTTTCTTGAGAAACTAGAAGAAAAAGTGTCCAAGAAAAGGCTAAACTTACATGTAGTCAACAGAGCTACTCCAACATGCAGCCGCCCAGAGCAGCGCAGTTCCGGATCCCAGCTGAGCTTCAGACGACCGGTTTTGGAGTCTTATTTCCTGTTATTTGGATATCTCGCCTTGGATTGGATGCAGCAACGTGACTCTATCACTGACATGCAACGTGGATGTTTTGTCTCTGCTATAACACAAGCCTGGAGGAGTTCTGCTGTGTGGTGAGGTTGCTAATGCTAACACTTAGCATTTACTAGCCGAGACGTTCTCTGCTGTTTCCTGGACGCTAACCAACAACAGCCTTCCCCATCATGATGGGTGAGTCCATGAATGTTAGTGACAGGGTGACGTAGATCTGTCAGGATTTTCTAATCCTAGAGTTTCACCGTCTGTTTTCTATCAGAAGCTCCTGCAGGAGTTAGGTGTAGTAGACTATTTTCATGTTCAGCCTGCATGAAACACTCAGAGTGACTGTTTATGATCAGAAATAAGATAAAAAATGTGGTTTTCAGTGAACAACACCTTTAAAATACCAGATGTTAAATATAAAAAGCTGTGAGGATGAGTTCATTTGTTAGCAGCTGACCACAGTTTCTGCATGATGTCGTCATGTTTCCTCTAGAGTTACTGAGCAGCTAATTTCAGCTTTAGTTTTTCTAACGGCTGCTGGAACGGTCCGGAACATCAGAAAACAAACGTTCAGTTGTGCAGGATCGTATTTTGAGCCAGCAGGAACGTCTGGGATCTGTTTTCTTGTGATTCGTTTCATTTTTGCTTCAGAGATAAAAAACAACAACATTTTAAATATAATCAAATCATGTAACCCTTTGATGCATGAATTATGAAACCTTCAACCATGATGTAAAAAAATTTTTTTTCACTCATCTTTAGGTGTGAATGAAACAAATTTCAACAAATATTTTTCTAACATTTAATAATTTAGTAATTTATTACGTGTCCACCTCAGTGGACGGCGTGCGTCCTGAACATGAAACATGTTGGCTTGCCTTACCTCAAATGCAATAAAGTCTTCAACAGCTGTGCTTAATAGCAGAAAAAAAACAACACTTTTGAGTACCTGTCCAGCGTAGTGACCATTATGCACCAAAGGGTTAAAATATTAATTGTTATTATTGTTCATTATTTCTCAAGTCACTGCTGAGACTTGACTTTGCTGTTCAAACTTAAACAAAAAGGCAAATCACTAAAAGCTCTGCTGACGAGTCAGATCTGCTCCAAGCTTACAACACTTTTTCTGCTCTGGACAACAACCGGGCTGTCCCCAAACCGCCCCGTTAAATGTCACATTTCCCTTCACTGGAACTGAAGAATGTCGACATTAAAAATAAAAAAGCTGATCTGGAAATTTAGGGTGCCTTTTAGACCAGTGAGGTGCTTTCCAATAATTCCTAACTTCTACTGTTTGTTCTTACTCCCGCTGCTCCTGCAAACAACGTTGTTCTTAAAATATTTATTTACTTTTTTCAAGAAAATTTACCTCAGTGATCAATGCTTGATCATTATTTTAACATTTAAAACATCAGAGAAAACTTAAAATGCTGATAAACAGTTATTTTAACCCTTTAATGCAAAATAAATCCTATTTTCTACACATATTCACACATTTCTGTCACTTAGAGGATTAGGACAGACTTCCACGATCCTCTGCCTCCTTGTGGAAGATCTAAGTACTGCAGGAGATAAGTGCCAAATTAGTTTTTGTAAAAATTTTGTACCTAATAAAATATATTCAATAATCATACAGTTGTTTTCTAAACATTAGCCTGAGATAAATAAATATTTTTAATAAATATAGATTTAAAAAAAATGTATCATCCATAATCCACCACCAGGTGGCGACATGTGGCTGCAGGTTGTTGAGAGAAATTTCCAGATGTAAATGATGTGATTTGGTTTTCTGATCCTCCCCAAAGACTCCAGACACTCATTTGTTTTTATTCATTTGATTCCATCTGTGTGTTTTTCTTCTCGTCTCTGGGTTTAGTCAGTATTTGTTTTTCTGATCTGTTTCCTGAACAGAAAGAGAGCAAAGCCTCGGGAAAGACTTCTCGTTAGTGCAGTATGATGCCAACAATAAAACAAATACCAGCTCTTCCAGACCCATTCATTTATTTATAGAAGACATATTTAGATAATGATCTCTTTTGCAGCCTTTAATTTCGTTTCATCCTCTCAGAGTCAGTTTGTCATCTATAAATGTACGGCAAGGATTCATGTGACGAGATGGAAAACCACACAGAGCCATTTTCCAACAATATAAGAGACATTTAGGGGGGAATTAAAAAAATATATGTTTAAATATAGATTTAAAGTAGTTTTAAGGACAAAACCAGAGTTTCTAAGTTTCTCAGGAGCTGTTTAGATTCAGTTTTATTTAAACAATAAAGCTTTTCAGAAGGGTTTGTTTCCCAGAACTTCAGTTTTTGTCTGAAAGTGATTAAAAATGTCAAAAATACACAAAATATCAGGAAAAGGAGGGATAAATGAACGAAAATGTACTCAAATATGATTTAACCTCTTTTAAAAACCCTTAAGATGCTTGTTTGTTCTGTAGTGCTCTCCTGTACCAGTTTCCAGTCCTGCTGAAGGCCCTCGTCGCTGTACAGGATGTAATCGATCCGGCGTCCGTTTCCCTTCAGCGGGATTTTTCTCCCCTTCTGACCGCTGGCAGGACACTGGTTCTTACTGGGAGGAAACACCAGGTACTCCTTCCTCCCCTCCTCGTTCTCCATCACTCTGACAGAGACACAAAAGCACATTCAGATCCGAAACCAGACTCACAAAAAACAAAAAACAAACAAAAACATTTTTAAGTGCAACAGCAGCTGTGGCTCACTTTTGTAAACTTTCAGGTGAGCTGACGTCGTCGTCATAAAGGCCACTGGGATCCAGCAGAGTGCCTGCAGAACGACACGTTAAAGAGAATTCATTAGACACAACTGGTGTTTGGCCGATCGTGTGTATTAATGCACACACGCACGCACACACACACACACGTGCACACTTACACCAGCCAGCAGGTTTAAGGCCTTGAAAAGATCACTTCTGAGCACTGAGTTGATTTTGTAACGTATTTTTTACCTTCTGGCTCCAGATTCATGACTTATTTATGTTCCACTGCTGGGATTTCTCACATCATGAAACAAATCGATTTAATCAGACGGGTTTCGTCTCAGAGTAGCAGCAGTTTATCGGACTACGTATTCAGACTACTTCACAGTCTTTCTGTCTTCATCCTGCGTTTCAACGAGCTTCTCATCTTTCAGCTAAAGAAAGGCAGCAATTTTCTACAAATCAGCAGTTTGGTTTAGACAAAACGACCCGATTTAGATCAGCGAGTGTCGAAGAGCGAGAGTTTCTGCTGAATACTTTCAAAAATATTTCTTAAATATGTGATTTTGTGAAAAATCTGCATTTTAAGATGAAACTAAACCAAATCCTCCCTTCAGTCTGGCTGAATGACTATTTTTGTAACGTTCTTTCACCAACACTTCTGCTCTAGGAATATTTACAAATATGGATCTAGTATTTTACTAAAGTTGCAGAACACGTGTTTAATCAGTAGCAGTTACTTGGACATCTCTCCTCTGAATGGACAACACCAACACGACTCTACAACTGATTCTTTTTGCTGTGCAACGTTGACGTTTAACCTCTGCAAATAACTCAAACATGGAGGAGTTCTGCCGTGTGGTGGAGGTGCTAATGCTAATGGTTAGCTTCTACTAGCAGGGGTGTTTTCTGCTGTTTTTCTGGACGCTAAACCAACTGTATGTGTCAGCTGACTGGTGATTTGTTTAAACCAGTAACGGGTTGACAGCAAATCCTTAATGTCATACTGATAGTGACCCGTGAGAATCCAACAGAACTACGTTTCAAGTGAAATCCGATTTTGATCAAGCGCTGCGTTTCCTCTTTACGGACCCAGCTGTTTTAAAGGTAAAGCCTGTTCTGAGAGGATGCTGCTCTGAGTGGCGTTTTAACCCTCAGCCTACGACCCGCTGCCTTCGTCAGGGGAACTGCAGAGAGAGACCGATGAACACTCAGAGATGCTTTTGACAACGAGACAGCACGTCTGGATAACGCGCCTACAAAGCTCCGTATGAAGAGCCTCTCTGGTACGTCCACTCGAGCCGACAGCTCTTATGTGAAACGGGCGCCTGCGTGGTGGGAGAAGTTCAGCAGCTCTGAGAGCATCACTGGAATAAAGATGGTGACGTTTCGGGTGGAGCGCTTCCTTCTTTCGGCTGCTCAACGTGGCTTCAGTTCCTCCGACATCACCCATCAGTGCTGAACGTACATGTTCCTACGTCAGTTCAACCACTTCCACATTAGCACCAGACATCCATCTACTTCTGGGTTTTGGTTGGTTAGTTTTCTGATGCATCATGTTGGTGGAGTTTTGTAAACGATCCCAGCAGATGTAACCGTGCCCTTTTTTCTGTTTGAATATTCAGTTGTCTGAAGACAAGTGCAGCAGAAATCCCGGCTTGATGTCCACAGCATCCACTCACAACCACATTTATTCACACCTTTATCCTGTTTCTTGCCACAGTTGTCCTCTCCTGACAGACAGAGACCACACAGGAAGCGCACATCTGTTCTCTCCACCATTCCACACAAAATATTTCCGTCCAGATAAACAAACCTCATTCCGAAATGAGCCCTTTCACTCATTTCTGCCCACACTGACCCTGAAATACTGCTGGCCCAGCTAACGCTCTGTATCCAGAACAAAATCCTCAAGTGTTTGCATCACTAATGCCCATGCATCAGCCCGCTGTACTGGTGGTGTTTTAATTCACACAGTGGGAGAATCCTGATTTAGCCTGAAGTGGCTGGTTTTGAGTTTGTTCTGCTCTGCAGCCACTGGAGGGATCACCTCCGTGCTTCTGTTGTTAACACTCCTGCTGTGTGTGTGTGTTTGTGTGTGTGCGATTTCCTACCCAGAGCCCACGGTTTGTCCTCCCCTGGCCCCAGGCGACATGGGTCCTTGTACTGAGTAAAAAGTGTGTGCTGCTGCTCCAGCTTGTCTTCTGAAAAAGTAAAACACACACTACAGCATCACAAACAGTCCTGGATTTGGATTTATATATACATATATATATACATATACATATATATATATATATATATATATATATATATATATATGTATATGTATATATATATATGTATACGTATATATATATGTATATATATATACATATATATATATATATATGTATATATATATATATGTATATGTATATATATATACATATATATATACGTATACATATATATATATACATATATACATATATATATATATATATATATATATATATATATATATATATATATATATATATATATATATATATATAATTTCCCGAACCACCAAACAAGAGATTGTGTTAAACCGAAGATCTGGCATCATTATAGGGTCTTAAAGGTGTGGGGAACTCGTTTCATCAATACATTAGTGGTCTCTGCAGGAATGAATGCCTTGCAAGCTGTACTCCCAACCAAAAGTGCTTGGATCAGCATGGTCAAGTCTGCTGCAGCAGAGATGGGCAGAACATGGCAGGATTATTTCCTGATATTGGCACGTCTCGCCTCGTATTGGATAACCGCAACGTGACAACCTCTGATGCTGTTCTGCACCATGGATGCTCATGGGTAGCCATTTTGGGGTAGTTCATAGTAGCTGCAGTGGCCATCTAGTGACTCCAAAAGTTAATTATTTGCAGATGACATTAACACAATGATTAGTTTCTGAGTGTTTTGTCCAAAATCATTCAGTGGTTCTTGGTTTATTTGGCCAAGAGACTGACAGAAGGACGGACAGACAGACAAAAACAACGTTTTACCAATTTGTGGTACGTGGTGCCTGCAAACTAACTAGCAACTGCAGGAAAACGTTCCAAAGTGTTAGCTTAGCATGTCAAAGTAGTTAAAATGTTCACTTTTTAGTGCATGAGTCAGATGTCAGATGTTTTGTGGTGCTGTTTCCTCCAACTCGTAGTGAAACAGGAGCTCCTCATTTAGTACAATTAAATCGGCATACAGGAGCCAACACCGACCATCATGCTCTGCTGCCTTATCCAATCGAGCATGCTAACGCTAACATCTGCCGCTCATCACTGTGATTTTCTGAATCACTGAAAATACCTAAACACGATAAATGTCCAGACATCTCTGCTGTCAGGTGGCTCTTCTCCTGCTTTGCTGTAAGATTTAGGAGTTATTGGTACAGTTTGATCCAAAATCACATTCATTACTTGGTTGATGATTCTAAATAGTGAAAATGTTGAAAATATGCTGTTAATGACAGCAAATCTCTGTAATAATGCTGGTACTCAACCACTTTAAGGCTGAAATATGATGATATTACAGTGAAGCAGAAGTATTTATTGGCTAATGTTAAAATAACAACTATCACACAATCTGTTTTGGTTTATAGTGAAATTTTATACCAATAAGACGGTAATATGGAAATAAAATTGGCCCTTGCCATCAGCTGATGCGTTCAGTCATAGCTGGGGCTGGAAATGATGACGGTACTCATCCTCATACCCTGTTTTCTCGTAAAGAGCCATTTTCATTGTCTCTCCTGCCAAATCAGCATGGAGTTCATATTTCTCCGCATATCAGGGTATCTGCAGGTTTAAGGGAGCCCAATTTAAGATTTTTTAAGACCTTTTTTAAGGCCACTTTGACCAAATTTAAGCTATTTTTTTAAATTAAATTTAAGCTATAATTTCCAGCTATTGCCTGGAACCGGTGCTAGCCACGTCGTGAATGTGGGATTAGCCCTCCAGTTACCATTAATGTTGCCATGTCTTCCCCATGGCGCAAACTCCCGCTAGCATGCTCATCTAAAAACAGCCCCCTATCACAGTTCCGCTTACGCCAGTATCGTACACAAAAAATGCCAAACTAATTAGAAATTCACGAAAATTTTATAGAAATAAAAGAATCTTGTTTATTGGGTCTTTGGTAATTTAAGACCTTTGGAAACTATTTAAGGATTATTTGTCATTTTTAAGGATTTTTAAGGCCTTAAATTTGGAAAAGCTAATTTAAGACTTTTTAAGACTTTTTAAGGACCTGCAGATACCCTGGCATATAGAAAAATTAAGGGTGCTGTAATAGTGAACAGTGAGCTTTTATCTAACTTTTATTCTTTAAATTAATTGTCTATAAACCTTGGACCCTGATCTAGCTGCATGATGAGGATGCCCAGATCACTATTTAGGTTTTACAATATTTGTAAAAACAAAATGAGTAAACAGGTCAGTTAAAGACAAACACAGGACTGAGGTGCAATAAAACTACAGGGATACATCTGGGAGCTTGTTTCTAATAACTGAATAAATACCTAGCAAAAATGTGCTGCAGCTATCAGGCTCGATTATCGAATATGCTGGATTTTGCACCTTAGCTCCGCCGGCACTGAGACCGGAGCAGAACCCTGCAGACGAATTACAAATGATGCACGAGAGCTTTGATGCACCTGAGGAACAGTTGTCAAAGTTCAGGTCCCCCAGGACGACATCGAAGGCCACCAGGTCTTCCAGCACCTTCTCTCCTTCAGGTGACTGGGACGAGGACTGACGAAACTCAGCGCCCCACTGGAGCAAGAGGTCCAGCTGCTCACAGCGGACTGACGCGTCACCTGGACACAAACACACAGAGACACCAAATCACGTCCACACGGGCTCACCCAGAGGCCGCCGCTCGCTCGTCTCCAGCAGGATTTAGTGCTTACATAAGAGAACGCTCGTGGTGTTACTAATATTAGTGACATAATACTGAGTCTCCTGCTTTGGCAGCGCTTGCATCAGTCCACTGCTGCCAGTAAATCTGATAAGTTGCTGTTAGTTATGGAAGGAGGTGAGCGAGGGGAGGCGGGGGGTGAGAGCATACCAGGGAACAGAGGAATGGCTGAAAATGTGAGAAACAAAGAGGTGTCGGGATATCGGAGGGTGAGTAGGAGGCTCTGGCTTTGATTACACTTGGCTGCAGCTCAAGTACATCTGAAAAGGTGCTTGTTTTGGTCCCGGAGTGTGTGAGTGTGTGTGTGTGTGTGTGTGTTTTACTGGATTCCTTAAAAATGAACAAAACTCAGAGATGTGGAGGTGTGTTTGTTTGTTTGTTTGTGTGTCAGCATGAAAAGTTAAATACAAGAAAAAAAATGTAAATAGGAAACAAGTACTTTGTGCACTTTAATGATAAACAGCCTGTGTTTGATATAGCGCCTTCTAGAGTCCTGGAACCCCCCCAAGGCGCTTTACAACACAATCAGTCATTCACCCATTCACACACACATTCACACACTGGTGGTGATGAGCTACGATGTAGCCACAGCTGCCCTGGGGCGCACTGACAGAGGCGAGGCTGCCGAGCGCAGGCGCCACCGGTCCCTCCAACCACCACCAGCAGGCAGGGTGGGTTAAGTGTCTTGCTCAAGGACACAACGACAGCGACAGACTGAGCGGGGCTCGAACCTGCAACCTTCTGATTACGGGGCGAGCTCTTAACTCCTGTGCCACCGTCGTCCATATTTTAATGCTAAATATTCTGACATAAACTTTGTTATTTTTACACCAGCAAAGACGTGTGGGACATCAAAGCAAACGCCGTATTCTTCATGTTCAGTCCAGATTTGTTTGTTTTTAACACTTTTTAAAGAGTGAAGCCTGTGGCGGCGATGATATGAATCTCATTTGCGACGGTGGAACAGGAATTAAGTGCTCGCCCTGTAATCGGAAGGTTGCAGGTTCGAGTCCCGCTCAGTCTGCCGCTGTCGTCGTGTCCTTGGGCAAGAAGAAGAACAAGAAGAAGAAAATATAATTTCTAAAGCGCCTCTCAAGATAAAAATCACGAGGCGTTTCACAAAAACAAAAAATGTAAAAATATAAAAAAAAAACATTTAGAAAATGTTAAAAAATATATTTAAAATGAGCAAAAATAGACAATTGTGATTAAAAAATGTTAAGAAAGAGAGAGAGTGAACAGGAAAGAGGGAAATCAGTGGATCCTGAGGAAGGTGGAATAGGTGGGAGAGCAGAATAAAGAGAGAGAGGTGAAGAAGGTCATACAAAAGCCAGCTTGAACAAGTGAGTCTTCAGCTGCTTTTTAAAGGAGACCACTGAGTCCACTGATCTCAGGCTCAGGGGGAGAGAGGTCCAGAGTCTGGGGGCCACAGCAGCAGATGATCTGTCACCTTTGACCTTTAGCCTGGTGCTGCACAACCAGTA